GCCCGCACACACACAACGCTTACTACTACTACTACTACTACTACTACTACTACTACTACTACTACTACTACCACTACCACTACGCTGATTCCATATTTTTTTTGGCTACTACACTACCAGCTACCGCCCTCCCACTTGCACTCTCCTCAGTGCAGCAGCCCCTCAGACTTAGGTTCGCATCCTCACTTAAGTCTCTCTCACGCACTAATTTTCGTTTTTTTTTGAAATCAATTTTCTTTTTTCTTTGTTCCAAGATCCCCCCTCCCCCTCCCCCTCCTCCTCCTCCTCCCAACTGCTACGTACCGGCCATTAGTCCGCCCGCTTTACGCCTAGCGCAAACCCACTCCACTCCACAACTACACTACCACTACCCGCCACCCAAACTTTGGCTTTGCCCAATCCATGCATCCATACACCCATACATCCATGCATACACACATCTTGGGTACGAGGCTGGTATCACATTGCTTTATTTCTAAAAAATCTTCTTCTTCCTCTTCTTCCTCCTCCTCATCATCATCATCATCATCATCATCATCATCATCAATCCTCACTTGCTCTACCCACTTGCGCCTTGTTTTGCACCCACACACCACTACACCCACAGGCACAATCCCCTCTCCGCATACAATACCATACCATGCAATAACCGCTCGTGTGTCGTCGTCAAGCCTTGCGAAAACACCTCCAAATCATCCCCTCACACCCCTTCCAGTACAATAACCTCCATATCAGTCCGTGCTTACTGCACAACCTGCTCATAATGTTAGCTTTGTCACGTGCACTCCGCTCCTCTCATCCACATACCTTTTCTCGGAGCTTGCTTATCCACTGCACAATGCTCTCGCCCTGGTCTGCTCGGTCTTCCACCAGCAATGTCTGCGCCCACAGCTTCAGGCTAGGCTCACCATCCTCCTTGACAATGTATAGCGTAGGCAGCGTAATCGATCCTACCCCCTTTGACTTGTGATCTCTCGACTTCTCAATCACTGCCACCTGTTAGCCACACGCTCATCACCCAATCCAACCTCGACTCACCAGCTCGCACTCGTTCAGAGTATTCGTTATCCAAAAGAGGCAATGACGCCTTGCCCTGCTTCAGCTGCGTACGGTCCTCGACACCAAACACGTCCGCCAAAAGTGCAGGAACAGCGTCGCGCCCAGTCCACCTAAACCACGTCAGCTGCTCTGTTGCTCCCACAAGTGACCTGCTACTTACAAGAACTGGTTGACACCGTCATCTATCAGGTACAGACCGTAGGGCACAATGGCTGCACTCGATAGGTTCAGCGCAGGTGGCATGGTAATCTGGCCAGTCGTCGGCTCAGGCACGCCAGCATCATCAGGCATGTCCTAGATGACGTCAGTCTTCCGCTTCACCCTCATGCCCACACAAAACTTACATGAAGCGAGTAAAAACTCGGGTAGATGTACTGGATGAGCAGTCGCATGGGCAGCGTCGACAAAAGGTCCAGAGCTGCCGACCGAAGGTCACTGGGAATCTGCGCACTCTTGCGAAGACCCACATTCTTGATGAGACCCAGGAACAAGATGGGGAGAGCACGGAGGTTCTGCGGTAGCTGCAGTCCGCCGCCACCCATACTGCCCCCCGCCAGCTCTTTCCTGTATGTTGACAGAATCTCAATCACCTTTGCCTGCAGCGCATCTCGTGCAGCATCAAGACCGCTCGACAGCGCTCGCTCAACCGCCTTGTGACTGAAATACGTCGTGATGGCTTGCGCGTCGGCCGATGCGTACACAGATGCCAGGTTCTCCGTCGTGGGTATAGCAAGCGTCAAGACTCGAATGCGGCGCTGCCCACTTGAAGTAGTGTGTAGCACGGCCGCCTGAAGAGTAATAAACGGCCTCGAAATAGTCTCGTCAATCGCCACTTCAATAACCACGGCCTGGTCTCTTGGGTAGGCGGGGAAAGCGCACAGGTCCGAGGAGCGGTTGAAAAAGTTTCCATAAAAGGCAGACATCCTCAATCCTGTCGTCGCACGCACTCGGAGCACAGCCTCGAGGCCAATCTCTGCAGACAGATAATCAGCCAGCTCAGTCGCAATCTTGACCACGTCTTCTTGTCTCGCCGCGTTCCATCCCGGGTAAAAGTAGGTTTGACCTGCGGTGAAGCGAGGAAGGTTGCTGAGCGTCGCTACATCTTGGTATGCCGACGAGAAGAGGAACATGTCCACCGACACTTGATTCTTGGAGCATTCTACAGCGAATGACTTGTACCAGTTGTTGGCGGGCTGCAGGAGGCTGCCTTCCTTGCTGGTACCCAACAAAGACTTGTCCTCTCGTGGGCTCAATGCGGCATGGCCAACATTGGGCAGCGACGCGGCAATCACGGTTAGCTTTCCGCCAAGCGGGGAGATGAGCTTGTGGGCAGATCGGAGAGCCGACCCCAAAGCAAATCCGGGAACGTGAGTGTTCTGGAACATGGCCGGAAGACGGTCGAGGAAGGTTTCAATGTTGTTGCGGCATTGGCTAAGGCTCACAAGCAGGTCCGAGGGCATAGGCAGGTAGGGCTCGTCGAGGTCGGAAACTACGAGTTGCTGGGGCTCGTTCGACTCACTGTTGTCCGGGGGGATGCCAAAGAAGTGCAGACCATTATCAACTGCCATGAATCCGATGCGTGTCCGACCGTCGGCGTTGGGTATCCGTCCAAGCGCCTCCTTGATCACTCTCGAAACGACCGCAAGAAGACCGCAGTTGACCGCAGCTTGTGTACAGTCTAGAATGATGTAGTAGCATAGCGGCTGAGGCGGGCGGACCATGTATTCCTGCGGGGCAATAAACTCAGTCACGGCGTAGTTGAGCTCAGGTCTCTGCCAGCGGTCTACACTCTTCTGTTGCGCCGCGTCCCAGTCGAAGGCCTGGGGCACATCGTTTGTCAAGTTGCACATGTTGCACCTCCACCTGTGCCCGTGGTCCAAAAAGGGAACAAATGGGTTGATATAGCCGCGGCATCGTCGACAACGGCTGATAATCTGGTCCTGCACTACGGGTACCGAGTCCTCGGAATCGTGCAGACTGGCGTATGGGCTTATGACCAAAGCAAAGGGCAGCTTGCTCTTCTTGAGCAGGTTGTGGTTGGTGGGGACGCTGTTGAGCGTACACCGCAAGTATTTGCTCGACTCGTTTGCGAACTCGGAGGGAGTGGCCGCGGCGTTGGGCGGCAGGTGAATCGGCGGAGGGGGGTTGTACAACTCCGAGACGTGAAACGGCTGGGCAATGAGATCCGAGGGGAATAGTTGGTTTTGCTGCGGGGCTGCCACGGGCTGCTGCACTTGCGGAGCGGGCTGTCCAGGCCCCAAGTTCATCTGGCCAAACTGCTGGTTAAGGGCATTTGGGTCTTGAGGCGCGGGCTGTCCATAGGGAGCGGGCGCTCCATAGCCAGGCGACGGTGCGCCATAGCCTGGGGCAGCAGCACCATAGGCTGGCGACGGTGCCCCGTATGCAGGCGCAGGCGCACCGTAGCCAGGCCCTACTGGAGGAGGAGCCCCGGCTTGAGCCTCTTGTGTATTCGCACCGAATTGGTATCCCGTTCCTGCTGCATAGCGGTCTCTCTTCTTGCGGTCCGCCATCTCGAACGTTGCGAGGTTTCAAAAGGAGAAGACGTCCGGGTTGGCGTTCGAATTGGCGTTGGGAGAATGGCAGTGTTGGCGTACTTGGGTGTGAATTTAGAGGCGAGATAGAGCTCGATGTGTCTTCTTGGGGAACGGCACATTCCGCGCTAAGGGCCCCCGCCAAAGCGTGCACAGACCCCTGTATACCACGGGTTTAGGTGGGACTAACTTCAAGGCTTCTCTACTTATTTCTCCGCCTATCCGCTGTTCTTGATCACCAGGCACTCCTTTTGGCCCAGGCAGCATCGTTTTTTCAGCATACTCTGGTCTCACTCAAACCATCACTGCTGCTGCCTATGCATACGTGTCCACTCCGCGAAACGATTGTCAATTACTACCCGTGATATACAATGTACGCAATCCACCAAAATATCAAATCATTAGTACACGTGTTGTGAGCAAACTACCACATCACCACCAGCTCCATACTCAGGCCACGTTGGCAACTTGCTGCCTGTGAGTCTCCTGCTGCTGGCTCTCAACCCGATCTGCTTCTTCCAAGGGGTACGGGGCCGACCCCGCCTTGTCGTACTGTGCACCGACCGGACTCTCGCTCGGCGCGACATTCTCATAGGCAGTAGATTCTGGAACCGAAGTTCCGTTGACAGCTGCGGGAGTTGCTTCTGCGGCACCTGGCATGGCGCCCATACCGAGGTTTCCTGCGTTCGAGTGGATGGGCTCAACAACCAGCTGGTAACCGCGGAGGTCGTCTTCGGCATCATTGAGAACCTGCCGTGCTATATCCCCCTCAGAAAATGCAGGACGAGCATCCCCTGGCACAATCGGAGTGTCGTCAACCAGATTCAAGAGGCGACGGGCATGCTTGGCCAGGATGATTTGCTTCTCTGCCCGCTCGATGGTAGCTGCAAAATGATGGTCGTACGCCTCCTTGAACTTTTGTCGAGTCTAAAGAGTCAGCGGGTTGAAAGGAAGCCACGGAGAAAGCGCCATACAATATTGTTAAGCTGTGCTTCGGCTACCAGGCTCTGGGCCTCGGCGCGGACCAGTTCCTGTTCCAGCTGTACTATCTTCGTACTCTGCGGCTCTTTATATTTGAGCTTGGCAATTTCGTCTGAAACCTGGCGAGTCATTAGGTTGAAGATATCTGATTCGCGCAATAGAGTATACTTTAGCTTTGTGGTCCCGGCTTGGCTGTACCGAACTCTCCGTATTGCGTATCTGCTTGAGAATGCCGCGATATTCCTCCAGTGCCTGGGCGAAGACGTCCTCTTGATCTCCAATCTCAGCAAGCAGCACACCAAGCTTGTCCGAGATATCCGAAATAGTCTCGTCCTCTGTGGCCTCACCCCACTCGGAAAGCTGCTGAGCAATGCTGACTCGTTCCCGCCCCGCTGCCTCGTAAGCCCCAATGGCATGGTTCTCCGATTTGATGATCTTGAACAGCTTTTTGGAAAGCTCCGGCTGCTGCGTACCTCGGAAGGACGCCATGGTGAAGCGGTGCTTGGGAGCGGACTTTTCGCCGCTGCCGCTGCCCTTCTTGGAACGGACGGAGAGTGATCGGTTCCTGGGTAGGGTATTATTTTTAGCAGCTCATACAACAGGCGACTGCGTAGAGGAAACCGAAATCATATCTTGGTTGTGCAGCGCCATGGCAGGAAGCTTTGGCGTGGCGCTGCTCTTGCGTGACACACTCGGAGCCAGAATGGGTTGCAAGTGTAGAGGTGAGGTACGCAAGCAAGGCGGCTTACATTGTGTAAAAGATTTGCTAGGCGGTAGGCGGTATAGGCGCAGGGTTGGTTCTGGACCTATCAGTACGCCTAATGCTAAGTCATGCAGGACGTGTGAGCGCACAGCCTGCCCAGCAAGTGTCGTGTGTAGGTGTAGGACACGATGCCGGGTTGTTGCGGAGAGGATACCTGGCCACAGTGGAAGCAGACGCGTGAGATGCAAACCTTGCCGGCTGTGAGGAGAGTCGGGGTAGAGTTTTGGGCTGCGGGGGTCAGGCTGGGTAGGTGGCAGGCGGTAGTGGTGGTGGTGGCGGTGGTGGTGCAAGACACGGTGATGTCATGGCGTGGCCCAGCAGGAGCGCATCAGCATCATGAATTGGAATGACGGCGTTGCACAAGCAGTCGCCCTTGGTTGGGCTGCCGACCGATCCGCTTGCCACGGGTATATGGCCAAGGCTATGTCCAGGACGGCGCACATGGATGTATTTCGAATATACATGTCATGTGGTTTTGTCTTTGAGAGTGCGTCCATTGCACCGTCGAGGGGCCGAGGGCGAGGCGCGCACAAGGCTTTTTGGAGCGAGGGATGGCGGTGCTTGGGATTGCAGGAAGGCCGGCTTCAAGTAGCATCCGGCATCAACTGTCTACTATATTATGTCGCTGACTGTGGGAGGCGTCGTGATTGGGGCGCCGGTATGGGCTCGTCGGCCAGCGTGTCTTGGCGTTGATTACTGGGAGACAGTCGTGTGTCACCGTCTTGGGGCACGTTGGCGGCCATGTGGGGGCCAATCCAGGCCTTCTATTTGCCGCCGCACAACTACCGGGCTCGCGTATACGACACCCTGTCTGCGATAGAAGAACCCAAGAAGACCGTCCCCGGACCCCGTCGAGGTACATGTACATACAGCGAGGGGGCGAGCGGGCGAGCGGGCGAGGGATACGACATTGAGCCCGTTGAGCCGCGCATGAAGAAAACGAGATTGCAGTGCGTCCGCCCACGGCCTCTTCTGGTCCCCACAGTATATACGCGTTGTTGTTCAAGTAAAGTAGGTGCTTGCTGTAAATGACCGGCGGCGGACCGATGCAGCTGTACAGGATGTGTGTGTGTGTGTGTGTGTGGAAAGCGGCACGCATGCAGACAGACGTGCCTTGTTGGGCCAGCCAATCGCTTAGCATGTGTTTGTCAACAATCCACAGTTCCCTCCGCGGACCGCCAACGTCCGCTTTCAGCATCTACATGCAACTCGTGCACGTTAAAAAAAGACCCAAGACCACAACGACTAGTCCTCCCGAGCACATCCACTCCCCCCTTGTGCGGCAACCCCATCGCGGCGCCCAGAGACAGACAAGCAATCTGCTGGCAACGCCTTGGGACCCTCCAATTAGCAGTGTCAAGTACATCGGCCGCTGTGATAGCCAAGACCATACTGCATGCGGCAACGCTGGATAATCCGGGCAGCTTCTCGGCCGGACGATTTCGCTGCGATAGGGGCCAGATGGAGGAGCTGCTGCTCCGGCCAAGACATGTGTGCCTTTGGGGGCCCATGATTTCTGGTCGACGTCTTTTCTTTTGGGCAGCAGTATTGGCGGCCAGCCAATATCGCCAATCGCCTGATGTGCTTGACTATGTCGACATGTATGTAATCACGAGACAGGCGGTATGAGCGCCTCCCGCCTGCACGTCGGGGCCTTGTCCATTCTGACGCACTCGACCCTGAGGCTTTTCATAAGCAGCGGTGCTTATTGTGCCCTCTGCAATTGGTGGGGGAGCTGTGAAGTGCCGATTGGTCTGCCGGCCCGCAACGTAGCGCATCATGCCATCGGAGGTTTTGTTTGCAACAGCTGAGCGGACGGGTCGCTCGCGTGGCTAAACCCATGTGGCGGCGACATGGTTCGACTAGGTGTAGGTGGAGGTGTACTGCGGGCGACGCAAGCCAAAGCCGTGGTCGAGGTCTGGCAGACATGGCGAAAAAAGACGCCTTCTCGACCTTGCTTCTTAGTAAACTTTCCTGGCGGAGAATAGACCCGCTTTTGTGGCCTTGGCGCCGGGGCACGGTGACCTGATCAACGTCCACCAAAGTAGGAAGGACGAGCCGCGTCCTGCTGGCAACCTCCACGGCTACCCGGCGTATACAAAGGATTCGTTTATTATTCTCACCGAGCCCCTAGGGCCCCGGGCGCTCCTGTGCCCTCCAGAGGGCGTGGGGTAGCGTGTCGAGAGAGCGACTGGTCTACGTGGTTATCGGGCAGTGATTTACAAATGCACTTTGTTTTTGGCTTGTAGCCGCACGAGCATCATTGCCAATCTTCATACGCCCATGTTTCAAGCGCGTCCCTGTGTCCAATAAAGGCAGCGCATGTGTCTGAGCTAGATGCACTACGCTTTCTATCCACCTAGACGTCTTGGCAATGCTAATCCCTACCCAACGCTTGTCTTACCTACCGGCATTCTGATCCAGCGGCGCGGGTGCCTCTCACCGCGATGACGCTGTATAATTGGGGAAATTAGCATCATGTCATTTGCAGACGCAGGGTGGCTAACGGCCAGGGTCAAAGCTACTAGCTAGCACCGCCTTAATGGGCGGCGAAGAAGCACTATATCTCTGCTGTCTAAGGCCACCAACCATATAAAGGCCCAGACGGTACTCGTACTTTCGCCTCACTCAAGTTGTCCAAGGTCTCTTTCACAATGGTTCGACCAAACGTCTTGACTGCGATTGCGGCTTTCTGCCATGTCGCCAATGCTGGCTGCCCCTACATGGACGGTGGTGATGACTCCCAACACCCACCAGCTGGCCACCCCTCTGTCCGACGCGCTGAAGGCACTGCCATGGGCACCGACGAGTTCATGAAGCAGTATGAAGTTGACGACAGCAAGGCCTTTCTCACCAGCCCTGTTGGAGGCCCGATCCCTGATCAGGACACTCTGTCGGTTGGCGAGCGAGGTCCATCACTGCTCGAAGACCAAATCTTCCGCCGCAAGATTATGAGCTTTGGTACGTGCAAGCCATTCTTCTCCGATTGGACAACCTGCTAACGCCTGTAATCAGATCATGAGCGTGTTCCCGAACGTGCCGTGCATGCTCGTGGTGCTGGTGCTCACGGCGTCTTCAAGCCATTTGGAGATTGGTCTAACATCACTTGTGCCTCGTTCCTGAAATCTCCCGAAAAGGAAACGCCAGTGTTTATCCGATTCTCTACCGTTGCAGGCAGCCGTGGTTCGCCAGACACTGCACGAGACGTCCACGGCTTTGCCGTCAGGTTCTACACTGACGAGGGCAACCTGGGTAAGCCCCCTCGGTTATCGTACATTAGTAGATTGTGTGGCGACTAATTTGGGGATAGACATTGTTGGAAACAACGTCCCTGTTTTCTTCATCCAGGATGCCATCAAGTTCCCTGACCTTATCCATGCTGTCAAGCCGCGCCCAGACAATGAAATCCCACAGGCAGCTACGGCTCACGACACCGCCTGGGACTTCTTTAGCCAACAGCCTAGCAGCATGCACACGCTCATGTGGGCCATGAGCGGACAGTGAGTGTCACCACGCGAGTATTGGGTCGAATGTCCGCTAACCAGTATGCCTTTGCTACAGTGGTACTATTCGCTCCTACAGGCACACCGATGGCTGGTAAGACGACTCGTCTCCGTGTATCACAAAGCAGCTTACTGACTCATTGCAACAGGGGTGTCCATACCTTCCGCTTTGTGCAAGATGATGGAAAGTCCAAGCTTGTCAAGTTTAGGTTCAGGTCCCTCCAAGGCAAGGCTGCACTTCTGTGGGAAGAGGCGCAGACCACGGCAGCAATGAACGCCGACGCCCACCGTCAAGATCTGTTTGAAAGCATTCAGAGCGGATACTTCCCTGAATGGATCGTAAGTAGGCCCGGGTCTGCTTGGGAGACGATGACGGCTAACCATGGACGTGTGTGTAGTTTGAGGCTCAAATCATGGAAGAGGCTGACCAGCTACGATTCGGATTCGACCTGCTCGACCCTACCAAGATTGTGCCCGAAGACATTATTCCTTTCACGCCTCTCGGAAAGCTGACGCTGAACCGCAACCCCCGAAACTACTTTGCCGAGACTGAGCAGATCATGGTATGTTGTTTGTATAACGCAGGCGGCCTTCAAACACTAACGCGGAAGTTTATAGTTCCAACCCGGCCATCTCGTTCGCGGAGTTGACATTACTGATGACCCCCTTCTTCAGGGCCGCATGTTCTCGTACCTCGACACTCAGCTCAACCGAAACTCTGGTCCAAACTTTGAGCAGATTCCCATCAACCAGCCACGCGTGCCCGTGCACACCAACGAACGCGATGGAGCGGGTAAGTGGAAGCGCCTTTGCGGGTAGATTAATGTGTGAAACAGAGGCTAATTCTGCTACAGGTCAAATGTTTATCCCCTTGAATGTCGCCGCTTACACCCCCAACACGCTCAACGGCGGCTTCCCCGCACAGGCAAATCAAACCGAAGGCCGCGGCTTCTTCACCGCGCCCGAGCGATCTGCCAGCGGCAAGCTTGTGCGCTCGACCTCGAGCACGTTTGCCGATGTGTGGTCGCAGCCCCGTCTGTTCTACAACTCGCTGTCGGCGGTGGAGCAGCAGTTTATCATCAACGCCATTCGCTTCGAGACTTCGCATCTCAAGAGCGAGGTTGTCAAGAAGAACGTGCTGATTCAGCTCAACCGCATCAGCAACGACATTGCTAACCGCGTCGCCATTGCCCTTGGTATGGATGCCCCGGCACCTGACACCAAGTACTACCACAACAACAAGACGATTGGTGTCAGCCCCGGTGGCGAGCCGCTGCTCAAGATCGAGGGTCTCAAGGTGGGCTACCTCACGTCGTCGACGGTCAACCAGGACGCGCCCGGGAAGCTCAAGGAGGCACTCAAGGAGCAGAAGGTGGGCCTGACGATTGTTGCTGAGCAGCTGGGTGCGGGCATTGACCAGACGTACTCGGCCACGTCTGCGGTCAACTTTGATGCCATTATTGTCGATGGAGGCGCAGAGAGCCTGTTTATGCCGGCGGGCAACCTGGCCAACTCCAACTCGACGCGCCGCAGCACACTGTTCCCTGCTGGCCGTCCTCTTCAGATTCTGCAGGACGGCTACAACTTTGGCAAGCCGGTGGCTGTGGCGGGCGCAAGCAACAAGACGTTGACGGCTGCCGGACTTGTGGCCAACACGCCCGGAGTCTTCACATTTGCCACGGCCTCTGACACGGCAGCCATTGTTACGCAAATCTCCGAGGGTCTGCGCACGTTCAAGTTCCTGGACCGCTACCCATTGGACGGCAAGTAGGAGTGGGAGAGGCCAGGTCGCGTGCGCGTGGTGTGAGAAGTTTGTGTTCCATAGTCGCTTTGTGTGTATACAGTTTCGATTATCGGCCCTTTTGGCATTATCCTACTAATAACAATGTGAACTACCGAAGGTGTGCGGGCTGGTGTGTGAGACATGGATGGCATGGCGGGCAATTTGCAGTGTTGAACTCGTCACGTCCCCCAGTAGAAAGGATTGGGGTTGAGGCTGCCGTGTGGGCACGTGCAAATGTGCGAATGTGATTGAGTGTGATTGCTGAGATTGTTGAGGCGGCGCTATGACGGGGTAGAGACGGTGTTATGTATATGTGTCCACGGTATTATGTGTGTATCCAGATGTACTATGTCGTGCGCGCGCGTGTGTATGTGTAGTATCATCCTTCACCGCAGATTCGTGTTCTGGCCTGGCCAACGGGATCCACTGCGAGAAATAGCGCCTCGTGGCCGAACCGCCTGTCACATGGTCGGTCAACGGGCCCTGGCAAAAGTAACATGCGCTCGCATGTCAGCCACGCTTCGCCACGTTCGCCGCGCACGCGCTCGTGGCGAGGCACCGGGCAATGGTGGTTGTTGACGTTGTTGTAGGGTTGGCATCGTGTCCAGGCGGCCGCCACTAAGTACCACTGCCACTACCGCGACCACGACCACTACCGCCGCCGCCCACCCCCATACCCCGACATGTGGCGGCGCAGGAAATAACGCAATGTGGTAAGCACGCAATGCGGCCAGAGCTAGCTGTGTCGTTGTCGTCTCTCGGTGGAGCTGCATGCTCGCTCGGGGCGCGCAGCAGGCCTGGGGGGGGGGGGGCTTTTGGTTTCCTGGCCTACCAGCGGCCGTGGTGAAGGGCGGCTTGGCAGCTAATGCAGGTGAAGCGTCAGGGTGCGCCGAAATTATGGCTACTCTACCGGTGCAATCCCGTTTAAGCTGATACACGCCGACGGCCTCCCTTCCTCCTCGACGTCCTGTCTTCGTAAACAACTGCGACGTGCAGCACTACACACTCCCCTCTGTTTTGCCTCTGCTGTCAGCCCACCAGCCGCCGCCCGTCAGCCTGCCACACAGCCACCCTCATCGGCTCTTTGCTCGGCCCACCTTGGCCCCCCCCAGCCTGCTCGATAATTGGCCCTCGACGCCAATTCGCCGCTTCTTTGAGCGACGTTGCCAACATCGAGCCGCTGACTCTCTCCTCTTCCCCCGACTACGACAAGACCAGATAGACACGCCATGTCGACCGCAACCGCAAGCAAACCGCCCGTCACCGGCCCTTCCCGCCGCGAGGCCACGGCCAGGACCTCGTCATCCTCGCCAGGGGCTGCTGCCACCCGCACGCCCGCCCGCTCCTCGACCCCGACTACCAATGGCGCCTCCAGCGTCGCGAGGACACGATCTGTTCGTGGAGGCTCGGCCAGCTCCCCCGTCTCGGCCCGCGCCGCCGTCAAGAAGCCCGCCTCCAGCCTGAGCAACGCATCGCAGGCCGATGCCGCCAGCGACGAGGCCCGAGACGAGCAGGCCGCCCTCCTCCAGGACCTCAAGGACCGCCTGCAAAAGGCCGAGAGCGAGGCGGAGGAGCGCCAGAAGCAGGTCGAGGTCCTGAGCACCCGCCTAGACGATGCGCTCGCCGAACAGGCCAAGCTCGAGGAGCGCGCGCACGAGGAAGAGGAAAAGGTCGAGGCGCTAGAGAATGAGAAGCGCGAGCTAACACGTCAGCAACGCGAGCTCGAGAGCATCTATGAAGCCGAGCGTGCCCAGGCCATGAAGGAAAAGGAGGAAACCCAGTCGCGCGAAGAAGACATGCAGAGCACCATCCAGCGGCTCAAGGAGACCATGACGACCAAGAACGCTCCAAGCAGCGAGCTTGGCGAAGACAATGGCGAACAGCAGCCGCACCTGTCACGAACATGTAAGTAGCCATCGCTGGCGACCGAGTGCGCCAACCATGTGCAGAGACTGACCTGTGCACAGCGAGCTTCCGCAATGCTTCGTCGCGCAACAACTCGACGCACAACCTGGAGAATGTCGCGTCCTTTGCACCACCCAACTCGGTTCAGCGCAGCAACTCGCGCAACAACTCCAAGCTCATCAACCAAAAGGACAAGATCATTGAAGATCTGCGCCTCGAGCTCGCCGAGTACCAGGTCAAGATGCTCGAGGTGGAGAATGCCGGGGGTGGCCGCCTGCGCGAGCTAGAAAAGCAATTGCTCGAGACTCGCATGACCAATGCCAGGCTTATGGAAGACAACGAGAGCTTCCAGCTACTGCTGGGTGAGAAGACCCTCAACGGAGACCTGAGCCGTGGGGAATTCTTGCGCGAGACTTCCAACACGGATGACCGTGCCCCATCTCGCAGCGGACCTTCGACCAGCTTGGCTGACGAGCTCCAATCAGCAGAAGAGGGCGATGCAGAGGTTGTTCGCAAGCTCGAGGCCGAGCTCAACAGCATGAAGGCCCAGAACCAAGCCCTCACCCTCTACATCAACAAGATTATCGGCCGCCTGCTCACGCACCAGGGCTTCGAATCTGTCCTTGGCAACGATACCGAGAACGAGACGGGTGGCCCTGACAGGAACAAAGAGCTTCCGCCGCCGCCGCCTCAGGAAAACGAGCAGCCGCAAGGCTTCCTCCAGCGCGCCAAGTCGGTTGCCATGGGCGGAAACCGTAAGCCGCGCCCTCTTAGCGCAATGGGCCCACCACCCCTGAGCCAACAGAGCGCGCACGAAGACCCGGCCACGGCGCCGAGCATCCCCCTGACCCGTTCCACTTCTGGTCGCCACCCAAGCGGCAGCCACCGCCGCTCTACATCTGATGTCCATGGCGCCGCCGGCATCGTCAACAACATGTACCGCTCTCCTACCGGCACGCCCAACCCAGCTTCGCCTGGCATGGTCTCGCCCCGTAATTCATTCTTTGGTCTCCCTGTCAACAGCAGTGGACCAGGGTCTGTCAGCTCCATCTCTAGGGTGCCATCCGGTCAAGGCCCCATCCCAGAGGACAAGGAGGTTGATGCGAGAACCGAGTCCTCGTCGGCCAGCCACGTAGACACGCCTAGCCCGCCGCGTCCGCTTGCTCGCAGTGAAACCGGCAGCGGTGTCATGACGGGCAAGGGCATGCGACCGCTGCGTCTCGTGCAGAACGAGGAAGAGGCCATGAAGGCACGCAAAGCCGCCAATCGCAGCAGCTGGTTTGGCGGTCTATTCGGCCAAACACCGCCGCAACAGCAGCAGCAGGACACGCAGTAAGAAAAAAATTAAGTCACGGGTTTGACTTTGTTTTCTTCTTCTTCTTCGCTTAATAATATGTGTTGTTGTTGGTGTTCTATTTCTTTCTTCCAACCATGTAAGTAGTTTGATGATTATTTGTCATCTTCATCATGATCACCAACTATCACGCCACCCACACACCCCCATGATCGTCATGAGCTTTTGAATACGACGGCACGTACGACTTAATGCAGGAAAGAAAGAATGAGAGAGAGCGTGTTTGAGAAAGGAAGAAGAGGGGGAGTGACAGAGACATATAAGGAGCGTAGCGCAATGAGAAAGAAAGAAAAACTATGGATGAATGAGCATGTTTATACAGATATTTCAACACTTACTCAGTCATACATACATACAGATACATATATACAGATACGACACGTCGAGTTATTGTTTAACAAAGAGATGGAGGGCTACTAGGTTGGGAGGACTATGGAGATAATACTATCGTTTATTTATTGATTGATTTGTTCATGCCATCTTATAGGAAGGAAGAGAGAAGAAACAAGTGTTGTTATTGTTGTTTGTTGTTTTGGATATGGATTTGGGACGGCTTGCATACAACTTGCATACTTTATTCTTTGTTATACCCCCCCATCATCATCATCACCATCATCATCATCGTTCTCATTATTATTACCACTCACTACCCACCCTTTTGCTGTGGAAGAAAATCTTAGTTAAAAGTAGAGTTAATATCAACTAATCTATTTCCATACGTATACACATACGTATGTTTAGTGTATCAGTGTATCGATAGCTGTGTGGAGAATTGGAGTAGAGGGGAGAGGTTTTGGCGAGGCTGGGGGGAAGTTGTGTTGTGTTGAGATGGAAAGCAGTTAATTGATTATGTAGGTAGATAGGTGTGAATAAGTATTTTTATTCTTTGTTCTGGATTCTTGCGGATTATAATTTGTGTTTGTGATGGAATGGGAATAGGATGCAGTAATGTAGTAATGTAGTAATGTAGAAGTGAATTTGCTTAGTCTTATTCTAGCTTTCTCGCATCCATCTATCCATATGTGTACGACACTTTTCAATCTCGCGTTACTTTCTTCTTCCCTAAAAAAAATCTAAGAAAATGATTTAGAGGAAAAGGGAGAGAGAGAGAGAGAGAGAGCCGACAAGTTCCATATCTCCTTCCGCTCTATTCTATTTCACACTCCCTTTCAATCACACTACCATCATACCCACCACCACCTTCTTTATCCCCCTCCCTCCTTCCCCCCCCCCTCTCCATATTTCTTTCCCCCTCTTATACCCCCACCACCATCCCCACCCCTCCAGGCCCCAGACTCAAACTCCCCCTCTCCCTCTCCCTCTTTCTCCCACAACATCTTACACATATTTCCCCAATACCTCTACTTGTCCTACCACCTCTCCTATCACCACCACTACAACCGCTACTACCACGCCATTTCCTCATCCGATACGGACATTGTACAGGATCGAGATTATGCAGGTCAGCGTGATCGCAGCGTGAGTAGCGTATGCGTGGTTGGCGCGTGCAGGTGTAAGGGGCGGGCGAGGTGCAGTGGGTGTGGTGCATGTGGCACATTGTTTCTTTTCTTAGTGGTGGGTTGGCGGATAGTTTGCGCGTAGGTGTGTAGTTGCCTAGGATAGTGCTGGAATACGTTTGTGTGTGTGTGGAAAGTGTGTTAGCGGTGCGAGTATGAGTTTAATAGATTCATGGTGCGTATATATATCCGTCTGATTCTTTTCTATATGTAGTGTCTTCGGTGTGATTACAGTATATCAAGTTGGTGGGTGCTTGGTCGCCATTTGTTTGTTGCGATTTGCTTGCTCTGTTGTGCGTAATTCTCCGCTTGTTTTTGTTTTTCTCTTTCTTGACTGATTTTTCTTTTTCTTTCATACTTACCTCCATTGGCTTTGTTGTCTTGGATTTAGCAGATGCTGTTTTGTTGCTATGTTTTGCGTTTGCTGGATTGAGACAATGGTTTCAAGGAGGTGGAGGTGAAGAGTGTTGAAATCTTTTTTTTTGGAAGCGGATGTGTAGAAATAGTTAGGTTGTTATTGAGACTGGAATGTATGATGAAATAGGTATTGCTGGTATGAAGACGGGTTTGTGTGATATTCTCTAGTATAGGAGTGTTGATAGATGCGATGACGAAAGTCTAATGTCTTGAATCAAGAATGAAAGAGCTCATTGAACGTAAGATTGAAACATCAGCTCGCTCACTATTCTTTCCTACACAACTAGAATAGCGATATACATTTTCATGAGGCCTTTACATCACTCTTAATTCTAAACAACACACACATCTTTCCGCTGATCCTCACACATAACCCGATCATCTTCCAAGCCGTTACACTAATACACATTTGCATGTTTGATTCTGCTCGGCAGAACATTCCACGACCCAGGACACCCCTGCACGACCCCACTCCAAGGCATAAAAGTCTACAACAAACAGACAACGTAAAGTCCGACAATCGAAAAACGCCAAGCACATACACACACACATACGTAGCACATACACGTCAGAAACAACAACATGTATTGCAAAGTCTACCAGAAAAATCCATCTATCCAATCATAAATTTCTACCCAAGCAAAGAAAACGAGAATCAGTGGGTATCAAGTTTTTTTTTAGCGTAATGCATGGAAAATCATGAAACAAGTGGCTTGGGCACTCGAGACTGATCGACCCATTCCGACAAGCCATGGTCGGCAGTGGCCCAGTATTCGCGCGTCTTCTTGTACATGGCCATGCGGGCCTGTAGACTGGGTACGGCCATGATTTCCTGGAACGGGACGGGTCGTTCTTCGACGGGTACGTCTTTGAAATCAATGGCTGTGCCCGAGTCTGTGCGGTGCGCCTTGCGGTGTGGTTCAGGCGGGTGAGTTGGGTTGGTGGTAGAGGTGGTAGTGCTATGTTGACTGGGCGAACGCGAGCGGCTTGGTGTGCCGATGGGTTTGCGCTGTACCGTGCTTGAGGTAAGATGTGGGTCAAAGTTGGGCATGCTGAAGTGGATAAAAGATGAGGATGAGGATGTGGGAGGACGTGATGGGACTCTTCTGTCTGGCGATATCGAGGCTGTTTCCGCGTGTGAGTCGGATAGATTCTGTGGTGCGAGTGTACGGCCCCTCGTTATTGATGCGGTGTCATCGGAGTCGCTATCCAATCCGACCTTGTGGCGTGATAGTGTTGTACTGGACTGCGCCGTTAGATGTCCAGAAGGGCTGCTGCTAGTCTTTTCCCCTTGACTGGCCCCATGGCCATCCGCTGCAGTTGCATCTCTGCCTCCATGTCGGGCAGGCGAAAACGACTTTTGCCGCAACCTAGAGAAGCTCTGCTTCAAGGAAAGGCCTGGTCGGCCACTTGGACTGGGTACAGTGTCTGAACGGCCGCGCGCTTCCACATGTTTAGTCTTGTCGAGACCTTGGGACGACGATGGCTCGGCTGGCATGACCCCAGAGTGATTGAAGTAGCTGCTGAGGCTCGAAACACCGTTGCCCAGAATGTTGACGCCACCGACATGTTTTGCGTCCATGGGCCCTGAGATGACAATTGTCTTTGCCTTGGCCATGGCTTTAGTATGTAATGCTCGATGGAGATTGGCCGAAGAGTGACAGGCCACTTGAGCTGTTTTCAGAGTGCGCTGCCCAATAGTAGGGCAGATTGATTCGTGTGTATGTGGGCCTTGTGCCTGTATATGCCGGGGAGCGGAAGATGCGACAGTATGAAGATGTAGCGATAAGCGTTCGCCGAGCCAGATGACAGCGGGTAAAGCTTTGATTTTAGCCGATGAACTAGACAAATATGATCCGCAGGAAAGTGTTAAGAGCGTTGTCAAGATATCAAAAGTCGACTGATTATTGGACCCACCAAGGGAGAAAGAAGATGGTTCGAACCAGTCCAAAAGAAAGAAGAACCAGATTGCTGACGCGATCTCAGAAGAACGTCTTTCTAATTTTGCCGTGATGCAGCCATAGCGGCCGTTTGGCGTTGTGACACACGTAGTGTGGCTGATTTGCCCAGAAACAGCATGTGCCAGGCGGCGTTAGGCTGTCTGAGACGTCTAACGTCTGTAGCTCCACGCCCACCACCTACGGATGACATTGCTCCTGTCTCAGCACAGGAACAAGTATAGGAATTTTCGAGAACCGCCGAATGATCATGACGTCCGTAGTTACAGTCTCCAAACACCTGCTACTAGCGCCTTTGTCATGTTTGCGCCTTGCGTGCGTGGTCGGCTACAACTCGGATTCGAGAGCACCCGTAAGCCCGGCGGTTCCGGTCAGCATCCAACACAGAGCTGGTGTTTGAAAGGCGGACAATGAGTTGGGTAATATCCGCCCTTTTAAGGGGACTTTAATGAGATGCCAAGGTGCTGACACTCGGCGTGTCTTGCTCGACCACGACGTCCACGGAGGCAAGTTGGACACTGACAAGTCAGCGACTTTCTCAAGCCACCAAGGTACGACCGCGATTCCGATGTCTGATCAACTTGCGACCGACTCAAGAAGGCCCTTGATCGGTCGCTATGCTTTACCTACTCACCTTCTCACGCTCAATGCCTCCCCGGCGAGACCTGGGACAAATGCGAAAAAGAGCGTCGTTAGCGCTCCCAAGTGGGTATGTTGGTCGTTTCTTGATGATGTGGCGTCTTTGACATGTTCTAATGAACAGGTTGTGTCGCTCCATGCCGGTCCACTGTCTTCTTTTGTGAACAGGATGCGCGCTTTGTGCAGGCGAACAGGTGCGACGTCGCGCTGAAGCAGCTCCGCGAGTCAACTACCCAAGAATGATCCTCGAAGCGCGACGCGATTGAAGGCACTCAACACCACATGCGGGCATCGAGGCTGCCATAATAAGGCTTGATGAAGCAAACCACGTCTCCAACGGTCCGCCACCGTCTCGTCGACATTCGGGCATTGTGCTGAGACAGGCGAATCATGTTTATCCACCGTCTTTTACCCGTTTCCTACAAGGCTAGCGGCCGAAAACCGCCATGGTGAGGCTACACGGCTATATCCCTTGGTGTGACTGGCACCCCACCCAGGGGTGAACATCATGCATTCCGGCCTCTATGCGCAGGCAAGACTGGGCGGCTGCCGCTACAGAAGACTGTTTGACAGGCGCTTGACATGGCGCTCCGCCTTGTAGAGCAGTGTATATAAGGCATTTGTGCCTTGGCCAGCCTTGGGAGACATCAACAGCTCAAAATCACAGAGTCCTTTACTCAAGTCATTCATTCTTTTATCTTCTTTCAATCGTTCCTGGAGAATCGATAGGCCGGCCCACTTTCGTTACATACCCCACTTAGACCTTTTTATTCGCTATTACAACCAAGAACCATGAAGAGCTCAATCATCGCCCTTGCCCTTGTCGGTGCTGCGGCAGCTCGCCCGACTGCTGTGATGAGCAAGCGTGAGGTTCCTCAGGAACATGCTCACGAGAACGTTCTGCGGGTTGTCGACACCCTGCTAGCAAAGAACAACCCGGACAACATCAAGAGCAGTGTCTTTGCTCTTCTTGGAGCCAAGGCAGCGGCCGAGGGCGCTGGAAACATCAAGGATACAGGTAAGTTGTCAGGGAATTGGTATGAACAGAGCGGAGCTAATCATGTGTAGACTGCCTTCAGCAAGCTGTTGCTGACCAAGCCTTTACCAATGCCAAAGCGGCTAATGATGTGACGGGCATGACCAACGCACTCATCTTCCGTGCCTTGGAGCGCAACACTGGCTCTGTTGGTCTGGCTTCGGCTGCATGCAAATCCATCAAGGCAGTTAACCCTGAGATTGCCGCACTCCAACAGCACCAGGACCCTGCCAGCACAGGAGCCCAGGCCACCAACAAGGCCATTGCTCAGGAGCTCGTACGTCAGATTGCCGCCATCGGTGGTGACACATCGCTGGGAAATGAGGCTTCAACCTTTGCCCCTGGCAAGATCGGTGACCCCACGGGTGCGGGCAACACCTGCGATGACGCCAACGATGCCAAGGGCTGCATCAACACTCTTGGTCTTCGTGTCAATGATCTCACTGCAGCCGAGATTACCGCAGCGGCCGCTGGCAGTGGAGCGGCAACCGGTAACGCAACAGCAGCTGATAACGCAGCAGCTGGCAATGCCGCAAATGGCGGTGCAGCAAACGGCAAGGCTGGAAAGGGCAAGGGTGCAAAGGGCAATGCGAACAACAATGCTGCGAACAACGCTGCCAACAACAATGCTGCGAGCAACAATGCTGCTACAAATGACAATGCTGCCAGTTGCAATGCTGGTGCCAATGGTAACGCTGCTGCGGCAAGCAACAACAACAATGCTGCCACTGGAAAGAAGGGCGCTGCCTCTGGAAACGCCGCCTCTGGAAATGCAGCCTCTGGAAATGCAGCCTCTGGAAATGCAGCCTCTGGAAATGCAGCTTCTGGCAACGCCGCCTCTGGAAATGCTGCCTCTGGAAACGCTGCCTCTGGAAATGCCGCCTCTGGAAACGCCGCTGGAAACGCCGCTGGAAACACTGCTGCAACAGGCGGAGCGGCCAGTGGAGCAGCCAGTGGAGCAGCAGCCTTTGGCAACTGCAACCCTACCATCAAGTTTGGCCTGCCTTCTGATGGACGCAAGGAGGACGCTTTCGAGCCTGCGGATCTTGCCACCTTCAACCATGGCTCGGCGCTGAACATTGCAGTCATCTCCAACTTCATCTGCACCCAGGTTGGCAACAAGTGCAAGGTGAATGCCGCAGCCATCAGCACCTGCAATTCTGCTGCCACTGCTGCCAACGGGCTCAAGGGCCAGGCGGCTGCGACTGCCTTTAACAGTGCGCTTGGATTCTAAACCATGACTGGCTGAGTAGACGGGAGGGAGCTGGGTAGACAGGAGGGATGGGCATGTATCGATGATGCGACTTGGAGGCTAGGCATTGAAGCCTTTTTTTGTATACTATTAGTACTGGTAACGGCAACACGTAGGTTAATCCGAATATATCTCGGGCAGTAGGATGCTCTTGTTCAATGCATTTTTGGTAACCTGTAAAAACCCTAATAAGCATTTCCGTGGCGCAACAGACCAGTGTCCAGAGCAGGAGGCCGAGACATGACGAAGCCATGTTTGTGATGACGGCGTGATACGAGCCGCGGGCCAATGTAGTCGTATGCTTGTAAGCGTGATGTACATACAGTAACGTACAGAGCCCCCGCACCCACACCTGTAGTGTTGAGACGTTGTGGGCTTGGAACAGCACGTGGAGCTTCCGCAAGGGGCGGCAATTGGAGGAGGGTGTCGTGTTTAGTCCACTTTTAGACGCTCCTGTAGGCCCAAGAGGGCAAGACAGAGTAACAGAGGCTGCCAGCCAGACATTGGGGCGGGAACACCTGCGTGGCCGCACTTCCGGATTAGGCGAGACACGTGCCCGTCGGAGCAAGCAGATATTGGTGTGCGATTAGTTGCAGCCAGACCGCTTCCACGGCCAAGCGCGGGATGCAAGAAAAAAACGTCCTGGTGGTCTGGGAACCCCGACCGGCAGACGGGCCTGGAAAGGGGTCTCGCTTGCCGCCGGCGTGATTGATCATGGCAGAGGCCTATCAAGCCTGGGGCCCGGGGCCAGGCACGAGGGCAATATTGGACGGGCGCTGAAGCGAGAAACGGGTGCCGTGGAAAACGGACGGCAGGATGCTCGTAGTGGTCGGCGGGGGATGGACGAGTCATGGAGCATTTGCAGATTTGCAGAGTTGCAGTGTGCCGGCGGCGACGCCCCACAGTGGAGCACGGGCTCCGGGCGGGCAGCGAATTGGGCTACTCCAGCTTGCCAGTGCATGCGTGCGCTGCGTTGCTGGCATGTTTCTGGCGGCGGGTGGTTGGTGTTGCCCCTCGACACGGCAGCAGAGGTGGAGCAGTCGAGGCAGCAGCCAGGAGGCGGCGAGATTGGCAGCGGGGAAACAGCGGGTTGCCGGCGGGCGAGGCAGCGGCTCGCAGTGTGTTGGCAGCGCGCTGGCAGCGGGCGAGTGGAGGGAAAAGTGGTGACAGGTGGTGGTGGTGGTGGTGGTTGCAGTGGCAGAAAAACACTGCCTGCATGTATGCAGGGGCCGCGACAAAAGAGGGCCTCACCTGCGGCCGCCACGCACGGGCCAGCACGCCCCCCGTCTTGGGCCTAGCGCCGTGTGTCGAGCGCGTCGGAGCGCGTCACTTTCGCCCTCTGGCGCCGTCGGCCAGCAGCGACAACAACAACAGCAGCAGCAGCGCAACAGCTGGTGCGCCGCGCGAGACGAGCGCTCGCTGCGGCGGCGTGCAGTGCACACCGGAAACCACCGTCGCCGTTGCAGCCGCGGGCGGGCAGCCTTCGCCGCGAGGGTTGGTTTTTCCATGGGCGCGTCCCCGGGCAGCTTCTATCGACCATCTTGGCCCGTAGCCCGAGCTGGCTGGCTGTCTTGCTCGTGCTCGTGCGCTAGCGGCCACCCGCCGTCCACGGGTCACCCGACTTGAATTTGCGACCCCCAACCATCACCTTCACACTTCACGACCTCACGATAATCCCGAGCCCATCTCGCCCGCCGCACGCCCGCCGGCCCCGAGACCTGGCGCCTCCTTGACGACCTGTTTCCTTGTCTCTTGTTCAACGCCCGTCTTTCGTTTTGCGCGCCTCCCATGGACGCCCAATAGAGCGCCCACTTCGCTTCCGCCCACGCCTCCGCACCTCTCACCGCGACCCACGACCTGCCCCCATCTTCTTCCAATCCCGCCCGCTGCTCTCCTCGCCTCTCCTCGCCACCGTCCACGCGTCTCGCTCTCCTGTTGGCACCGTTGCGCCCCGTCTTTTGTTTTTGTTTATCGCGCCTGCCTCGCTCGCGCCCCCCCCATTGTCCATCGCGACGGCCAGCCACGCGCCCTTGCTCTCGAATCTTCTCGCGCATTTTCTCCCCGGCGCGCCCTGAGCGACTGCGACAACGCCTGCCATCAGCCCATCCCAGATTGCGCGCCGCTGCGACAGCTGCACGCCCTCCTATTAAAGCGCAGCCTTCCTGATCGCACGTGTACCCCACACTGCAGCCGCACTGTCGCGTTCGCACTTCCAAACACCTGTTCGATCCCATTCCCCCATATCCAATCTTGTCGGCCTACCCCTACTGAATCCTTCTCGCCCCGAGGCCATTGCATGTATTGACCGCTCGTCGCGCGTCACTTGTCTGGACCGCCTCGCCAGGCCCAGAGCCAACCGTGTTCCGAAACACGCGACTCGTTTCGTGCTGTACCACCCAACATGGAGTCTGAACGTTCCGTGTCCACCACGTTGCCGAGGAACTTCATGTTCCACTACCGCGATGGCCAGGCTCCACGCACCCCAGAGCCAGAGCCTCAACCCGAGCTCCTGCAGCCCCCGCCCCCGCCTCGACAAGTTCTCAAGGTCCGTCGCCGTCGCGCCACCATGGTCATCAACCCCGACGACATGGACGCCATCATGGACCAGCGACCCATCCCCACCATTGAGGCGCCCGAGGTTGTGTCCGATCAGTCGAATGAGCTGCCGTCGTACGCTCTACCCCAGGACGATGCCTTTCTGTCGCCAGGCTTCAGCTACACTCGTATGATTTCTCCGCCAAAGACCCCTGCCCATCAGGTGAGGACCATCAGCCACTACGAGGGGCCCCAGGACTGGTCCGACGTGCCCCATGTCAGTCATAGCGACACCTCTAGCAGACCTACCTCATCATCTGGCTTCTCGGACTCGTCTCTTTCGTCTTGCGACAGCATCGGGTCTTTCATGTCGGGAGGCGGCAGCTGCACCAGCCTCGAAGACGAGCTGTCGGATCCCTTTTCCTTTTGCCCGTCCCAGCCCCAGCTTCAGCGCCCAGTCTCGCCATTGATGGACCAACAGCAAACCCGCTCTGCCAAGAAGCTGAAACTGAGGGCCACTTTCACCGAGGAAATGGACTACCACCTGTGGATGACCTACATGAACTACCTGCAGGACCCTACCGTGACGCCCTTCAAGGCTCTCCCAAGTACCACGCCACCCAACGGTGTATGCCACCGCGTGGCGAGGATGGCCCGCAAGACGTGGAAGGGCCCCAAGCAAGCTCGCGCCGGACTGCGCGTGCAAGGTCAGGTTGGTACTGCCGATGGTAGCAAGCCGACCAAGGGTAGCAGCAGCAAGTCGTTTATGCGATACCCTAGTGAGAAGCAGTGTCGGAAGCGTCTTCGAGACTTGGCCAAGCAGAAACCCACCTTGTCCGCACACTACCAGCGTCTTCTCCGCCGATCTCCCTCGCCGCTTCAATCCTCGCCGCCACCAGAGGAGCCTCGGTCGCAACAGCCGTCGTCGTTGTCGTCATCGTCGTCGTCTGTGCAGCAACAGCAGCAGTCTTTGTCCTCACCTTTCTCACAGGGCTCTACGACCTTCTCGACCCGTGACATGAACGTGTCCTTGGCCACCAGTACTGCCCCATCGATGCAGTTGGGCAACCCGCTTTCACAGCTTGCCAAGGATATTACACCACGACCGACACCCAAGACATGGTCAAGTGCACGGTCGTCTGCCCACCAGAAATCGCAGTCGCTCCATATAGGACTTGGCCTTGGCCTGGGTGGTGCACTTGGCTCCCCATTCAACGTAAAGACGGACACGAACAATGTCAGTTCCAGCCAGAACAGTGCACGAACATGGCATGGGCCCTCGACGTCTCAGCCGCCACGCCTGGGCTCTCCTTTCCAGCTGCATGCCCCACGACCAAAGTCGAAAGTATTCAAGCGACGTGCTCTGCATAACAGCTTCGAAGGTCGGGCGCGTAACCGTGGGGAGAGCTTTGTGAACGAGATATTCGGGGCTCCAGCTCAATCGAGTCACCGTGGAGTGCGAAATCGTGGCTTCAGCTTGGGTGACATGACGGAGGGTGCACGACGGTTACCTCTGGCCAATGACCCATCAGGCTTCAACCCATTTGCAGACTCTAGATCTGACATGCTGACCCCCCGTTCACCGGCTGTGGCAGCGGACTTGAGGGACCAAAGTACTACTCGTTTGGGCTCACCGTTTGTTGGGCGGACGAGCAACACATTCCCTCGGTCCAGCATGTCGCATAGCTTTGAAGCTCCCGCGTCATTCGAGCAACGCTTCGCCGCCATGCCCAGCGACCCCGCACGCCAACAGCGCTCTTAGGGGCCGAGGACGGCTTGGTTGGGTTAGTGAGTGTGCTTCAGCACGACTGCATCATGGGCGTTACGACAGGCAGCCACGAGAGCTGCCCTACTGCATATACTTGCCATCTTGGTCAGGAGGCCGACGCAGCCTCCCTTTGAAAAGCATTTCCTATATTTCCTTTGTACCAACTCCTACACTCTTGGTCGTCGGCACCGACTGTCGACGACCATGTCTCCCGGTTGCGGCTACCGGGCTTACGACTTGAACATGATGATGCGGCTGAATGTGTCTTGGATTCACTTCGGTAATACGAGGACGGGACGCTGGTGTATCTTGGAGGCATGGGATGAAGACCTCCATGATGGATCACAATGATCCTGGTCCTCTTTTTTTGGGCCATGAGCCTAAGCCATCTCTTTTGTATACTTCGACATGTTCGCTTGATCGATCGAAGCTTCCACTCGTTGTTGGCCCACTGGACCGTGCGGCACTTTATTTCCTTGTGTTTGTGTGTTTCTTAGTCTTGTCACGACGGTCATGATGAAGCGTATGATGAATCGATGGGGTTATCGGCGTGAAGGGGTATCCAGTCTTCACGAATCTCAACGACTGTCTCGAAGCGTGAACGACCGATACCTAATCGTTTTTTTTTCTTCCTTTGAGCAGCGTCTGCTTGGGTGGGGAGAGGGGATCGGCTGGACGAGGTGGTGCGGGCTGGGGATGGGCCGTGAGGCCGAGGAGGAAGAGCCTGTACGCTTTGATAGATTAGCAGGTCCCCTCAGGACGAGGCAGTGTGCGGCAGACGGGGTGGTGGTAATAATGAATGAATGGAATGAATTGAATGCAGAGAAAAAAACGAGTAGGAGAAGAAGGTGAGGAGTGGGTGCGTTCCACATAAGCCCCTCTTGGTGCACTGAGCTCCGCAAGGCCGTGCCGTAAGTAGTTCCGTAACGTGCTGAGCACAGGCTTGGTGAGGGCTATGCCGAAAACAGGCTATGCTCCATGACCCAGGCAGTTTGAGTTGGTGGGAGCTGAAGCCGGGTGAGTGTGTGTGTGTGACGCAGGATCCCCCTGAGACCAGTGCCCGGCCTACCAATGGGTGGGGGATTTTCAATACGGTCCATGTAATGATTGAAAGGAAAGGCAAAATGTGGATCTTTTCTGCACACGCACCCACGCCCTACGTCGTCGCCCTGTGAGACTGGCCAGGCTGTCAGCCGGAGGAACATGATATTATATGTGTGCATGCATGTATGTATATGTAGGCGTGAGCCTTTGGCCGCCACCATGGGGTAGTTGTGATATTGGAAGGATTGCGTAGGTGTGCGAGAAGGATGCGTGAGGTTAAGAGACAAAAGGAAGCCGAAAGAAAGAAAGAAGAAGAAGAAGAAAAAAATGCAGCAGCCAAAGCATGCAGCAGCACGAAAGCGGATGGGGATTGCAAAGCAGGTAGGGCAGGGCAGGTTGGCCGCGCACCCTCACACCAACCAAAAGCCAAAGCAAACTCTCTCCATGGACGCATCCATCCATGGCGGGCATCCACGCAGCTTCAGCTCTGGCTGGCTGGGCTGGGCTGGCTGGCGGCGGCGGCGGCGGCGGGTTGACGGCACGGATGCAACAAAGCCTAGGGCATTACGGCCGAAGGGCTCCCTCCAACGTTTTCAACACACCACCACCACCACTACCACCATTACACTTGTGCTGCGTCCGTCCGTCCGTCCGGGGGGGGGGGACGCGCCAGTCACTATAGAAACCAGACCACACCAGGTCAGCCATGACAAACACGGGGGGGTGGTACACACTCACATACGCGTTGCGAAGGAAAAAAAGAAGCCCGAACTCCACTTTGGGCTTCTGCCTCACGAAAGTCAGTCAGTCAATCACACACACACACACTTGGATAATTCAAGTGCGGATACGTATGGCAATGAGTATGCGAATAAGTTAATTATCGCACAGAAAGCAAGAATGATAAAAGATGAAATGAAATAGAATCAAAAACACAGGTTCACCATCTTCCCTCTCCCCTCCCCACATGCACACACACAGCCGCCCACCAGCGGCGACAAAGCGCGTTACAAGTTTCGCGTCGTCGTCGTGGCTGCTGCTTGTTTGTTGGGGTGTGGGACCCAAAGAAAGCCTCTTCCCCACATACACACCAGCCTTATTACTAATACCAATACCCGTAATCTTTTCCTTTCTCGCTGCGTGTTTTGCATTCGGCTAAAGAAAGTAAAGAAAGAAAAAAAAAGGAAAAATAACGCGTCGATTTCGCATTGCAGGTGCCCTGTGCGCGCGACGCGTGCCGGACGCGTCGAGATGGGGCAATAGGTTTGCCGGATGCGGTTTAGACTGGTTGGTGGAGCGGGGAAAAGAAGAAAGAGAATGGTCATGGTAAAGAAAGAAGGAAAAAAATAACAAAAGGGCTCTGGAGAGGGAGGGAGAGAGGGAGGGAGGTGGTTGGAGGTGTCTAGTGCAAAGCAAGGGGTTCGACAGGCTTTGTTTCTGCTTCATACTGATACTGCTGCTGTTGTTATCGACGCTGCATTGTTGATGTCCGCTCCGTCGTCATGGCGGCAGTGCGATGGATGCCTGTTTGCAGCGGCGGGCTGACTGACTGACTGACTGACTGACCTTCGGGAGATCAACAAAGTCAGGCCATTCACTATTGATTTCGCCCTGTGAATTATTACCAGCACACCCTCTCCCTCTGTACATGTACGCCGATGTAATGTTTCACCCCCTGTTCCCCCCTCCCCCCTCCCCCCCAAATCCTCTGCCGTTTTCCCCGGGCTTATCTTTGCCTGCGTCCGGTCACGACACCATCTCGCGCGTGCGCGCACCGGACGACACACGCGTTGAACGCTTGATCCGTGGAAAGTTTCAGCCTGAGGCGCCGAGCATGCCCCAGCCAAGGTCCCCACCGCTTGCCCTATCGTCATGGCCCTCGACGCAATTCCAGCCTGCTTGATATCCAAGCCGTGCTTTCATTGACACAGCCATTGCCTATCTCGTGTATCGTCTTGTCCAAGGGTGCTCCTTACCTGAGCATTAGTGCTCCTCGAGATTTGCTTTCTCCGCACAACACTAACGCTTTCTCATCAGCGCCACCACCACCACCGCCACCAAGCCTCGGGTAATATTTGCTCTATTCCTCTTCCGAAATAATATATGCCCACGCTGCACCATTCACACTTCCCGGTACCGATGACGGGACCACAAATCACTTATCGGCCCTTTGTCGATTGATCGTCACAAAGCCCGCTTTTCCCAATTCTCACCACACACACACACACTTTCTCTCTCTCTCACTCTTACAGTACAAACGGTTTGCGGTATCCGTTTGGCCTGGCAGCAAGACCAGAAGAGAAAAAAAAGTACCGCTAGATATTACCGGCATCGCTTCCACCCTGCAAATGCACTTCGCCTCCTGACTCTGTGCATTCAGCTTCCCGGCACCGCACTTTCATGACCCGTGCTGACGTCTGCCCTGGACTCGACTTGCAAGCTAGCCTCGACACGAAACCTAGGTCCTCGCTCCGTTGATTGTTTATTTGTTTGTTTATTTGTTTGGGGGGGCAGGCGCACCGCGTCGATAACACTACAAGGTTGCATGTAACCATGGCGGCACTTGGCACTTGATAAAGTCAATTCTCGCAAGGATGCTTTCCGTCGGATACCTACCAGCCTGGGAGTCCTTGCATGCGGTTCAACGATACATTGGCGTCTGAAATATCTACCAGACACTACCAGGCACAGCAGCTTTTCTCTACCCGCTGTCATTGACGATTTGAATCAATCAGGTATGCAGATCACGTACGAGTCCCGCATTAATGATTGCAGGGCGATGTCTGGTGCGTCAATGACAAGTATGAGACATCACCATGAACTGTTCTTTCGGATACACGAAAGTGTAAGCTATAATCTCTCGTTATACAATTTAATCTATCCCGATATAATGCAAGAAGAAACACTGACAAAAGGAACATGACTAGATGACGCAATCACAACAGGTCCCCAACTCCTAGCTACACAGCTGAACCCGGGGTATAAAAAGCAATCGTACAACATCGCCAACACGTATATCTACTCCTCAGTCTTCGTCTGTGACGAATTCGTTCGATATCATTGTGTCTAGTAAGACCAATGCCATTCCTATGGCGAAACATCGCTCCCGTTCCTCAAATGCATCTTGCTCATGTTGCCATTCTGCGGCATCTGCGCCAGCCAGCTCGGTGGCGCCATACCCGTCTGGTCATGAATGGTGCTCAGCAGCGGTGGCAGGCTCTGAAAGAGGTTACGGATAGGAGCCGAAGGATCAGCCATGCCGTCGCCTCCTTGGCTGCCCGTGTTCCAGACATTGATCTTGGGCTGAAGGCCCTTGATGGCGTTTCCGTTAGCCTCGGCCAGCTTCTCGTACGTTCCGTTGGTGAGCATGAGGTATTGCATGAGACCCTGGGGTCCTCCAAGCACGTTGGCCATGTCGCCGTAGGCCTTGGCCATTGCAGAGAGACCTTCTGCTTCGCGCTGCTGTCTGATAAGTTGGGCCTGGGCCTGGCGCTCCTGCACAAAGTACTCTGCTTCGGCCGCGCGCTTGGTCACAATGAAGTTTGCTTCGGCCTCGCGCTCCTTGGCCTGGAAGTCTGCCTCTGCATCGCGTAGGCGCCGGAATGCAGCCGCCTCGGCCTCAGCCTGCTCAGCGTACTTGTTACCTTCGGCAGCCTTCTCCTGGGCGTAAAGCTGTGCGTCGGCCTTTTCCTGCGACGATTCCTTCTCAATCTTTGCCTGCACGACCTTGGTGGCTCGCAGACGCTCAAGTTCCATAAGAGCCCTCTTCTTCTCGACTTCCATCTGCAGCTCTGCATCGCGGCGTTCGGCCTCGCGTTTAGCGTTGATCCTGGCGACGTTGAGGTCCCTGCTAATCTCAATCTCCTTGTCTGTAAACTTTGCGTCTGCCGTGGCCTTTTCAGCCTTGCGCTCAGTCTCGAGAACAGCTGTTTGCGCGTGGATCTTGGCAACCTCCTGCTTGGTTTTTCCCTGCTTTTCAGCCTCGCCAACCTCGCCCTGCATGCGGGCATGGGCGACGTCGACCTTGGCCTGGTTGAGAGCACCCTCGTGCGCCTTGCGGGAAAGGAAAGCAAAGTACTCGGAGCCCGGCGTGTCTTGCAGCTCCTTGACGTTTGCGTTGTAGATGCAGAGACCAAACTGGTCGAGTTCACTCTGCACTTGCTGAATCACCTTGTCCTTGAAGATCTTGCGCTCGCGGAACAGCTCCTCCATGGTCATGGTAGACACAATCGACCGCGTTTCTCCTTCAATAATACCCTTGACAATGTCCTGCACATGGCTGCGTCCCTCGGCGACGCTGACCGCTCCCTTGGACGCATTCTGCGTCGGTCTGCCGTCGCTCTCGCCCGTAAGCAGAACAGCGTATTTCTCCAGCGCTGCGGGGCTATCTGCAGGCCCAATCGTGAAGACTGCCGGAAGCGAGAACTTGAGCTTCTCAATCGTCATGGCCTGCAGCGACATGGAAAAGTCGAATGGCGTAATGGAGATCTTGGATACTTTTTGCAACGGGTACACAAACGCCTTCTTCTTGATGAGCACCTTTTCGATTCCTACACCCGTAATCACGAGATAGGAATTCGGCTCTGCGACATGGTACCACATGGTGACGGGTGTGTTCTTCCGATGTTGATGAAAGGGGGGGTTGGCGAGGGGAGATGTAGGAATGGACGGTAAGCTTTTATAAGAAAGAAAAGCCGGAAAATCGTGCAAACGACAAAACGAGAGGGTGTCCAGGTAATATTATGGGTTTGTATCGATGAAAGACTACACAAGAACCAAGGTAAATGTACCGTACCGACCAATATCGAAATGGTGGATATGGGCTATGGCGAAAGCGGCAAAACGGGTGCGATGCTCATACTTTTATACACACGCACCACCAGCCCACGGTACTCCCCAGATGACTTGTAACTCCCCTCCATTCGCGGTATGCAACATGTCTGCAGCCCGGTGAGGACATTCGTCCAAATCGTGGAGAGATACTGTACGCATCCCCGCGCGCTAGTACGCAAGCGGAATAGCGCCATGTGCTCGGATACCCTGAGTCTGCCTCGCACCGCCACCACATGTGACCTTGGAGGGGGCCTGAAAGTCGGGCACTGGAAAAGATAGCTTACTACGGCCGGTCACCCAATGCGTGCAAGATCAAGGTATGCGGGTTGTTGTTGTTGTTGTATCAGCAATACGTCTGACCTATCCCAGTGGGAGAATGCACGACGTGGCGACTGCTGTGCTAACCTTCTCAGACACTGGGCTTACCCATTCTCGACAGAGGCGCAATATGCATGGTCTTTCTGTCTGATCATGATCAAGACATGTTCAGCTTGCCAAGACACCTCGGTCCGGGTGTTGCCTTGCAGGGAGAGGGTTTGAGTAACTCGGTGCCCCTTTATTCGCTAAGCCATGTGTATCCAGGCATCTCGCAACCAAGGTTGGGATGGTCACGAGACGAGCTCTGCAGCAGTGGTAGGGTCATTGGGGGGGGGGGTGGCTAGCTGAAAAAAGAACCTTCTATCACGAACGAGGCTGAGCTATTACTTACGGCAGATTTACCGATGTCTTTAGGTCGGTTGCCTTGCCGCGATCCGTAGCCAAGCTGTTCACTTGTTGATGCCTCTCTTTTTTTCTGGATCTCGCCACTGGGGACAAAGCAAAAAAAAGTTAGGGAATGACTGAATGACTGGCTGGGAAAGAAGAAGAGACGATACACAACTCGGGAACTTGAGGCTTGCAACTTGGGTTTACTTACTCCCCTCGCTTGATCTGACCATCACCACCGCCAATACGCCTTCGCTCACAGCAGCAATTCCTCACCTTATTGTCTCAAACACGTCCTTCCATCTCAACATCTACCTGGATATCGTGAAGGAAGAGAGAAAAAAAAAGATGTCACCACAAAAAGATACCGATTCCCCTCCTCCATACGCAGTAGCATACACCTCTTCTGGACCTGTGCCCCCCTCCTCCTCTTCTTCTTCGCAGAGCCAAACCATGCTCAACCAACTCAGCACCACACGCACACGCCACATCCAATCCGTCATCTCGCACTCCATCATCCCGCTCATCCAAGCCCGCACCGCCTACGGCATCGCGCAGACAACACTCGCCCTGCTGCCCTCAGACATCCCGCTGCCGCCCGTAGCCGAGCAATCCGAGTTCAGCTTCGCGGCCGCAGACACCGACACCAAGCCCGTCCAGGTCATTGGGTTTTCGTCCCAAGACGAGCCGCAGGTGGTGCGGCTGCAGGGCCAGATGAACCGCACCGAGTTCTGGAGACCGCAGCTGGTCATCGATGAGCTGGAGACGCTGTTGACGCTGAATCTGAATCCGCCGCCGCCGCCCGAGCACACGACGCCGACGTCGTGCGATGCTGCTGCTGCGGGAGAATCGGCGCCCCGGCACTCGCGCCGCACCTTGCTGAGCAGAGTGATGCCGTCGCTGGGGCCAGAGCTGCGGTCGCCGGGCAACAACCCAGAGGTTGGCGTCGCTCAAATAGCGCAAAAGGGCGTCGTCGTCGTCAAGGCGCGGTTGGAGGAGATTTGCCTCAGGACAGTTAGTGAATTCGGCTTGTTTGATACCATGTCTAGACAATGTGTTATTATCCGCGTTGATGCGCGCTGTTGACGTGGGAGTCTATGGACGACTCAAGTATGCTGTGGGACATATATCTTCACATCTAAGACATGCTTGTTTGACGCCATAATCATATTCGAAATAAAAATAACAAGAAAAAAATACCGACTCACTACACAGAACAACGCCTACTCAATGTCTTAGCCGTGCTAGGCATAACACACCGCTATGTCCTAAACACCACACTCACCCCCATTATATTTTACAGCCTGAACATCCAACTCCCTCATAAAACTCACATAACACACAAAAAAAAGGCAATGGCATGATGCAGCAGCCTGTGCCGTGGCTAATTGACGTATCCACCACCCATGCACGTGCACATGCAAAAAGAAACTCCCCCGGAAAGGCTCGAACTTTCAACCTCCTGATGAGCTACAAACATGCTGTAACAGTCAGACGCGCTAGCCAATTGCGCCACGGAGGAGATGAGTTTGGGCGAAAACGCTGAACGCGCTTCGGTTTTGAGTTGTGATGGAAAGACGAGTAATGGAAAAATTTATTATTGTACGTGTTTGGGGGGGGGGGTGGCATGCTGACGGGTCTACTGTGTGGGATTGGGTGGCTTGGCGGCAGACCCCAGTAGTTGTTCGTTCCACGACGCAAACTCAAACCGGCTCTTTGTTGGCAACCTCGGCTATTAAGCTTGTGTGTATCCAAGTCATATATTTTTTCTAAGCTTGTTCTGCGTCGTTTTTCAATACCACAATGCTATATGGATCTCTGTCCGCCTCGCTTACCGCGACCTCAAAGTCGTAGTCTGCTACTGCATCCTTGAACTCTTCCTTGTCTTCGCACTCTTGCCTGACCTTGTTCCACTCCACGTCTATAGCGTCTTCGAGTTGCATGGCCATGACTTCGGCCAGGAATCCGCGCTCCGAGTTGCTGTGAAACAGGCTGATGACTACTCGTCCCTGCTCAATGGCTGCGAGCGTGGCGTGATGATCCATTTCGCCTGTAAAGTATAGATCGACGTCTAGGCCGCTGAGCAAGCCTGAGCCGGAGCCTGCACATATTCCTATGCTTTTTATGGTCATGTCGGAGATTGATTTCCCTTGGGGTATGGCAATGGGAAAGCCCTTGGGGTTGTTGAGGCCCTTTCCTATGCGGTCGAGGAGGTCAGGGAGTGGCTGTGCGTGGTCGAATCTCACGATGCGGCCCATGCCTGCATTGGGATGTGAAGGGATTTCTGGCGACTGCGGCTTGATCACTTCCCGCTTGTGTGGAGCAGTGAATGAGCTCGCCAAATGGGGCGGCTTGCCCAAACGAAGAATGGGCTGGCTCGGGTGGTGGTTCAATGTAAAGGTGGGACGTTTCTTCTCAACAAAGGGATCGTCGTCGCTTTCTGCTGCGGGATTTGAAGAGTCGGTCTGATCATCCGCGCCCTGGGGTCCATTCACTTTCTTCGTTCCTGTAACAATGTCTGCCAACCAATCTCCAAGTCCTCCTGGCGCCGCGTCCAATGCCGTGTGTGGACAGTATACACTAATGCCATGACTAGCCAAGCGCAGCAAGGACTGCTGTTGTGTGTCGGCAAGAGTCAATGACTTCAATCCTCTGAATATTATGGGATGGTATGCGACGATGATCGAGGAATTGAGAGCAATGGCCTCGTCGGCAACCGCCTTGGTAAGATCGATGGTGAGCAGGACTGTGTTTGACTGGCGGCGAGACGGAATGAACGGTGCTTCGAGCAGCAATCCGGTATTATCCCAAGAGTTGTCTGCAAGCTCTCGCGGATATCTTGTCGCAGTCAACACCTGAATACATTGACAGGAATATTCGACACATGGGAGTAAACTTACAGCTTCCGCATCGCCGCCACAACCGCCTTGGAAAACGGCGCACATGTCGTAGTCGCACTCATTGCGAGCCTTCGTGCCGTAGCTATAAACATGCAACCGTAGAGTGTGCAATAGCAACTTGGAGCTGCGCGCTGTACAACCACAATCACACGCGCCAACCACCCCTGCACTCATAGCCGACGTGCGTCATCCGCTGCTGCCCCTCACGCCGTGATTCTAGCCTTTCCGAATTCGGAGGACACATCTTATCTGATCCGAAGATAGCATCACTGGATGAATATCGCATTGCCTCATGGATCCACGGCACAAACTCTACAAAACATTCGACACACTCGCACTCAACCCAGAAGATAGCGGTACAATGAGTGCAAGGACCGATACCGAGGCCACAAGCGTGCAGGCCACTTCCGGCGTGACCATGGAAGGACTCAAGAAGAAGCTGGAAGACGGACTGCAGGCTACCTATGTTGAGATTGAGGATCTGAGTGGTACGTCATAGTTTGACGCATAGCCGGAAATTGGAGAGAGACATGTTCTGTGAGCGTGGTGTCGTGCTGGCAGATTTCTCAAAGTGCTTGAGTCACAGGGACCCCGCTAACACACTGAATAGGCGGGTGCGGACAAATGTACGAGGCCATTATTGTATCACCGCTATTTGCCAAGAAGACAACGCTGGCACGACACCGGCTCGTCAACAGCACTCTGAAAGAGGAAATTGCAGCAATACATGCGTGGACGCCAAAGTGCCATACGCCGGAAGAGTGGGAGAAGAAGAAGCCACAATAAACTGACCACACATCCATCATGGCGAATCCACTGAAAAACCCCTGCTCGCCTTTGTCAAGTCCATTTCATGGTGCAACTCGTTGATGAGGGTCATTTTTAGATAATAGGAATTATGCATCTCAGGTCCAACGGGGCTTTGCGTATTTTTTGCCTATAGCCCTTAACTGAGTAGCACTCGTATCTCACCGCTAGTACGAGGAAATAAATCTCTCAGCCTAGGCTCCTGCTCCTCATCCTCCCTTTCCCCATCATAGAGCAGATCGTCTGCAGCCATTATCTTGCTCTCCACAAATTCAAAATCCTCGCAGAACTTGCTAGCGGCCTCGTCGGTGATATCTTGTATCATCTTCCTGTTTTGTAACCGTTTGATGTTCTCCGATGCATCAATCAGCGCAGATGGCAGGAACTCATCCAGTTGTTGGCTGGCAGAAACTAGTGCATCAGGCTTGAATGCTTCCAACTTGGACACTGTCTTGATGCTTTCAGCAGAGTCGGTGATTTCCGCAAGAGCGTCAATAAGAGTAGCAAGGCCAGACTCGTTGACCAAATATCGATGTTGGTAGTCTGTCAGCTTAGCAACAGTTTCTTCAACTGTGTCGTCTATATCTCTAACCCGCTCATGCGCAAAGGTATACTGTGAGAGCACCTCTCTGGCCGCGAATAAGCAGTTGAGGGCGAAGATGGCGTTATCGGGTTCTTTCATTTCTCTCTGCATGCCCTCACAGCCGTTCAAGAAAGGATCTAGAGCTTCTGAAAGCACAGCCTGGAAGCCCTGTCCATTGTCGTCTGTCGCAGCAAATGACGTATCGTAGCTTTTCGCGAGAACTTTGAGTATCTGCAGTGCGTCCTCCAGGAACTCGGGAGGAGACAAGTCGGCGGGCGCCACGGCAAGGTCGCTTTGCACATTAGCGACATAGTCTCTCATGTTGGCGCGGAACTGTCGCATCGCGGAAGCCTCCAACGTGTTGAAAATCTCCAAAACTTCAGAGTCCGCCCCCAGCAGCTTGGCAAAAGTTCCTTCGTAAAAACCAATCAGGTTCGCAATCTTGTATGCAAGCGTCGCATCGTCATGGATTTGGACGACCTGCTCTGTTCGCTGCCTCAACAGGCGGGCTACGCCTGCCAGGTCACGGCTGACTAACTGGTTCAAGGCTTTGTGACCGTCGAAAACCTCAGTCTCATCGTCGCCTCTTAGCCACGGCTCACTCTCCAAACCAGCCTGGATGGAGCGCTTAATCTCCTCGCCATCTGAGATGAAGAGGTTCTCAAGGGCTTCTCTCTCCGACACTGTTGTGGAATGAGCCCAGGCAAGCATGTCGCCTACATAACGAAGAGGATCGTGAGCGTGAAACTCGATAGGCTTAGTGGCTATCTGGGTTTCCGCCGTCGAACCAGTCAATGCTGCATGAAATGCGTCGGACAGAATCGACTCGCGGGCTTCGGCAAACGAGTCCAGACAGCTTTGGAACAGAGTAGGCCGTTCGGCCAACACACGCAGCGACCGCCGGACAGATGCACTAATCTGTGGATTTTCCAGGTCTAGTGTTTTAAACTCGCGTTGGATCCACCGGTAAAGCTTTTGAAAAGCGGAGTTGAGTTGCTTGGAGCTTCTTTCCAGCACTTCTAGGCCCAGCCGCTGATCTTCAGTCCCAAGGAGTACTTGGCAGTCGTGATGGATCTTCTTCACGCGGGTCAAGATTTGGAAGAACTCCTCGTTAACGGGCTCCGCAGTAGAAGTCAATACGGTGACGTCTTCTTCAGTGATGAGGAAATGAGCACTGAATGCGTTGAGAACCTGCTGCTTGGATTCAACCTGCTTCTTCTGGCCCATGAGGCTGGTGGCTTCTTCCAAGACAGGGTCTGTCTCTTTGCTCGCAGCTGCAATGTGACCGCGCATATCAGCACAATAGTTGTTCAGACTACTGATGGCGGTTCCGATGCGCTTGAGTTGCTGCAGACGTTCAGCACGAGATTGGTAGAGTGCGCCGCCCAACGTACCTCTGCGACATGGCCAAAGTCGCTGATGATCTCGCCATTGCACTGGATGACTTCTTTTTGCACATCCAGACGGAGCTGCCGGCGCGTCTCTGCAGAGTTCTGCACTTGACGTGCATCCAAGGTTTCCAGAGCATCCCGAATCTCCAGGTCAGCATAGGAAGCGGAGAGCACGCTCGTGATGCGACTGGAGAGGGCATTTGTGCCTCGCGATGCGGGGGCTGCTGGGGGCGGCGAGGGCGAGGAGCCATTCTGGGGCGCTGGAGCAGCCCGGTCGTGGAGGAGGCCCGTCGCCATGAGTGGGTGGGTGTTGTGACCTTGGCCCAGAAAGGTGTCAAATCGGGCAAACTGGCGGCAAGTGCAGCCGGCCGATCTTATCGATAGCCGCCAGGCGCGTCACCTGCATGAATCCCATGTCGACGGGGCGCTCGAGATAGCCGCAACCATCACCACCCACGCCCGCTGCCCCATCCTGCTGATATGATCACCGACTAGGCTTCTGCCGCTGCTCATGGATGCTCGCCTCGACTTCTGGGGATCACGCTTTTGGTCCTCTGACCCTGCTTGCCCTCAAACGCCCGCGATCCAGTGCAGCACGGCCACGCGCCCCGCCGTTGCCTGAGCGCAGCACCCTGCGTCGGCCATGATGGCGTCCAACCTGCTATCCAAGCTCCTCCCCTCCGCCTCCGACGAGCCCTACGAACACGAGCCACTCGTCCCCCACCATCGCCGCGACTCCACCTCGACCGAGGAGCGCCACGAGATGGACATAGACGAGGAGAACTTTGGCGCCCGCTTTGAGGAGCAGGACCTCGCCCACCTGCTTGAGGAGGCCTCCTCCAGCCAGATGACCACCGAGAGCCGTGCCGTATCTCCAGACGCCAAACGCAACGCACCGCCCGGCATCAATACGGCAAATCGCATCCCGGCATGGAGACAGCCCAGCCCAGCCCGAGCTGCTCCTTTGGACGACGATGATGACGTACCCCAATCATTGCTGCTCGAAGGAGGCCATGAACCAGGGCCGAGTTCGAATAAGCGCAACGAAGGCCTCCCCATGCCTGTGCCGGGCCCATCGACGCGACAGACACGGGCACAGTGGGACGCCACCCGTACGCAGCAACGGCTGCACGACGATGATAGGAGAGGTGCACCCGCAGGGCCTTGGGGGCACACCAGTAGACCTGGACACTTTACAGCAGACCCAAGGGAGAAGGCACTCTGGCTTTGGGTGAATCAGACGGATCTGGATAATTACATGACGGAGGTGTATGACTACTATGTTGGCTGCGGCATCTACTCGATCCTTCTTAGGAGAGTTCTCACGCTCTTGCAAACAGCCTTTGTAGTAGGCTTCATGACATTTCTGGGATGGTGCATCGATTACTCCAAGTTGTCGCAGAGCAACAAGATGAGCCAGGTTCTGGTACCCAAGTGTGCTGCAAGGTTAGTCATTTCCACCCAGTGCTGCCAAACTATAGCTGACGTGAAGTAGAATCCATGGTGTTTGGATACTGGCCCTTTGGTTCTTCATCATCTACTGGCTCTACTCATTCTACAACACGGTCACAGATATACCCCGGCTTCGAGCTATGCATGACTTTTATCACTACCTACTTGATATTCCCGACTGCGACATTCAGACCATACAATGGCAGCAGGTCGTGACACGGATCATGGCGCTACGAGACTTGAACTTGACTACTGCTTCCAATCTATCGCCAGAAACGCGCAAGTTGCTCGACTCGAAGAGCAGGCAGCGGCTGGACGCTATCGATATCGCGGGCCGCCTGATGCGGCGTGACAACTATCTCATCGCCCTATTCAACAAGGAGATACTCGATGTGACCGTCCCTCTACCATTCCTAGGCAATCGATACATCTTCTCCGAGACTACGAAATGGCATGTCAACCTCGCCATTATGGATTTTGTGTTTAGCGGACCAAACGGCCAGTTCAATCCGGATTTTCTCAAAGAACGTAATCGGCGAGAGCTTGTGAAGCGATTGAAGACGCGCTTCTTCTGGACGGGCATCATCAGTATTCTTTGCGCGCCCTTTGCCGTGGTTTTTGTATTGGCCTCGTATCTGTTCAAGTACTTTACCGAATACCACAAGGACCCAGGCCAACTCAGCAACCGCGATTTCACAACCTTTGCTCAGTGGAAGTTCCGCGAGTTCAACGAGCTTCCTCACTACTTTGCCCGCCGCCGTAACATGGCTTATCCATACGCAAACCTCTATCTTGCTCAGTTTCCAAAGGATAAGACTGAACAGGTTTCGTCGTTTGTCGCATTCATTGCAGGTGCCTTTGCATTTGTTCTCGTACTCTTCACCCTCTTCGACTCTGAGCTATTCCTCAACTTTGAAATCACACCTGGAAAGACTGCCATCTTCTGGATTGGTATTCTTAGTACGATATACCGCGTCGCACGGGGAAGCAGTCCTCAGGACGATCAGGTCACAGATCCGTCCTACTATCTCAACCACGTCATCTACCACACCCGTTATGAGCCAGAATCGTGGCGTGATAGGCTACACACCGACGAGGTCCGGGCTGAATTCACCAAGCTGTACCAACCGAAGATCCTCATCTTTGCCGAGGAAATTCTGAGCATGGTCATCACACCTTTCCTGCTCATCTTCAGACTGCCAAACTGCAGCGAACGCATCGTCGACTTCTTCCGCGAATTCTCAATTGTCGTTGACGGTTTAGGTGTTACATGCTCCTACTCCATGTTTCCATCGACAAAGACCACCCGCAATGCCAATAACATTCCAGCAAACGGTACCGGTGCTCGCAGGGAAGACCCAGATCTCCGTGAAGACTACTTCATGGCCAAAGACAACAAGATGATGGCTTCGTACTACGGCTTCTTAGATACATACCAGAACTCTGGTCGCGGCTATAATGGCCGCCTGCAAGGACGAAGCAACTTCCATCCTCCACCCCAGTTTCCAAACACATTTGGAACAATGTCGCAGACTGCGCAGCCGTTGGACATTGGTGCAAGAGGACCAAATCGAGGGCAGCCTGGCCGACAGAACCTACAGCAGAGGACACCGAGAAACCGGCCTACGGCAAGAGAAGAGTCTATGAACTCGATGCTCCTCGATCCCCACCATCAGCCTTCTTCGGCCTCGATGCTGCGTGGATCCCCTCATCAAGCAGCGGCTAGCCGATACCGTACACCTCTTCAACCCGTTTCGGACGCACAGGGTCCATCGCACACTCGAATCGAAGAAGAAAGTATGCTGGGCGACTCATGGCGCACAAGTCGACTGGCTCAAGACGACGATGAGGAAGAAGAGGCGCCAGGCAACAATCGTGGTGGAGTCCTGCAGCTCTTGCAACAGTTCTCTAGAGCCCAAGCTGAAGGTCGAGGCGCTGGCGTGGGCGTTTAAATTTCGTCTTGCTGATTTTGAATACGGTTCGCATGGGTCGGTCATCCGGGAGCTGTGTGGCGTTTGTTTACGCGTGTTGCCTTTGTTCCATTTTTATACCACAACCAGCATAGCAGAATTATTAGTAGAAACATGTAGTAAAGACCACGTGCTCCATTGATGATACAAGTACTTCGGATGATCTACCCTGCAGTGATCATCATCACCAAAGATGCACAGATTAGACCGGAGTTAGGCTTCACCATCGCACGCCGCCGTTGCTGTCACAAAGGAAGCGAACATTGTTGTATTATTTGCCATTGACGGGCTGTTCTTGGTCATTCTCTACAGTTACATGCCGCAGAAGTTCACCCTCCAGCCTTCATCCGCAACTGATGAAGAAAACAAATCACGCCGTAACCGAATTCCCATTGAACCCATGATCGTCATGCACAGCAGCTCCTTCCTCTCCACTCAGCATCTAAGCGGATGACTCGAAAGCGCTAGGGAAACGGCGGATGTTGTCGGCGAGTTTACCCTTGTTGCGGAGGAACTGGACGTAGGCACCGTCGATCTTGACCTTGCCCTCCTGGCGCTGCTGGACGTACTCCTCGCGCTTAAGAGGGGTGAAACCCCAGTTCTTGGAGACGATGATCTTCTGGCGACCAGGGAACTGCGAATAGTGAGCTTTGGAGCATTCAGCATACACTGGCATGTCCACATACCTTGTACTGGCAACGCCTCAGAGCCTCAAGAGCGATAGCGCGGTTAGAATCCCTAGTCCTGACGGACATGAGGATCTGACCAATGTTGACACGAGCGACAAGACCGTTGGGCTTGCCGAAAGCACCACGCATACCCGTCTGCAATCTATCGGCACCAGCGCACGACAACATCTTGTTGATACGGACGACGTGGAAGGGGTGGACGCGGACACGGAGATGGAAAGATTCCTTTCCTCCGCTCTTGACGAGGTACTTGTTGGCGCAAATACGGGCGGCTTCCAGAGCCTCGGAAGACAGCTGCTCGTACTCGTTGGAGACCAGGTGGATGCAGAGCGGGAAGTCGTCTACGTTGGCCTTCTTGCGACCGAGGTCGAAGATGCGGATCTTGGCATCGGGAACACCACGGTTGAACCTGCTCTTGGGGTACTACAGCCCAGTCAGCCTATTGTCCTCCCCTCGCTGTATCTCCAGTCTGACGTACGGGCTTGTTCTTGCAGTAGCGGTAGCAACGGGCGGGACGGCGGGCCATTGTGACGGTTCTTCCTGCTTTGAAATCAATGAGCGGATGTCGGGGGAGCGCGGAAAACGAGGGCGAGCGCGCAAACTGGTGACGGCGTCAGTAAAGCGTTTGCCAGAGGATCCGAGTTCGACAGCCGTACCTTACCCTTTATTTGAGTGTTAGTGGGGAGGTGTCGGAGGGCGAAGTCGAGGGAAGTCGTCGGTCGTGATTGCTAATCACAATATTGCGCACCACACGCCAAGACCCCGTTAAGCGAGCGCATTGATTTCCAAGCAGGCAAGCGTACGCGCCACCCAACCCAAGTGCGATTCTGGGGATCTGTGGCAATGCGACGCCACCCGCGGTTGCTCTGATGCAATAGCCTATATGTCTTTGCTGCTTTCAAAGCCGTCTTCATCCGTCAAACAATGGTCAAGCGATGCCGGGCTTTGCATTGAGCGATAGCATCACGCTCCAGAGTAGGTATACTCGAATGCATGTTCGACTGTCTCGAAGCAGTTTTGCCTCAACGGCGCAAGGCTACCAGACGGCGCGGCCAGGCTAGTCATAATGAGTCACATCATACACTGCATAAAACGATCAGGCGTTGATGGCTCATGAATCTTGTGTCATTCATTGGATATCATCAGGGGCCAGCATGTGCTACACCCTAGGTATCATGTCTAACTGATTTCCTTCCCACGCGCTAAACTGCTCTAGTTCTCGGTGTTGGTGCTCAGGATGTCAGAGTCACCTGAAAACTGTTAGTGAAAAATGTAGTGTTACCAAGGGACACAGATACGTACCAGCGTCGAGGATGGACATGACAGAGCAGCGGAAGAGCTTACCGCAAGCAGTTCCAAGCTCAATCTTCAAGTAGGTTAGCTAACAGCTCTCCATGGCCATAATCGGACCAATTCTCAGAGCCAGCCCTCGGAGATAACCCCGTGCCAAATGGAAGCATTCACTGTTTAGTTCTGCCCTTGTAATCCAGGTCGAGAATTTCTAAACTCATAGATGAGAAGCCCCATTGCACGAGTATCTCGTCGTTAGGCAATGAGAGTGGACGGGGTATGTACGTACGTTGTTTCCGGAGAAGTGGTGGACAGAGGTCTTGGAAAGCATGGCGTAGTCTGGCAATATGTTAGCCATGCCTTTGGAATCGCAGGAAAAAATTGCTTACACTCGAGCTCAGACTTCCTCAGAGGAGGAGTGTTGCCGGCAATGATGACGAGCTTGGCCTTGCCAGTTCGGAGGCTCTTGAGGGTAGACTTGTAGCCGAGGGTGACCTTACCGGACTTCATCACAAGCGCCAGGCGCGAGTTGATGGAGTCGGCGGTTCTCTTGTTCTTCTTGGGGGCCATCGTTGCACGTAGGAAGTTATCTGGAAAATTCCTAAGGGTGTTGTTGTGCTCCGGTCGTGAGGTGTGGATGTTCAAGAGGTAGGGCGCTCGCCAAAATTCTGTGTGCGAACCGACGCCAAGATTTTCTAAGCTAAAATGATGACTCAGCCGCCGTGCTGGTGAATGGCGTTTTAGGAGCAGCCTAACCCGAGATGCGAGGAAATGGAGTGCAATACGGTGATGCAACGCAAAAAGTCTGCCGAAAGATAAAACGTTTGAACATTGAGTACATAGCTACGAAATCAAATCACATTGCCTGCACCAGAATGCTTAACATGGTATCACTGCATTTTCATCCGTCATTATTCAACAACGGCCGTGAACTCCTTCCCACTCGACACCTGCCATATTTCACCAAAATGCATCAGAAACAGCGTCTATGCTGCAGCTCTTTGCGTCTGTCTGCCGCCTCGAGTTGGAGCTGGAACAGCGCCAGGCCGGTTGAGGGTATACTTGGCAAAGGCTCTTGCTAACGCCTTCTTTGCACTGACCTTCTGTGAGCCAACAAAAGAGTCGACTGCAACAGCAATCGCGCGGTCAATGTCTACTGATGCACAGTAGTCGGATAGGCGCATCTTGCAGAAGGCTTCTGCAATGCGCAATATAGCCTCAAGGTGACGGACCTGATAGTGTGAGTAAATAATGCAACCTTTTGAGATTGTTCAACTTACAGTGATAGGGTAGGCCCCAGTTGCCGTGGACTCTCGGCGCATGTCTGCAAACAGACGTGCAATCTTGTCTTGCTCAATCTGGTAGAGCTTGGGTCGGCACTTCTCACGGGCATAGAGAATGTACTTCCTCAAAAGCTCCTGAGGAATCTCGCCCTCCTTGCTTGGAGCGTCTCCGTCGACTTCCATTTGCTCATCGCCGTTTTGTGAGGCCTTGCCTTTGTCGGAATAACCGTAGGCCGAGTTAACAAGAGGATGCGCCCGGCCATGGGAGTTGACAACAAACTTTGCAAGGCGCTCGTCCTCTGACGGATCCACAGTGTCGCGCACAACGCACAAAATGTCGAAACGAGACAAGATAGGCTCCGTGAGCTCAACGTTTTGCGAAAAGGGAATCGTAGAGTTGTAGCGCCCACCAATTGGATTGGCAGCAGCTACAATCGAACAACGCGCTTGAAGTGTCGTGACAATACCGGCTTTTGAGATGGAGATGGTCTGCTGCTCCATGGCTTCGTGAATCGATGTACGATCCTGATCATTCATCTTGTCAAACTCGTCAATAAGGCAGGTGCCCTTGTCTGCAAGCACTAGAGCGCCTCCCTCCAGAGTCCATTCGCTCGTCATAGGATCACGACGAACAGAGGCTGTCAGACCAACCGCAGAGGCACCCTGACCAGTTGCGAAAACAGCACGATGAGCGGTCTTCTCGACATACTTCAAGATTTGAGATTTGGCGGTACCAGGATCTCCAAGAAGAAGCACGTTGATATCACCACGAATCGAATGGCGACCAGGTGCCTCTTTGCTGACACCTCCAAAGAGCGAGAGCGCCACAGCGGTCTTGATGTCAGTATGGCCATAGATGCTTGGCGCAATGGATCCGATGATCTTATCGACGATGCGCGGGTCCTTGGACAATCGTCGAATCTCTTTTTCATCATCTTCAGTCAAGCGGAAGCCTGCCAGTTGGTCGTGAGACTTGACGATATAGTTCGCCTCGAGAATGGTCGCAAAGACAGGGAAACCGTTCTTGTTGTTCAGAGCAGCATCATAGTTGTTGCGGTAGATACCCGTGACTTCAATCTCTTCTCCAGGTTTTGCGGAATCGATCAAATCCCAAAGAAGGATAACCTCGCGGTGACGCGGCAAACGACCAGCCGGAACAGTTCCAGGAGATTCCTGCAAGGTAAGCTTCTGGTAGTTACGGTAGACCGTGCGCTCGGAGTTGACTGTGAAAGGACCGCGGGACTGGCAGTTCTGACAGAAGGAGATTTTGACTTCGACATTGGAATCCTGATGGAAAGGTCCAAGCGTGACACCGCACTTGGTGCAGTCAAACTTGACATACTTGAGTTGAGGGAAAACTCCACTGCGACGAGTAACGACTCCGCTAACACGGACAAGGCTGTTGAGATGTGACTGACGAAGCTGGCGGAGGGTGTACTGCACAGGTACATCGGTAATGCGGACGTGGATCTCCGAGTGGATACGCTCGTAGTCTGGGTAATGAAGTAGAGTTACTTCCATGGCGACTTGGTCGAAAATCTTGAGCATTTCAGTTGGTGTGTTGGCAAGCCAATAGGCCAACGTTGCCTTTTGCTCGGCCAAATGGTCGAAAGAGACCTCCAGGGACTCGGCGTTGACCTCACCCAAAGTTCGAATGCGCGCCCCGTAGACCGAATGACCATGCTCATCCGTGTACTCGGTCAGGAAAGATTTGAATTCTCGCGCAATCGTCCTGGCAACTTGAGGCTGGGCAACCCAGTCGGTCAACGTGTTGGCTTTCACGTCGGTGAGCGCTTCAAGCGTCAACTCCTCGTTCATGATGTCGTCGACCATGTCCATGTCATCTTCCTCGTCGTAACGGTGTCGCCGAACTCGACGGCGTCCCATCAGGCCTGCCAGGCCGTCCTGGTCATCTTCGTCCGGCAAAAAAGCTGCGGGCATGCGGCGTCTTGCCTCCCTGTCACGGGCGTTCAGACTCGCGTCAAGTTTCCGCCTCTCGGCAAGACTGAGTTCTTCGTATTCGCCTTCATCGTCGATGCCCTGGCCTTCATAGGCATCGTTTTCACGAGCTGCGTAGTCGTTCTCGAAATCGTCGGCAAACAAATCGATTCCCTCAGCTTCCTCTGCATCCTCGTCTAGATCGTCCACATCGCGAATGATATCGTCATCGTCAAGCATGTCCGCATCATCTTCATTGGGCAGCATGGGAGGAGACGAGGCCATAGCTGTGCGCCGTTAGCTATCTGCCATCTCCTTTGTTTACATCGCACTCACGACTCGACGGCGGATGCACCGCTGAGGAAGGAAGGTCTTCATCGTCTCTTGCGCGTTTACTGCCTCTGTTCGTAGGGCCGGCGCCTCGGTTTGCAGACGACATGTTGGGGCGAAGTGGTGAGCTGGGTCCTTGTTAGTGTTGTGGTGTGGGTAGTAAAGAGGGGCTAGGGTTTGGCGCTCGGTCTACAAGTCGGGCGTGCCTGGAATACGTACCTCATGTCGACTCAATGCACAACTCTCATATAGAGCTTGGGATTGCCGTAGCTTACGTCGAGGGTAGCCGTGCGGGGTTGATTGTAGGGGGGGAGGTGGCAGAGGGTCAAGCAACACGACCGCGTCGCGCTTTCCTTTTCCACGCGTAAAGTGGTTTTGCTGCAGCCAATCAGTGGCCAGCGCATCCTGTGCCTTTGGTGCTGCTCAGCAGCGCCCGCAACCCGCGACATCGACAAAACACCTTTTGGGCTGCCTCGAGCAATTAACACGCGAAATTCTCTATTTTGTTTCTTATCGAAACATACTAGAAGCCTATACCGTGCAGTATCTGGACATCATGGCGGATTCACATTCCACAAGCACGTATTCTAAGCCGCGCTCTAGCAGCATGTCGCAGGCATCGGAAACTTCACAGACGGCAGCAGAGTAGGTTTCCTGCGAATTCTCTCTAATTCAAGTGACTAATGGTATCGGAATAGTTACATCAAAGAGCAGCTCAGCCTCGAGGCAGAAGCACGCGAGGCACTTCCATATGTAAGTGTATACGCAGTGTCGTATACACCCTTTCTGACGACCGATAGCAATTCGATACTTGCACACGCGACCTTGGCCCTCTACGACAGAGTCTCTATGCATGTCTTACGTGCAATCCAGCGCCGGCCTCATCCGCTCAGCAATACACACCAGCAGGCGTCTGCTATTCATGTTCCATCTCCTGCCATGGCGAACACACACTCGTCGAACTATTCAATAAGCGCAACTTCATATGCGACTGCGGCACGACAAGGATACCAGACATGACCCCTTGTACACTCCGTCTGAATGCAAAGACTGGCCGGAAAGGCGAGGTGACAGAGGACGAGCCGGCAAAGACCAATACATACAACCAGAACTTCCAGAATAAATTTTGTGGTTGCGGACAAGACTACGACCCTCATGAGGAGAAGGGTACCATGTTCCAATGCCTTGGACTCGGAAGTTGCGACGACGGTGGCTGTGGTGAGGACTGGTGGCATCCCGAATGTTTAGTTGGATTCACTCGGGAAGAGTACAACAAGATGATCGAAAAGCCCAAGACAGAAGTGAAGAATAGTGGCACAGATACCACGGGCACCGGAAAGGCCGCGGAGGGACAAACTGGGACCAACGTAGAGGCAGCGCAGACGGCACTCACGGACTCGGTTACAAACGGCAACGGCGTTGATGGGAACGACACTGTAGCGGAAGCCGATGAAGATGAGGACGACGACGATCCACCCCTACCTCCAGGATTCCCCCAAGAGGACGATTTCGATCACTTCATATGCTACAAGTGCGTGGAAGCAAACCCATGGATCAAGAAATATGCCGGCTCGACTGGATTTCTCCCACCAGTATACCGCGACAAGACCATTGCGCTTTCACACGACGAGAAGATCACCGTCGCTATCCCTGAGCCAAAAACCAATGACTCCAAGAAACGCAAAGCCTCGGACGAAGATGAAGAGCAGCAGCCAACCCCAAACCTAGCAGCTCCCGTACCGGCTAAGCGCCAGAAATCCGAAGACCCAAGTGGTACCCTGTCCAGCATCCCTGAAGTTCCCACGGCGCTTCCCACAGTACCTGAGAAGCCCGAAGCGCCCAAACATGAAACTCTTCCCCCGCTTCCGGAAACCGCTCTCACAACGCCCTTTTCGCTTTTCCTCAAGCCCGAGTTTCGCGAGCACCTCTGTCACTGTGATAGCTGCTATCCCCAGCTCAAGATGCATCCCCAGCTCCTCGAAGAAGAAGACACATACGAGCCTCCTGTATCCGAGGACGGCGAGGAAGGCGCGCAGTCTGTCGGTACCGGCAGTATTCTTGACCGCGGCGAAGCAGCATTCAATAACATGGACCGTGTGCGCGCCATTCAAGGAGCAATGGCCTACGCGCACATCAGAGACAAAGTATCTGCTTTCTTGAAGCCATTTGCAGAGTCTGGCCAGGCCGTCGGTGCCGAAGACGTCAAAGCCTACTTTGAGAAGCTCAGAGGCGATACCCAGGGTATTGAGGATGCTGCTGGTGGCGCAAAGGCGAACCGGGATGGTGGTGATGACGATGAAGGTGCAGGAGGAGACGGAAGGAAAGAGCAGAGCGGGTATTAAACACTGATGCGTTTGTAATAAAACGACAGTGCTGGAAGAGGGGGGGGGTAATGGGTTTCGTTAAAGGTTTCTCTGCAAATTCGAAGCGTGAGAGAACAACGAATATGCTCGCGCACACACACTTGTAAGCAAGCTAATAACTAAAATTGTAATAGTCGCCCCTATACTCTCGGTTTCAACTTTCCAAGACACTAAAAGCTCATTTATCCGTATGTGTAAAATATAACTTAGAAAAACGTAAAGGTAATCGAAATTTCGAAATATACTGGGTATCAAATTAAACTATACATCATCTCCCTTCTCAATCTTCTTCTTCTTCTTCTCTCCCTTTCCAAATGTTACAAAGAATAAACCAACGAAACCCCTTTGTTTTTTTGTCTGTCATCCTAGTACTTATAGTCATGTCCAAAAATTATTCACAGTTAATCCCCCAATTCCATTCCCCCTTCGCGAACAAGAAAAGGATAATGACTGACGTACACATACAGATCACTTTGTCATCATTACCGCGCCGTCACCGTTACAGTCTCCCGGATCGTTTCCTTTTCAGTTGTAGTTGCAGTTTCGGTGACAGTGAAGACCTGGCTTGGGGGTATGGGCGTGATGATGAGCGGGCCTTCAGACGTTGATGTTGTTGTTGAAGAAGAAGAGGATGTGGGCTCAGGCGGTGGCGCGGATGTAGGCGAGGCGCTCGTGGGTGTTGGTGAAGACGGCGCGGCGTTTGATGTTGGTGCGGGGGCTTCTGGGATTGACGAGGTGGGAGATGGAGTTGGCTTTAGTGATGTTTCTGATGGCGGTGGTGGAGGGGGTACCGCGGTGGAGGAAGGAGATGGCGCTGGAGCTGGCACTGTAGACGAGGTTGGCTGGGCTTGGGCCGAGGTTTGTGGTGAGGAGGAAGCGGAGCTGGGGGGAGCTGGCGCTGGTGGTGGGGAAGTAGGTTTGGGAGCTGAAGAAATGGCTGAAGAGCTGGGTGCTACTGGCTCAGGGGCGGCAGAAGTGGCCGGCACTTCTGGTGCCGTACTGGGCTGTGCGGAGGCCATGACCGTCGTGAAAGACGTGATGATGACTACTGGTGGTATATGTAAAGACTGTGATGGCACAGATCCAGCTGGTGTGTTTGTGGTGGATACCACTGGCACTTGGGCTGGGCTGGAAGTGGGTTGATTGACTACCACAGATGACGAGACTAAAGACTTAGACTGCTGGACCTGTGTAGACCTGACTGGTGCTGATGGCGACGCCCCAGGTGTCGATGTAGCCACGCCAGGTGCCGGGGCAGATGGGTACACAGTGGTGTACGATGTGACAATTATACGCGATGTCGGGTCTTCAGCGCCAGTCACTGGCTTTGAAGTCGACACTGCAGGCGAACTACTTGAGACGATGCATGCTGCCTTGGATGTGATGACCGGAGCTGGACTAGAGCTACTGTTTGATGGCTGCAAGCTTGGTGCTGCTGCTCCAGGATGGGTAAAGCCAGGTAGTTTTCCAGAAGTAGATACTGGTACTTGGCTAGCTCCAGAAGAAGTGCGTGAGGCAAGTGACGTAGAGCTCTCCTCGATGGGCGAGTATGTGAACTTGGGGATTTGCCGACTAGTTGCACTAGCTGTGCTATTTTTGACAACATCTACCTTGCTCGACGCGGCCAGTGAGGCAGCTGCAGAAGAAGTAGGTATGGGGCTATTCTGGGCAGATGTTCGTCCTGGATCCGATGTCGATGTGGGTGTTGTCGTCGAGGACTCTTTTGTCGTAGGCTTTGGTGGAGGTGTAATGAATGATGTTGAAAAGACAGTTTGTGGATTTTGTGTCACGAGCGGCGAGCCATCTGGGTTGACAAAGGTGATGGCTGGGGCTATTGACGTAAATATTGTCTCCTGAATGGGCTGCACTATGAGAGCCGTGTCTGCTTGCACAGTCTTCTGTTCAGATGTGGAATGAATTGTTGAAGAAGTGTTAAAGTAGCCAGTAAACCTAAGTGGGCTTAGTGAATTATCTTGTTGGGGTGTTGGAAAAGAGCATCTTACTGGCGTCTCTGGTGGTTCTTTGGGACCGGCCCACCAATTACACATGTTGAGAAAGCTGCCAGCAGCAGAAGTCTACAAAAGATGGCCATTTTCACGGCGATTCTGAATTAGAGTATGGAAACGAAAGACCAATGGGTGCGGATGCCAGCGCTTAGAAGCAAGAGAGACAAAGAAAATGACAGACTGGAGAAACAGACTGAGGAAAAGTGGACAATAAACAGAACGATCGACAGAGAAAACCGAAGACAAGGAAACGAACCAAGGAAAGAAACGAGCAGCCGTTTGTCTCAAGCACGCGATAGTCCAGATGTCCCGATGGCTACATGGCTTCTGGGCCGGCAGCGGGTTTTGAAGCTGCATTAGCCGCCTCGAGCACGGTTTGAGGCGACAACGGGGCGGATGACAGCATTGGCCCAGCATTGTTGCAGCAGCCTGTAATCTGGACAGGTCACTCGAGGCGCAGACGAAAATACGGTCAGTATGCAAAGAGTGGCTGGGGAGCGCTGGTGTGCTGGGTTGACGTTTCATCGGTGGGCCAATGACACGACGCCAGGGCATAGTACAGCGACCAGGCGCTTCGCCTGACGATTCCTGGTCTCGACGCCCGCAATTGACGTGCCGGAAATAGCGTGGGCAACCTGAGGCTGGCTGGCGCGATGCGATACTATAGCGGGCTTCAGCTGCCGACGCCCACTGCCTCGAGTTGGTTGTTTAGCGTTGGCGGAGCGCCGGGCAACAGAAGCGAGCAGCCGGCAGGGCCTCGTCGCCCCAATAGGCAAATCCAGAGGCTGGCGTGGATAGCAGCGGCCATGGGGACCTGGACAGAGCAGCGCTGGGACGGTCGCGATACCTACCGTGGGATGGGTCGGGGATGGGTCGGGGGAGGCGGTGATGGAGAGCTGCACGTGCCGCTTGTTCTTCCGTGCCGGCGGTGACGGGTTGGCCAGGTAACAGGCGAAAAGCGACCAGGGACCGCCGACACGATGCGCGTAGGTGGGCCTGGCGAACAACGCACAGCTGCAGCGTTGACGGGCGGTAGGTCCAGCCTTCTCTTCTCTGGAGATTTAGCCTTCCGCTGTCTGTCCTCCTGTCACCAACCATTCCCGTCCCCGGGCCACCACCATGAGCGTACGCGTCGTCGCGAGGATCCGTCCTCTGCTGAAACAAGAGGTCGATACAGACACCATCGTCACGGCCGAGAAGCTCGAGGGCGACACTACCGCCGCAGTCGTGCGCATCCCGAGTCCCAAGAACGACGCCGAGTCCTTCAGCTTCCAGTTCAGCTCCGTCTACGAGCAGGACGCCACGCAGCAGCAGCTCTTTGACGCCGAGAGTGAGTACTCGTCTGAACCGAGGCGTCGCGCCCACGATTGACCTTGACCTAGTCGCGCCCACGGTAAAGCACCTCTTCAATGGCTTTGATCTCTCCATCTTCGCCCATGGCTGCACGGGCACCGGCAAGACGCACACGATGCGCGGCGGCAAGTCACTGGCCGACCGCGGTGTCATCCCGCGCCTGTTGAGCACCATCTACCGCCGGTGTAAGAAGATCGAGAAGGACTCTGCTGGCGCCACGCAGGTAGAGGTTGCCCTCGAGTATTTTGAGATCTACTGCGATCGCGTCTACGACCTCTTTGAGCCCCCGGAGAAGCGCACCCCATCAGGCCTGCCCATCAGGGACAACCACGGCAAGACGGTTGTCGTGGGCCTGACCGAGAAGCCCTGCACGACGCTCAAGGAGTTTGAGCAGCTCTACGACCAAGCCAACATGAACAGGTCGACGTCTGCTACCAAGGTACGCGTTCCGCCCACACGCGTCTAGCTGAACGCCACTGACAGTCGTCCAGCTGAACGCGCACTCATCGCGATCCCATGCTGTGCTCTGTGTCAAGATCACTCAGACCACTGAAGACTCTGTCCGCGTCAGTCGCGCGTCTTGCATTGACCTTGCAGGATCAGAAGACAACCGCCGAACAGACAACAACAAGGAGCGCCTCGTTGAGAGCTCAGCCATCAACAAATCGCTCTTTGTACTAGCACAGTGCGTCGAGGCCATTAACAAAAAGGCCAGCAGGATACCCTACCGCGAGTCCAAGATGACGAGGATCCTAGGCCTGGGTCAGAACAAAGGCTTGACCGTCATGATTCTGAACCTTGCGCCCACCCGCGCATACCACCTCGACACTATCAGTTCACTCAACTTTGCCAGCCGAACAAAAAAGATCGAGGTTGCCGAGGTCGAAAACGACCCCATGTACAAGACGGCGGTCAAGCCCTTGGCAGTAGCCAGTGGTGCAACCATGGCACGTCAGCCGCTGCGCTCACTAACAGCTGCCACCAACGCCAACCTCACGGAACTAGAGAAGCAGAAGAAAGGGGAAAAGCCCACAAAGGCATTCTCTGTATACTCTGACTCCCGCAAGGCGGCCCCTCGTGTTGCTAATCTCACACAGAACCAGGGCATTCGACGAGCAGAGGCTCCCAAGCGAGCAGCTGAACCCAGCAGCACTTTTGCATCCCGACCAACCAAGACTTTCCGGACAGCCGACACGGCCTCGCGGTTACGAACTGCTGAGCCTGTCCTGACCAAGGAGTCAATCGAAGCTCTCATCGCGCAAAAGGTCGATGAGAGGCTCGCAGAAAAGGCGTTGCAAGATGCAGGTGCTTCTGCGCCAGCACTATCAGTCGAGCTCCAAAAGCGCCTTGATGAACTCGAACATCGCATTGACGCAAAGGAAGAGGACGGAAAGTCGCAGGGCCTGCAGTTTTTGTTGATGGCAAAGCAACACCACATCCGCGGAGAGGACGCAAGCGCACTGAGAATGTACCACCTTGCACACCCCTACTTCCCCGGTAACGCCAAGCTGGAGGCCAAGATGAAGTCGCTCGAAGACAAGATACGCGCCAAGAAGGAAGAGGCCATGAAGCACGTATCTGCACCCGTCGAGCTGCCATCCCACACCGTGCCGTCACCCACGCGTCTCCCGCGGCTCATGGCCCCGCTCAAAGCCGAAAAGAAAACCGAAAAGAAAATCCCCAAGCCAAAAGTTGTTAACCGAGAAGAAAAAGAAGAAGAAGATGATGATGACGAAGATGAAGAATTTGCCCCTGCCCCGCCCTCTGACCACGACGACTCGTACGCCTCCGACGACAGCTTCCAGTACAAGACCAAAGCCACTGCCACCCGTAAAGCCAAAAAGCCAACCAGGAAACTGCCTGTATTCCGTGATACCACCACTGCCGCCTCTGCTACCGCCACTGATAAACCTGCCTCGAACCCCGCTCAACACACGCCCCGGACCTCGCACCTGCTCAAGATCATCAACTCGCGCGACATCAACCAGATCAAAGCTCTCAAAGGCGTTGGCGCCAAAAAGGCTGACAGCATTGTAAACTGCCTGGTTGAAATGGACGATGCTGAAATCCGCGACTTGGAATCTCTGGCTATGCTCAAGGGTGTCGGTGGCAAGACGGTGGATAACATGAGAGTGGGACTCGGCCTTGGTCTTGGTGCTGCTACCTACGACTTCTGAGTTCGCTAACCTTCCCTCTTCATCTTCGTCTTCCTGGGATTGTCGATTTTATTTTATTTTTCGTCGTCCCCTGGTTGATTCTTTTTCTTCTTCTTTTCTTTTCTTCTTGCTTTCTTTTCTGGTTTCGTCTCTCCTTCCAAAGCATGGTGTTTTGGTGTTCTTTCTCCGACACTCTTACACTCTCACACTCTCTACATGGTGGTACACACAGCTCAGCCACCAAGAAAAAAGACTGGTTGGTTGGTTGACTGGTTGTTATTTTTTGCATCACATCGCATCGCATTGCATTGCATTGCATCGGCTTGGCGTTTGGGGTTATTTTGGCAGCAAGCAGTTGCAGCAGCCACAGCATAGAAGATCCTACTTCTTTGTCTTTTTGTCTTTTTTTTTTGCATTCATCGGCATTTCAGCTGGAAATTCGAAAAAATCGCATCCTTGACAACAATCATCGTTCCGCACATTTCTGCCCGTCTTCTTGTTTTTTTGTTCTTTGGCGGCATCATTTGTTGGTTATGATTCCACTTATCTACATACATAACTGTTGCGTATCACGACATGAAATGAGTAATGAACCAAACACAAAAGCATATTTGGACACACTGGCGAAAACCGAAAACCGAAAAATAAAAAAAAACACACACACAAGACTGGTTTGAGATATCGTGTCATGATTTAAAAAAAAAGTAACAAGAGAGTAGCACTGTTTCATTATCCGGTTCACCGTCACAGAACGACGGTGTTGATGCATACGCCGTAAGACATCTAGAAAGGCCAAACCCAGTCCGTCGTCTCCTTGGGATCAACACCTTCATGGAAAGCATAGTTCCTGGCCTTGATCTGCTCATCAAGCAACTTCTCCCTGGTGGCTGCACCCTTGTTGCCCAGAGTGGGAATGTGGTCAATGGCATCAATGGCCAGGCTGTAGCGGTCGGTACCATTACGTATAGCCAGCTCAAGCGGTGTGTCAATGTTGCCCTTCTCCCTGTATCCACGCACATGCAGGTTCTGCTGGCCTTTGCGTCCGTACGTCAGACGGTGCACCAGCCAGGGGTATGAGTGGAAGTTGAAGATGCAGGGCACGTTGTCCGTAAAGATGGCCTTGTATTCGTGGGCCTTGAGACCGTGCGGGTGTTGTTCTGCGTCGAGCAGCTTGAAGAGATCGACCACGTTGACAAAGCGGATCTTGAGCTCGGGCAGGTGGATACGCAGTAGTGCTGTGGCTGCCAGCGACTCGTGCGTCGACACGTCTCCGCAGGATGCCATGACAATGTCAGGCTCCTCGCCGTTGTCGTTGCTAGCCCATTCCCAAATACCCACGCCCTTTGTGCAATGAGCAATGGCTTGCTCCATGGTGAGGTACTGGAGGTGCTCCTGCTTGTCGGCAACAATAACATTGACGTAGTTCTGGCTGCGGAGACAGTGGTTCATCGTCGAGAGCAGACAGTTTGCATCTGGTGGGAGATAGATGCGAACGACCTCGGGGCTCTTGTTTGCGACCACATCCAGGAAGCCAGGATCTTGGTGGGTGAATCCATTGTGATCTTGACGCCAGACGGTTGATGTGAGGAGAATGTTGAGCGACGCAATCTTCTGTCTCCATTCCACTTCGAGACACTTTTCGATCCACTTGCAGTGTTGGTTGACCATTGAATCGATGATGTGGATAAAAGGCTCATAGCTGTTAAGCAATCCGTGTCGTCCGGAGAGGACATAGCCCTCTAGCCAGCCCTATAGACTATTAGTAACTGGTTTGCAGACTGTGATGGAGTTTCTTACCTCGACCGTGTGCTCAGACAATATCTCCATGACGCGGCCTTCCAAAGCCAGGTTGCCGCCGTCCTTGTCCACGTCCAGGTACTCACCCAGCCACACCTTCTGGGTTACTTCGTACACATTGCTAAGCTTGTTGGACTGCGTCTCATCGGGGCCAAAAAGACGGAAACCTCTCGGGTTCCGCTTCATGACGTCGCGGAGGAAGTTGGCACAGTTGGCCATACTGCCCAGCTTAGCAACACCGCCCTTTGTGACTTCTACAGCATATTCGCGGAAATCAGGCATGTGAAGCTTGGTCCGGATTGAGCCACCGTTTGTAACTGGATTGGCGCTCATTCTCCTGTTGCCGGTTGGAGCCAACTCCCTTAGCTCAGGAATAAGCTTACCGTCCTTGTCAAAGTGCTTGTCAGGTCCGTATGAGCGCATCCAGTCCTCGAGTGTCTTGAGCTCCGTCTTGTCCTTTAGGACGTTTGTAAGCGGGACTTGATGCGAACGCCAGAATCCTTCGAGGAAATGGTCTCCGTCAACCTTGCTGGGGCCAGTCCATCCCTTGGGTGTGCGGAGAACAATCATTGGCCAACGAGGCCTGAATGCCTTGCCCGAGTCCCTCGCTTGTTTCTGGTACTCGCGGATCTTGGTTACACAGCGTTCCATGGTGGCTGCCATGGCTTGGTGCATAGACGGGATATCGCTTCCCTCGACAAAGTAAGGAGTCCATCCGTATCCGACAAAGAGCGCCTCAAGCTCCTTGTGGCTGATTCTAGCAAGGAGAGTAGGGTTGTTGATCTATGCAGCATTAGCGTAATCGCTTTGCATTCGCGTTCTAGACAGTACCTTGTAGCCGTTCAAGTGTAGTACCGGCAAAACTGCGCCGTCTGTAATTGGGTTGAGGAACTTGGTGGAATGCCAGCTCGCAGCCAGGGGGCCCGTCTCAGCCTCTCCGTCTCCGACCATTGTGAGAGCGATCAGATCTGGGTGATCAAATACCGCACCAAAAGCGTGAGAGACGGAGTAACCAAGCTCTCCACCTTCGTGTAGACTTCCCGGTGTCTCGGGCGTGGCATGGGATCCAATTCCTCCAGGGAAAGAGAAGTATTTGAAGAAACGCCTCATGCCCTCCTCATCCTCGCCCTTTTCGGGGTAAACCTCGGAATAGACACCCTCAAGGTAACTGTTCGATAGGACAGCTGGAGCGCCATGGCCAGGACCCGAGATGAAGATTGCATCGAGGTCATATTTCTTAATGAGGCGGTTCTATTCCAAGAAAAGGGCGATTAGCAAATCAATCCAAAAGTCGCCGCACACAGGCAATCATACCATGTGGATATAGGTGAAACTCTGTCCGGCATCCGAGCCCCAGTGACCCAACAATCGCCGCTTGATATGGTCCAGGGTAAGTGGCTCGCGGAGGAGGGGATTCCTTCGGAGGTAGATCATTCCCAGACACATGTAGAGAGAGGCGTGGAAGTAGTCGGTCATCTTCTTCACCTCTTCCTCGCTGAGAGGCTGCTCGGTTATCGAAGCCCTTGCGGGGCCAAATGGAGATATGCTGAGGTTTTCGACATCTTCGACAAGAGTCTCAGGATCGGAAGGGGGTTTGGCTACCATGGCATCCATGGTGATTTGTTAGGGGAGTACGCCGCTGTTTTTCAGATTACGTAGATGACGTCTTCGCTTGAAGTGGACTTGACAGTGGGCGATTGGCCGTTCAGAGCGCTAATTGCGTCACAAAGCAGTCGTGGAGAGGAACTGCAAACGGGGAGAGAGGAAAGTTTTCAATTGAGCGTAAAGAAGTGCCAGAAACAAGAGCGTAGAGGTGCTTTAAGAGGTGGGTGTGTAGGCTGGAGTGTTAGCCGGCGGCAATAGCGGAAATGCTCTCCTGATGCATTGACACTGCGTAATTGGAGGTGCTACTGCAGCGTGGTCTCATCATAGCAACGAGTTTCCTATTGGCGTATACGAGGCCCGTTGCTATGTACGTCATGGCCTGATGCGCCCACCAGAAAGTGGGGTTGGTCCAACAACACGCTAGGAACGCGTGCTTGGTCTCTTCACCTTTGTGTGGTTCGGAACGCCTGATCGCTACACCTATAGGGAAATGTCAGGCCACTTAGATTAGCGGCAGGGCGCTTATTCAGACGTGGATAGCAGAAATCAATTGCCTTGGTGGTATGATGGACCGGCTCATATGCAGCAAGAGGCATATCCGCGGCGGAAGGCGGCGGACACCTGGGTCGAGAGCCTCCACATTACGTCCAATCTTGGTTGCGAACCAGTTTTTGATGCGGGTGGAGAGATCTGCGCAGGCATCTGACAGTTAGACAGTTGGCATAATCCCTGCAAAAAAACTCTGGCATGGTGTGAAGAAACAACGTCGCGGTGGTAACCGTCTATTGCGCCCAAGCAAGCCATGGGTTGATATCAAAGTCGAGTCTATTCTAGTTAATCGCAATGGAGAAAAAAATGTCGCCCTCAATGCATTCCGTAATCGCCCTCGGCAGCAATCGTCCTCTGGCACTCGGCAAGGATAGCTGCCTGCCTTGCCACGTCTGCCAGTCTTCCGACGACCATCTTGTTGCCGTCCACGAAACCGTAGAGCGCATACGGTATGTTGACCTCTTCACAGAACTCTTGCACCAACTTCTGCGTCTTCCTCAGGTTGTGTCTCGGGACACGAGGGTACAGGTGGTGGATGGCCTGGAACTGGAGCCCTCCGTGGAAGAAGTCTAGCCATTGCGGACAGTCGACATCCATTGTCGTTCGCAACATCTTCTGGGCAAACGACTCGTGAACGCCCAAGTCGGCTGTGCTCATCGCAAAATGAGACAGTGTGATTTGCACATGGAGCGGCGAGGTCAGGGCATGCGCGATGAGCACAAACCAGAAGCGACTCCAGTTGTCTGGAATGGACTTGTACACGACTCCGTAGCCGTACCAGGTCCAGAAGACGACCATGCCCGCAAGCTCAAAGTAGCGATGCCACCACGCCGGGCCTTTCCTGGGTCCTTTACCAAGCAGCAAGTACATCCAAGAGAGTCTGTAAAGATTGAAACGCGCAAACAACATGATTGGATAGTAGGTGTAGTGCTGAATCCGAATCATGACTTTTGCGAAAGCGTCATACTCCATGACCCATCCGTAGAAGGTCGTTGTAAGACTTTCCATGAAGCGGTGCGTGATGGAGAAGAAGGGAATGTATTGGATGTCCGGGTCGTGTTCCGGGTGGTTTGTGACAAAATGGTGAACATTATGGTTGTACTTCCACCAGCAAGCGCTCAAGCCACCCATGAAGGAGGCGATGAACATGGCAATTGTCGAGTCTGTGGTGAAGTCGTGCGTGATTCCCATGTGTCCGGCATCATGGACTGTAAAGGTGAGCTGGTGCCAGAGACAGGCAAGAGGAATTGCACTGGTAATGTACCAGCCCGCACGTAACATGAACAGGAAAGCACACAAGAAGAAACCATAGCGCAAGCACTCGATGCCGTATGCTCCATAATTGCAGTCGTAGAGTCCTTCTTTCTGAATTCGCACCTGCAGCTCGCGGTATTTTCGCGTGATGTTGTCCTGTGTGACTGGGTCTACAGATGGGTACTTGGCCTTGTCCAAGTCGAGTTCTTCCTGGGTTCGCCTGTCGAGAAGGGACATCTTGGGATGAGACTTTTTGTCAAGTTCAACCGATGAGATGCTTGACGTGGACGTGGTTCTCGCCATGTTGTTGCCGTTGCGTTTGCGGAGAGAATCAGCGGGTCGGTCTGCCGGTTCAAACAAAGGGCTGTTGTTTGCAGAAGAGGAGGAGCTAGCAGCCTCTTGCTCCGAAGCCGAGCCTGATATAACATATTCCTCCTCTGAAAGCCTATCCAGCTCTTCCTTTGTCCTGAACTTTCCTCCTTGGATCGGGGGTAGGAAGTTGTCCCATCGTCCTTGTACTCGGCCAATCTGGTAGCGGCTCATGAGCTCGAGCGTTTGTGTGGCGTGAAATCTAGAAAAGATAGGTCAGCAAGGTGCTCGTATACAGTCTAAAAACATACCGGGTGACCTCGTCTGTTGCGTCCCGTCCTACCATGTGGCGAATGGCCTTGTCACCACCAGGATGATACGGGAGCCAGGCATCGAGCTTCAGGACCTTGTTGTCTACAATGACAATTGAGCGGCCACTGGCAATCTGAGCCTCAATCTCGCGCCGACTGAGTACCTGCGACTTTCTGTCGGTCTGGGCGGCCATGGTGTGGCGCGATGGGATGCGGAGCGAGCGGTGTGGTGTACAAAATATGAATACTGGTGCAGCGTGCAAGGCCTCGATTGGCACGGGGAGCGGGTGCTGAGGAATTCAGGCTATAGTTCAGGACGAAGCGCGCATAGCAGCAGATTGGTGGAGGCAACGCCAGAGGCAGCCAGTGGGAGCAGGTGAGAGTGGGCTGAGCTGGACTGGCTCAATCTGGGGGAGGGAGCGGAGCTGGCGTCGGGGGGTCCCTGCGCCGTTGTCCCAGGCACACACATCGTGCCCCACGTTCGGCGGTCGCTACGCCCATGTGGGCGAGGGCGGACGAGAGACATCACATGTCGAGGCCAGGGCACAGTAATACATGTAGTTCGCGTGGTTTGCACATTGTGCGCGTAAATCTCCCGTCATCAGGTCGACCCTAAGCGCCCCGACATGGCGAGGAAATCTGGTACAGTCTATGGCTGGTACCCCTTCCCCACCTGGGCATGCAGTTGAACGCTTTTGCCATTCTCTTCGGGCAACTCCGCCGCCGTCACCAGATTAACAAGAACCTGCGGCTGCGTCAGGCACGCTCCACAGCATATTAGGCAGCAAACATCTGGTCGACTGCCCGTTTCCTCTTGCTTCCTCATCTCCTCGTGGACAGACACATGGCGCCCGCAGACATGGCCAAGGATATCAAGGACCTGGCAAGAGAGTGGCTGGAGCTGGACCAGGACAAGACGACGACGGACGAGATATACAAGCTCCTGGTGCACGGCGACTACGATGAGCTGGAAAGACGACTGCGACACCGTATCGCCTTTGGTACCGCTGGACTCCGCGGGCCGATGCAGGGCGGCTTCGCGTGCATGAACTCGTTGACGGTCATTCAAGCCTCCCAAGGACTGGCAGCCTATCTCCTCAAGACCGAGGAAAATGTACAGAAACGAGGCGTCGTCATCGGCCGCGACGCGCGACACAACTCGGACAAGTTTGCCAAGCTTACCGCAGCCGCCTTCGTGGCAAAGGGCATCAAGGTGTGGTGGTACGAGGACCCGAGCCACACGCCCATGGTTCCTTTCGGCGTGCGCCATCTCGAGGCCGCTGCTGGCATCATGATTACGGCGAGCCACAACCCGGCCAAGGACAACGGGTACAAGGTCTACTGGTCCAATGGTTGCCAGATCATTCCCCCGCACGACAGCGGCATTGCAGAGTCCATTCTGCAGAACCTGAAGCCAGTCACGTGGGATACGTCGGTAGTGGAAAGCTCTCTGCTGGTCGAGGGAAGTTTAGCCCTAGTGGAGGATACATACCACAAGGCCATTCTCTGTGCTGCACAGCCCGAGCATACCCACGTCAAGATGGACCCTGAACTTCGATTTGTGTACACTCCTATGCATGGCGTCGGCCTCCCCGCGATGCAGAGATGCGCCGAGACACTCGGAGTCACTTCTCAGATGAGTGTTGTCGAGGCTCAGGCACAACCAGACCCAGATTTCCCGACGGTCAAGTTCCCCAATCCAGAAGAAAAGGGGGCGCTCGATCTGGCAATTGAGACTGCAGAGAAGGCCTCGACACGCCTTATTCTTGCAAGTGACCCGGATGCAGACCGACTTGCGGCGGCCGAGAAGGTAGGGGACAAATGGCACATCTTTACTGGCAACCAACTGGGAATACTGCTTGGCTCGTACCTCTTTGAACGCTATCCCAGTTCCAAGCCACGAGACAAGCTGGCCATGTTGGCGTCGACAGTCAGTTCTCGGATGCTTGCAGCCCTGGCGAAGAAAGAAGGCTTCAAGTTTACCGAGACCTTGACTGGCTTCAAATGGCTCGGAAACGTGGCACGGCAGCTCGAAAATGAGGGCTACCATGTCGTCTACGCCTTTGAAGAAGCGCTGGGGTACATGATTCCGCAGACGGTGCACGACAAGGACTCGATCAGCGCTGCGGCAGTCTTTCTTACGGCCGCGTCACACTGGTCGTCGCAGGGACTTACGCCATATGCCAAGCTGCAAGAACTGTACAAGTACCTTGGCTATTTCGAGGACGCAAACACGTATCTCGTGTCGCCATCGCCGTCGGTTACGACGTCGGTGTTCACAGCGATCCGCGCATTGGGCAGCCCGTACCCTTCAGCCATCGGCTCGCGGAGGATCGTGCGTTGGCGAGATCTGACCCTGGGCTATGACTCAAAGAGCAAGGACCACACGCCCGACCTGCCCATGGACGCGACGAGCCAGATGATCACGTGCGAGCTGCATGACGGCGCCGTCTTCACCGTGCGAGGCAGCGGGACAGAGCCCAAGATTAAGCTCTACATTGAGTGCCAGGGCAAGAGTAGCGACGAGGCAAAGGCGGGCGCTAATGGCATCTTGGAGGATCTGCTGAGAGAATGGTTCAAGCCTGAGGAGAACGGCCTCCGGCTCGCGTAGAGTAGGATACTGCATCCATGTATGCCATGTTCGACTTTGTTGTTTCCAGTCGCCAAGTGAGGTGAAAGCGACCGTGAAGCAGGCGCAAACGCTCCATTCCACGCCTTCACCACCCGTATTTATTTTCCATACCATGTCTTCTCGCAGCCCGCCACAACCTGTACAACTCGCTCTCACAACATGGCGTCGACCCCCCTAAGCCCCATCGCCAGCCTCCTGGCGTCCTGGACCGCATCTCAAGAAGCCATCAACATTGAGCTGTCGCTCTCGTCCGAGCCCGTGAAATGGACAAAAGGCCAAGTCGAAGCGCAGTTCAAAGCCCTCAGCACCAAAGTCCCGCCGATATCGTGTCCGCGCCTGCCCGCTCCACGCATCCCCAACGCCATCACGCAGATCAACTACGCGCGCAACAACCCGCCGGCAATGCAGCACTACCTCACCCATGAAGCCGCCTGGCTCGCTCGCCGCATGCTCTTCCAGGCCGGCTACCAGTCGCGCACCCAGTACACGACACAGGAGCTCTACTATTTCGCCGAAGAAGGCGACGCCATTGTGCGCGTCAACGGCAGGCCCTTGACCGATGTGGAAAGGTGGCAGCTGGAACACGCGCCCGAGACACTGGCCCTCGACGACTGCCAGCCCGCAGATCTGAAAATGAGAGTGGGAATTGCAATGGTGATTCCCGCTTGGACCGTCTACTGCATCGTCGTTGGGACTAAGGATACGCTGGTTACAACGGGTGGCCTGGTGCCGCGTCGACGGTATGCTGGTAAGTATAGTGCTGTGCAAGTTGATGCAATGACGTTTTGAGCTAATGCGCATATGAGGTCTGGCTTAAGTAGCGGCAAGTACACCTAAGTAGGCCATATCCTCGAGTTCAGAGTTGGAGGGAAATGGCCACGGAGGATTGCCCGAGTGTGAGCGTTGCTTCTGCAACTACCATGTATGTATCTGTGTACGTATGAGTGATGTATGTCATCCCGGCTCGCAAGCGATGGCGTTCTCTGCACTTTGCCTATTTGGGCGAGAAAAGTGCTCGGTCATGTGACATGCCGTGTCGCGCTAGTGGACTGCTGCTCTTACCACCCTCTCACCAGAAACAGTGATACAGCCTGCTAGGCACGCTATGGCAAACTCTCTAATGAGGTTACTTCAGAATATAAATCATGGAGCGCTTTTCCGTGTACATACGACCATAGGTACTAGAATTCTGTGTCTCTCGTTCGTCTAGTAGTACTCTTAAGTTATTCAGTTATTATAATAGAGTATATTAAGATAATATTTAGCTAAGAAGATAATTTATATGTTCCTTTGCTAATACCTTTAATGTGAAGTATTAATAGCATCTATATTTAGCTACGAAGACAATGCTTTACATGGTCTTTTGCTAGTGTTTTTGATGCAAAGTATTGATAGCATCCATTATTAGGACACACTGAGACTGTGTTCTCGTTTGCATTTAGCCCTCTATGCCTTCGAAGATGGTCGAGGCATTTCGTAAAGCTTATCTTTGTTGATAGACTAATAACATCCCCACAGTTCATTCCACATTGAACCTGGATATTGTTATTGGCCTGGTAACGTTGGATCCACTGGAAGAATAGATTAAGTTGCTCTTGGATGCGCCATTGATTAACTAAGTATTGAGCAACCTCAATTGTTACTGTGTAACTCCCTAGCAATAGTTAGTAATATACTAGATATAAAACATAACTATAAACTAACTTGTTGACCTTGCGTTCTTGATACGGAGCGGGTACGCTAGCTGTCTCCTGACTGCAATAGCATGTTGTGAGTTGTCCTTATGCGATGGGTGCTCAATTAAGTAGACTAGGTCTACGTAATCAGGCCTGAAATGAACTTGGAGTAGTCTACCGTGTATGAACATCTTAAACTTCCTAGTTGTTTGTCTAGCGAAAAGGCCGAGCGAGTCGATGTTCACTAAAGAGGCGGATTCATCGTCGTCCTGGACAACAACAATACCGTTCTTTTGCAATTGTTGGGGGGGTTGAACAGATAGGGGTAGTTGCTTAACCTTCTCTTTAGTGTGCTCAAAGTTTGGGTTTCCTGAATCTGATGAAGTAGAGCTTCGCAGTCGTTTATCATGCACTGTATCAACTCTTTGTTCACTTGCGACATCTGTTATGTTCTGCTTAGAGGGTAGGTTATTGGGGAAGATAGTTCCGCTGACAACTCCTTTACGAGTGTCCTAGGACTGTTGTTGAGTGGACTTGGTGGTCTGGCCAGTCTGGCTTGATGCTGTATGCGAACTTGAGCTGTGCTTTAAAGCATGAGCTGAAGTTGAAGATTGAGTGGCGCTTGTTTTGCTAATAGTCGTAAAAGGAGGCTCTTGGGGGTGCGTAATATCTACGGCTGATGGTCTTGGTGTGATGTAGACTGGAAGAGTTACGGATGGTTGCAACGGCAGTGTTGCATCGTGTCGCGCGCTATCTCTGGCGAATAGCTGGAGAGAAGGAGATGTATTTGTGGTAGGCTTGCTTGGACCGTTGAAGTTGTGTACGATACTTGAAGGCTGTGGAGTCTGAACGCAAGGGCGAAGAATGTCTAGTGGTTGAAGAGGAGATTCTTGAGATTGAAGAACTGAAGCACTGCTTTTCTGTGATAAGACTGTGCATGGGTGTTGAATAGTTGGTCTAGAGGGAGCAGTGCCTCCACGCGCCTCCACGGTGCCTCCACGCTCGGCCGCCGTGGGTGGTGCAGACAACGGGCTGGTGGCAGTGCCTGCACGCTCGGCTAGCGTGGGTGGTGTAGAAAACGAGGTGGTGGCAGTGCCTCCACGCGCCTCCACGATGCCTCCATTCTCGGCCGCCGTGGGTGGTGCAGACAACGGGCTGGTGGCAGTGCCTCCATTCTCAGCCGCTGTGTCTGGTGCGGACAACGGGCTTGTGGCAGTGCCTGCACGCTCGGCTGGCGTGGGTGGTGTAGACAACGGGGTGTAGGCAGTGCCTCCACGCGCCTCCACGGTGCCTCCACGCTCGACCGCCGTGGGTGGTGTAGAGAAAGGGTTGTAGGCAGTGCCTCCATTCTCAGCCGCCGTGGGTGGTGCAGACAACGGGCTGGTGACAGTGCCTCCACGCTCGGCCGCCGTGGGTGGTGCAGACAACGGGCTGGTGGCAGTACCTCCACGCGCCTCCTCAGTATCTTCATGCCTTATTGTGATCTCTGGACGCGTCTGTGTATTTGTTGTGATGTCTTGAATGCTTCTCTGCCAGCTGCCTTTGACTCGCTGATGGTGAGGTTGGTTACTTCTCTCTTTTACGTTTGTTGTGTGTGTATAGGCTGGCCTGCTGTTGTCTGAAGCTAGACGCGTCGATAAGTAAACGGAATTGTGGGGATTCGCTTTTGAGCTTGTGGCGTTATTGCTTGCTTGAGACAGGGTTCTGATATGAGACTGAGCTGATGGGCTGGTTGTTGTGGTGGCTGGGTTTGGCGAAATAGATGCACCGCTCGCAGTCTGCTGAAGATGGCTGTTGCTACCCTAGTAAGGCAGACTTAGCTGTATATCAGGCGTTGCGGGTGTCGTTGTCGCTGGGTAAGTGTGAGTAGACTCGTCGCGGTCGTCGTAATTGCCTTTGATGTTGACATTTCCAGAGTCGAGCATCATAGCAATCACTATTTGTACACCCTCTCTCTTTAAATCACTGGTTTTCCGCCTATGTATATTACCCCACCAGAATTTTAGTTGATCCAGCTGTCTTTTGACATCTCGTCGAAGGTCACTGACTGTCGTATACGCAGATAGCAGTTTCAGTTTCTGGATAGCCACCCCTGCTCGCGTAGACAATACATCTGTATTATGTTTAGATCACATCTTCTCTAGCGGGATTGAGACATACCTTCTGTGGACTTCGCTTCCTGCGGTGCACAGTCAGTGCGGATTAGCATGCGCCAACCATTCTTGGTTTAACTATCCATTATTTGTGGATAAAGAGTGAGTAGTTTCTAACAAGGGAACTTTGTGTGGAGGGGTGATAGGGTAATGTTGTTAATAAACATGATGTCACATGAAAGCAAATATGGCAAGCACGATGTAGGAAGAACCAAAAACGCCTTAGTATTCTTCCCTCAGCTTATTTCAATGCGATCATTCCCTGGTGCGCGTGTACGCCCCGTCCTCGATTCGCTCGAGCGACGGCATGTTGTTCTGGTGTAGTTGTATGCCAGTCGGGTTCACGAGCGTAGTGTAAGATGGTTGATGAAATGTGGTGAGAGAGCGAGTAGTTATTGGATAGCAGATAATGTGAAGAATATACAAGCGTGGCGAAGCAGCCTCTTACCTGTCTGCAGTGATTGACGTGTCTCTGTGATAAAATTAGCCTCTGGTTTAGGCAAGGTCCCAGTATGCGAGAAAGAAAAGTGTTTGCTTGGATTGGGTCAAACGGAAACTCTTTCACGATGGAACAGCCAGCTCCAACATCTGCGCAACGGCCTTGCGTATCAGACACGAGTTCTCTTAACGCATATAACCTACTTCCAACATCTGCACAACGGCCACAAGTATTGCAGTTCTTTTCCGATTCGTCAGATCAACCACGTTCGTGTTCCCAGCTAGCTCCAACATCCGCACAGCGACCGCGCGCGTCTAATGAGATGTCATCGTCAAGCGGACAGAGCCCAGCATCTTCACCCGCTGTTCATCCAGCCCCTATCATCCTACTCTCCACTTCATCAAGTCAGCCAGTTACAACATATGCTCTGGAGCCGCCGCGCGAATTAAGCCTGTTCCCGTCCTCGTCGGTTGACCCACAAACGCCATACGATGCTGACGAGCTAAACCAACCAACAACGGCATCCAACAACCCTACATCCAACAATCTGCATGAGAACTCGTCCTAATACTATTTTCTAGAGCGCAGCGGCGCGCGACATGATATCCAAGCCACGTCACCACCACGCATGCCGCTGTCTACGCCCGTCGCCGTGTCTGACTACGGATCGAGCTTCAGTATACCTGCATCGCTGCTTGGAGCCATGGATGAACATAATAAGAACGTGGATGGTCAAGACAGAAACAAGGATGCGAGCCATGACTCAGAAACGACACGTTGGAGTTGGGGCACATCGATCGACGAGACAATGAGCAATGACAATGGTGTGGCAGAGCAGGACCAGTACAGTGCTGGAATAGAGGAGGAAGAGCAACCATTTGCATTTGCACAAGACCCGTCGCCGTCGGAATACAAGCCAAGCTCGAGTCGAGATAGGTCTTATTCGTCTGATGACGAAGAAGTTGTGGCAACGGCACTTTTGGGTGACAGCATGCCTAGCAAGTCAGAGGCTTCATTAACACCAAATGTACCTACAAATTGCGAACGAAGACGGTCAGAGCGTATAAAGAGGATGCGGCGCATCTGATATACCTTAATACATCTCTGAAAACGACTTTGTAACTTAGCAGTATGACCAAATGAACTTTGTATTTGCATGCCTACACACATTTCTGCCTCCACGCCTACACGTCCATGCCTCCATGCCTACACACAGTCCTGCCTCCACGCCTACACACATCCATGCCTCCACGCCTACACATCCATGCCTCCACGCCAACATATCCATGCCTCCACGCCTACACACATTCCTGCCTCCACACCTACACATCCATGCCTCCACGCCTACACGCTTGTACATTTCTATCATCTTGGTATATATTCTATCAAACTAGTCCAATTTTGGAATGGTGTTTCCCGCACCCGCGGTGCCTTCGCAGACCGCACCTTCTCCCACCTATTTATTGTCCGTCTTTGTCCACACTTCGCGTGTCCACCAGCTACGTATATAATTTTCATTCAGAATTGCACCCATCCGCCTCGTTGTCGCACTCAACGCCCATAAACTGCGCCGCACGTTCTGAAGTCTCAGACACAACGTCCACGCTTTCGTCCACCCGCCGTTATACACAACCACCCCGCTTGTCAGGGTATCGCCCACGTATCGCATTCGCCACCTACACCTGTTGCCTGGCAGCGGCTCGCAGGTGTTGGAGTATTGCTTAAATAAGAACAGACCGCTCGCTTCTGTGTCGCGTCACAGGACAAGAATGTCTCAACAACAGAGCATCACTGGAGACGAAGATGCCTTCAAGCTGGCGCTTGGAGAGTTACAGTACTTTAGCGCCAATGCTATCTCTGTAGAACTTGTGCGAAAGCGCGTCCGCGATAGTCAGCATCCAGCAGCGAAGCTTACCAGCGGACCACTCAAGACATTCTGCAACAAGGTTATCCGGGAGCTTAAGGCATTAGATACCCAGCTAGAGCCAGACCAATCGCCAAGTTCAGTGTCGCATACCAACGTAGGTCCAGATGATCGTTAACCTACGCCATTCGTTTCAAGACCATGCGCAGTACCTGGAGAAACAACCACGCCTAATTACTCTACGAGAGAGTGGATGTTCAGATGGGTATGCGAAAGCCACCAACAAATCTGTAACAATTCTAACTATCTGTAGGAGCAGATGCACGATGTTCGAATTAGTATGCCGTTCCTCGGCTCTAGGCTCGAATCGCATCAGTCGAGATTGGAGAAACTTGGGCTTCCACCAGATTGGCGTCACAGTGGAATGCCCGCGCCAGGGCAAGAGTTCGCATACATGGACCACGTTCAACAAGAGCAGGAAGCGATGGCATAGTTTGGGTCGTATGCTTCACCGTGGAGCGACACCAGAGCCTCTTCTATTGCAGACATGTCCAGGCTGCTCTATCATACTTCAAAAGTCCCGCATCCAGACATGAGAAAGTCAAACGCAGATCTCTTTCGTTCTCAACAGCGTATGCTTGTTGTACACCTTATCGCCCGTTTTATTCATACATTCTCTGATACTGTAATTATAAACCACTCGATTATTAGTACATATATTAACAGTGATACAGATTCAATCAGCTACGCCACTTCGAATATTCGATGAGGGCTATAGTAGTCAGCCTTCAACAGCACCCGATCATTTTGCGCTTTTTATTCATTTCAAGAACGATAGTCGCACTCTAATACCAATAGCACTCTAGGTGACAGGGTTAAAGAATAATGCGTGCGCGTTCTATAACAAGAAGTTCCACTAGAACTTCTTAAGTGCATTCCAAAACATCACGTCCTTTTTTACAGATGCCCGTTGGCCAATGCTTGGTATAGCTGACGTTATATTTCAAGGCAGCAGAACAAGAGACAACGACTGTTCAGTATGGCAACTAAGGATGTTCGAAGATGTGTGGTATTTCGCCCCCGCCTCAGACTAGGTCCAAATACTACCACAAACAACCATGCATTTTCTCGAGCCATATATAGGATGGAAGAGATACACTAATATTAAGAAGCTTCTGCAAACTCTAGCATTAGCATCTCGGCTTGTACTCATCCACAAGGCACCTTCTATGCCATTTGGGTTACTAGCGATAACTGACATCACCCTAACTGACGTCGCCTGCTACCCTCCAACCATCGACACTAAGACAACTTCGCTGCTTCCATTGGACGAGACAGGGAGTCGACTCCACATCAGCGATATCAACAACGCAGCGGCTGACAGCGACTATACATCGTATCCTGTCGACGATCGACCGTCCTGTGCAGCGTACTTCAGATGCACGTCACCCCTAACCACAAATTCAACTCTTTGTCAGATCCATTGGGAGGGATATATGTCGCTCAAGTCATCTCTAAGACCTTCGGCTCCAAACATTGTTCAAGGGTTTCATCTTCTAACAGATCCATCCATTGTAGCACAACTCAAAGCACTTATCTGGTTGACTGAGAATCCAACTTATCTCTGGCTTGTCGACACTGAGTTCTGTCCTAACAAGGGAACAGAGGCTTCGATTTTCTAGGTCTGTGTTAAGCAGTATTAGTGTAACGACCAAATCATCAACACGAATATCCACTACGAGGGATTCAATCTCGCCGCTTGCGATAGTTCATTACACCCTCATTTTCGTTCAACATTTCAACGAATCTATGGACTATTAGACTACACAAATGGCATCACGCTCTCACAGCTTGGGGAGCTAATTCGCATGAATGGTTTTGACTATAACAAGTCTGCAGTTCTATCTTGGTTTACAAGTATTGATACAAATGCTATTTTTCGTGCGTTATAAGGATTAAATTCTATATTTAAGCCAAAAGAGGATGTTACAATGCCTGAGAGTTGTTCGTTAGTAACAGGATTTTAGCCAATTAATGTTGGTCATCTTGTTCGCTGTATGATACAACTCTAGTCATACACTCTGCGCTACGTACATCGCATGTTATGTCCAAAGACAGCGCTGGTTAACTATCATCTTGCGAAGACGGACACGTTAGCATTAGAGGAAATTATATCTATGGTTGTGGAAGAAGGGAAAGCATTGCTAAAGCAGTAAAGGAACTTTATACAAGACATATTGCTTTAAGAAGAGTGTATATAATACGCAGGCTACCTATTCATTAAATACATTAAACCATGTCGCTTTCCTTAATGCGGTTGCGTGAAATCATTTAAACGTTTTGCTCCCCTGCAAGTTTTGGTATCGCTTGGAGCCCATCTAACCACTTCTTCCTCTGCCTTCTTGACCTTGCCATATCCTTGACAGAAAGTCCCTCAATGACTGGCCTGTATATGAAGCATTAACGTGTTTGTGTCGCTCCGTGCATCTGCTTAGCAATGCGCACTTCTTTTAACAGAAACAGAGCTGGTTCGAGGAAAATCATGTAGTTTACGCATGTTAGATCAATGTTTGGTGCGACTGCATCTAAAACCGCGACCAAGATGCGAGGGTCGCTGTTGTGGGTCGGTTCCTTGCTGCTGTCATTGCTAGTCATGAGACTGTCCCTAAATTCCTGGTGCTCAGAATCCTTTGCTCGATGTTGGAACTTCCTAATGTTTTCTTCTTGTATTCTTGCATTCATGTTTGAATTATAATTGGTGATGCTCGCACTTCTATGGAGCTATTGCAATGCAGCTGTGACCATTAACTGAACAAACGTATCTTGCACGACTACTACCATCTTTTCAAGTTGACATTCTCCTTTGCAATCAACCGTGGTGGGTGCGGCATTATTCGTAGTTTGAAGATCTCGCATGATTCGGACGTCCCTGGCCATGATCCCCTCAATGACAATCCTTAGCCATTGCATCTTCGGGTCATCTATAGTTGTTTGCACCACCCTTTCAAAGAGGGCATCCTCAGGCCTAAAATCATGCATCTCTAGAGCCTTACTCGATAGGTCGTAATATAGAGATAGTGAATCAATGTCCTTGTCTTGGTGCGATGGCATCTCCACCCTTTTCTATTTCTTAAACTCGTCGTTCTTAATAAGTTTGATTAGTGATGGCAGAGTTGCTATGACTTGGCATGTTTCATACATTCGAACAAAAGTAGACTTTGGGATGAGTGAGTTGATATCCTTGTTAGGGGTGTCTTGATCAACTGTAGATTTGAGTGCTTGCTGAATGGTGTTGAAGTCGTAGTTGCATATTTCTAAGCATGCATCTTCATACTTCAAACGTTCTCCTAAGAGGATAGGGTTTGGAAGTGGCTTAATCTGTCGATTCTGATCATTGTCTAGGAAGAGGGTTGTGTCGTGATACCGCCTGATGGTGATGGCAGACAAGAGCTGTCTGAGCTTTGTTGGGTATTGTCGACGACCGTCCTTATTGAAAAACTCTGCTTGCACCACACTTCTAGCGTTTGTCTTGCTCAATAGTCCGCGTATTTTATTGAGGATGTTATCTTGCATTGATGCCTGACACGCATGTTTTTTATACTTGATCTTTTGCTTGAACTATGTGCGTATAAGCTTAAGATATGGCGCGAATTCTTCACGAGTTGACCACTAGAGACTGTGTAGGATGTATACGTTCCAAGGCTCGTCCGTATCTGCATACACATTTGATAGACTGGAATCTTTATCTTCATCGTCGACGAAGATAGGCGATGTTTTGGTGTTGCTATAGTTCATACGTGCTGTCTCGTGTAGGAATACTGCTTAATAACCGCCTGTTTGCTTACGTGATGTTTTGTTGCACTAAAGCATAGACGTTGTTTTGAAGTCTGTTGTCCTTGGCTTGTAGTACTCAAGAAAAACATGCCACTGGGAAACTGCTATATTTGTAGTTTTTCCAACGGCCCATTCTTTCTTTGAGTTAGTGTGAATGGGCGGGCACTTGCCTGACTCAGACAGGATATGTGACGGCGGTAGGAACTCATTGTTGAAATCAAAGAGAGTTTTATACTCGTATGTCCACGCTGCAAGCACCTCTATTGTGGGGCATCTTACGAGGTATTGTTGGTTAGTACGCGTGTCTGGTCTGGTCGTGGAAGCAGGTTCGCAGAGACAACGAAAAGGAAAGCGGTCTGATGATAGACACGTGCTCCCTTCTGGGGCGTCAGCGCTGAGATGTTTTGCGCCATCGCCCGTGCTACCTCTTTCACTTTCTATTTCTTCTACCATAACCCCTGTGACGTGATCTTGCCATATAAGAAGCCATGCAGCTGTGATCCGGTTTAGGCCAAGTTCGTCCGAGATGAATATCACGGGGAACTTTTCAGACATCCCACGCAGCTGAGAGAGCAGCAATAGGTGATGCAGACGCAGAGGTTGGGCAATCCCTTTTATCTTGTATGTATCCTGCTGTGGCTCGCCGCTTGATAGTAAACTGAAATATGACTTCGTGTCATTCTATGCTTCAATTGTTGGGGGCGTGCATTCGAAGAGGCTAGAAACACAGGATTTGTATTCGCCGTAGCTGAAGAAATTTTTTAGGTCTTTGTCCATAGTAGTTGGCGGCTTGGGCTTGTCCTAGCCAGGGGTTGGAGTGTGAACCTTGAGCCGTGGTACAATCTTCATCTTAAGGTTGGTGGCATTGTAGCGATGCTCCTCCACCAATGCATTCAGTATCTAGTGTTCATTTTTTGCAACCACGTTGTTGTATTCGTTGGGACATAGCAAATAGATATCTTCTCTGTCTGGATTATAGCGAACCTGTTGGGACCGAAGCCACGACATGATTGTGCCCCTTTGTCCGGTCTTTTGCCATGATTCTAGATTCCGGATTGTTGTTGTCTTTGAGTACTTGGGTTTAGGCATGCTAATTCCATCCCACTTTATATCTCTAGACACGATCAATACCATATCTTCGATTGCGATTTCGTTCTCGATGCCCTCTGCTGTATCCCTCTCTAGTAGGATATGTGCTGCTTGGCCAACTGCTTTCGGCGATGCGCCATGTTCCGAACAACAGACATCGAGATTCGACAGATGTTTAATACATGAATTCAGGTTGGTGGTGCTAGCTATCATAGACGACACAAACTGCTCCACAACTTGGCGTAGGTCGTTGGCAATTCTCTGAAATTCGCCGTCCAGGAATGGGAGCCTTTGGTCCATCGTCGCACAGACGCGGTCAGAGATCTTTTGAATAATTGCTTCTTGAGAATGCTGCTTGGGGGTGTTTGTATACGAAGCCGCGCAGGCACCTTAAACAAGCTAGTACACATATAACCTTATCTCTTTTATCTGCATTTTGTCGAAAGAAAAATATTCTTTTAAAATATCTCCTGGGGTCACATCGGGTTGTGCGAGATCCTTCAGCGTATTGGTGATTGGTTTTTTCCATGCTGTCTGCTTTTCGTTCGGTTCGAGTTTAAGAGAAACATTAACTGGTAATAGGATGTCCTCTATTGTGTTTATGCGATTCTCTGTTTCGAATAACAAGATGCATCAAATATAAGCTTTTGATAGTGGTCCACGAATGGTTAGCAGTATTGAGGTAGCGAAATGTGTGTTTAGAGAAGAATTGGCACAACCTAATATACTAACAAAGAGCGAGCGGCTATAGGATCGTGAGCGGCGATGAGATCGTGAGCGGCGATGGGATCGTGAGCGGCGACGAGATCGTGAGCGGCGATGGGATCGTGAGTGGCGATGGGATCGTGAGCGGCGACGAGATCGTGAGCGGCGACGAGACCGCGAGCGGCGACGATATCGTAGGCAGCGACGATATCGCGAGCGGCGATAGAGGGTGTCGCTGGTGGTGGTGTAGAATCGAAATAGTTGTGCGGGAGCGCTGGTGAGAGGCAAACAAGACTTGGTGGGCCATGGCGCGTTTGGTGCCTGTAACTGATAAGTGGTGAATACAAAGAAACAGGGTGATGAGTGAGACAACACCAAGGCTGCAACCAATAAAGAAGAGGGCAGAGTGGGGCTAGCCGTATGAAACTGAGCGGTGAGCAGTATTGGGGATCCAGCCTTCACTGAGCATGCCTTCACTGAGTATGCCTACACTGTTGAGTGCCTGCACGCCTCCATTCCTACTTGCCTCCATTCCTACATGCCTCTATCTATACTTGCCTCCATTCCTACACGCCTCTATCCATACTTGCCTCCATTCCTACACACCTCCATTCCTACACGCCTCCATTCCTACACGCCTCTATCCATACTTGCCTCTATTCCTGCATGCCTCTATTCCTACATGCCTCCATTCCTACATGCCTCTATTCCTACATGCCTCTATTCCTACATGCCTCTATTCCTACATGCCTCTATCTATACTTGCCTCCATTCCTACATGCCTCCATTCCTACACGCCTCCATTCCTACTTGCCTCCACTTATACTCACCTCCACTTATACGTGCATCTACTCTCTTGTAATCTCTAACATCTTTGTACCTTCGTTCATCCCCGCCTACATAATCTACTATGATTGTCCAATTACGTCACCGAAGCTTCTAGTCTTAGGCCCACCAGGCGCGTTTGTATCATCCTTCACCGCGGTTCTCTTGTGCACTGTCCATGTTTCTGCCTATAAGACTACCTTTTAATTCTGGCAAGATTCTCTTTCGCACCACCACAACTCACTCTCGTCAACCCAATCAACGACATATCCAGAGTACAGTAGCGATACAGCAAGTACACTGCAATTGATAGTATCCTTAACTTTCTGACACTTCACAGTCAAACACGATGCCGCCACGAGCCTTTCTTGCAAGCGTGGAGGACATATGAGACCCCAAGGCCAAGCGGGACTGCGTTCAGCTGCTGGATGTGCATTCTCCCAACATCACAGTCGACCAGGCTTACGCGTACCTCAAGATCCATCATTTCAACTACAAAGCCGCCGACAGAGACATTTCGCTGCACAGGATTGCTTATTTCTGGCCTGGCTTGTCTTCCGCGGCCGCAGAGGCTTTGCTAGACAGCGAGAATGACTGCAACCAAGTCATGTCCGGTTTAGAAGAGCTGGTGAATGCAGGTGTGCAGTTCAAAGTCCCAGCAGACAAAGTGTCCACCGTCTTAAAGTCCCTCCCGCATCTCGTGTATCGCCCCTCGATTTTCCGAGTCACCTTCTACTCCAACGCCCACCGCAAACCTCGTGAGCCCCAGTACCGGATGGACGGATTGTACATATACAAGATGGTAGCCCTATGGGGCGTTCATGACAAGGCCATGAGGGCTAAGGTGGCCCGAGTCCAGGAACTCCATATACAAGGGTGTCGTTCCGGTCTGCTATGCGATTTTGAGGAGGGATCTATCATCAACGCCCTTAGGCTGCAGCCATCTATCTCCAATGCTGCCCGTCTTCTCCAGAAGTGGCACGATGTGGGCAACTGCCGATGCGATCTGTAAGATGACACTCACCATTAGCATAGCACAGAGGTATTCATGCAGGCCTTGAGGGAATATGGAAATGAGTGGGGTTATTGCAGAGATGGATGACGGAAAGGAATAGCTAGATAGCCTACACTACTAAATTCAATATCTACTTTAACTTTGGCTTCTTAAAGGTGATGCGCTGCAATATGATACACACATATTGCCCGATTCTAAAACCCCTTCTAGCATTCCAAGCAGACGAACTAGTTACTAGATACACCTCTTCTTTAAAAGGTTAGTGAAGATAATAAACATCTTACTTATTATAGTAAGTACTATTACTTATAAGTAGTTTCAAAAAGTTTAATTAAAAAAATTCAGATTAGTAGTTAGGTGGGTGACCACTGGCGAATCCCTGCTGTTGTATGTTTTTTTCTTTTTTTTTGCTCCCTGGGACTCGTCCCTATCTAGCCGCATACAAGTAGAAGAATAACGTGACCAGGTGACAAAGGTATTTTTTTTCTTGCAAAAGGAAATCGAACGAAAACGCTCAAGCTGCTTCTCTTTACACCAAGGTACTAGCACGTGTATTTAAAATATTATATCTTGTTGTTCTGGTATATGGTGATAGAACTCTAAGCACGTGAATGGTAGGTGGGGACACGGGCTCCTTGGTACACCAGGCGCGTCTTGCATATGCATGTTTGAACCAGCATCGTCGCCAAGGCAAGGGTATGTAACGCGTCTTGCAGAGGCGCGTCCGCTAGCGCATCCTGTATGTATGCAAGATACGCACCACACATGGCCAAGATGAGCACTCGCGCTCGCACTCGCCCAGCTGCGCGCGCTGAGTCGAGTCGTCCATCGTTTTCCTGGCAGCCGTAAGTCGGGCGGCGCGGACGGCAACGAGTCGCGCACATGCACATGTGCATGTCTGCCTGGTGCAACATTTTCCTGTCGCAACACCTCCCCGTCGCAACGTCTACAGCCGCCGTCGTACATAGACATGCATACACATATCAGCAGGGCGTCGCTGCAATGTCACCTTGCCAAATGCCGGCCGAGGCCACCGTCGATGATGACTTCTTTTGCGCAGATTGCAGGGTTGGCGTCTTCTCTTTTTGCTTTTCCCACGCGCAATGCACGTCCGGCTGCAAGGGTGGCATCGTGCAGACGTCGACTAGACAGGGCCGCTCCAGAGCGAGAGGGCGCGGCGGCCTATCAACGACATGCTTTTATTATCGAGAAGCCGTCCCGCACGTATCCAGACTCCGGGGAAGCGTTTGAGGCGCCGGCGACTACCCGTTGCTGTGGATGCGTTTGTGCTAAAGAGTCATGGCCCCAAAAGTAATCGTCGGCCTCTCTCCCCCTCCACATGCTCACGCCCTCTCCTCTCTCGGCGTCGCGTCCTCCCCTCCCCTCCCCTCCCCTCCCCTCCCCACTCCCGCCCGTATACATATATAAAGGCCCCGTCGCGCGCCCTCCCCTCGCCTTGGTTTCCGCAAAATCGCCGCTGTTCCCTCGGTATGCCCTGCGCCCTTCCTTCTTTCCTCCCTCACTCCCTCCCTCCTCCCTCACTCTCCCCACGCCTGTCGCATTCGCTGCTAACCGCTCCACAGCCTCTACCCGTAGTCGCAGAGACATGGCCCAATTCTAGACTGATCGCGTCCTCTGCGGGATGCTTAGCCATCGTCATCCATGGCGGGGCTTGGAGACCCAAGTACGCACCTCACGCGACCCAACACCAATGCGCCTTCACACCCAGCTCCCTCGAGACGATCGCTCCCAAACGGACCATGCAATTATCGCGACGCCAGTCTAGGACAGTGTGGATGTGACCAGTTTTGGGACAGGCTGAGCGCCGACCTGCACGATGAGAGCACAGAGCACCACTCTCGCAGCGAGCGCTCGACTTGGTGTGTGTGCGGGCACCATGCCTGCTTCCATCTGAGTGCGTCGCGTGCGCCCGAACGCCTGCCGCCCCCGATATCTGCCCCGCTGCCCTCACCCCATGTGTTGTGCGAGGGCCAATGCCTGCGCCATGAGCGCTTTACTTCACAGTCCAATACTCACACCCAGCGACATCTGCCACAGACTCCACAAGCCTGCGAGCGGGGTCGCATAGCACAAAGTCAGGACACTCCATCGCACGCTAGCACGAGCGGTCTCCCTGGAATCCCTTCCGTGTGCTTGCTATCTCATGAGCGGCGTCCAATGACTAACAGCAAAGATAGGCATGGTGTGAACCAGTCGCACCATACGGTGACAGGGCTGGGACTTTCGACGATGCATTTGGAGAGTATGGAACACCTCAGGCGTCAGCCGTCGCCGACGCCGACCATACCAGACGATATGAACTTTGTTGGCACCCCACAGAGACACTGCAACGAGACAGGCCGCTCTCCGGCTGCAGCAAACTCGATTGCCAAAGATGCAAATGCCGACAGTCCATCGCGCGGCATCCTCGAGCAGGTTCTCCGCTTCAATCGCAACATACAGCTTGACATACCTGGCGACACCATCCCAAACACATACAACCCCGAAGATTGCGTGCAAAGCGTTACAGAGGTCGCGACTCCAAGCATTAGAAATACGCCAGACCTGAGTGCTGCTGATCGGGCTGTTCAAGAAGGAAAGAATTTGATTGACACATTGGCCAGGATGACTTCAAGCATGCCGCAGCAAGCAGCCAGCTCGCCAGAACGTCCAACAAGTGCTACGGTTCCCACTCAGCTTCTGCTGGAAAACTCTCCTTCATTGCCACAGGAACAGCTACAGAGCCTCTTGCAGTCGGCCTCTCCCCAGGGACTTCAAAAGCTCGTGTCTTACCTCGCGCCGTTGCATAACTTGCTTAACTCGATACCCAATGTAGCTAACACTATGCGAGACCTTGGAAATCGCCTGGATATGCTAGAAAACGGATCCTTCAACTACGTGCAGCCAGAGGACCTCAATCAGACGCTGGAGATGTATGAGGGTAGGCTTATCGATGTGGAACATCGCCTGGACGAGCACGATAGGATGCACCAGGCTGCAGATGATCGTGGTAGCGACAGCCCTTTCAACCGAAAGCGCATTGACAAGGATAGCGCGTCTTTTGGATCCGACCACTCTGCCAACTCCATAACCTCATCGGCTCTTATCCTCGCGGCAGTGGAGCGTAAAGAAACAGAAATGGAGCTTGACCACATCAAGGAAAGACTGGATGTGCTAGAAGCTGCAGCGCCACCCACATCGCTGGCTCCCTGGGAAATTGAAGTTGTGCTGCTACCATGGGGGCCTGACTTACGAGGCATCTGGTTCTCGCCGGACGAACCAATGCACAACACAGACAAGGCCACAACCCAGAGCTCCGAAGAATGGACTCAAGCCCGGACCTCGAGAACAAGCACAGAAATACCCTTCTCAGAGACTCTGAGACGAGATACCGACTCAAGCCCCTACTCAGCTGCTCCAACGCCAGGGAAGAATTCAACATTCAACCAGCGCGAAAGCGGATGGAGCAACCAAGACATTAGCAACTGGGCTTCAGGGTCTACTGACGACTGGCTGTTTGCCAAAGCATGTGGAAGCAACAATCTAGTCTACAAGCGACTTCAAAGCCGTGGCTTCGTGCGAAACATTACCCTTCGGGGCGCTAGTGCCAAGGACGTACAGGAAACGCTATCCCATGCGTTCAACGATGTTTTCGATTACCTGCAATACGACGACAGTGATGAAAACCCTATGATTGCTGCTTACCCGGGCCTTCGGGCATCGTACATACCACTACGAAAAGTGCTCAGGGAATCGCGACTCCGGTTTCTCACACCTGCTGAAATGTCAAGCTCAGCGTTTTGGACTGCTCAATTCCTCGCATCTGGTGTCATGATGCGAGTCTCTGGAGGAAAAAAGAGGTTGTATGTCACTCATCGCGAAGCGTATACACAGCAAGTCGATCGAAACGAGTTTGTTGTTATGGAACAGTCATGGCCGGAGCTAAGACAATTGCCTCGCTATCAACCTGTCCAAATCCCACAGGTGGAAGGCAATGATGAACAGGGTCAACCTCACGTTCCCGAAGCGGATGCCAAAGAGACGTGCTGGCAATTTGTCGAGGCCTACGATGCTCCGCCTCCTAGTGTGCACTCTTCGTTCGGCAGCAACCACTCTGTCCAACTGTCTATGCGACCTGCAGACCGACAATGGCGGCGATCCATGACGCCCAATTCCATTCTGAAGAACAGGCAGCTTCATCCTGTTTCTCCACTGAGCGAGAATCATCTGCGCCCATCGCTCCACCGCAATCGTACAGTATCCACTTCGGCCATGGACACATTCCCGCCCAGCTCGGCCAAGCGCCGATTGAATACTTCTCCAGTCAAGCAGGCGTTTACTCCACAGACGTTGTCGCGCACTCCTAGTCTGATGACGAGACTTAAAAGACGTCGCGTAACAGATTCGTCATCTCCAAGACCGGAAAACGCTCGGACAGAAGCTCCCGCCTCAATATGGAATGCAACCCCTCGGCGTTCGCGGGAACCACCGTCACCATTCTTTTCTTCGGAGCCTGCGCTACCACGGTCCAACTCGGACATTGTGAGTAGGCCAAGCCAACGTTCTGTTGCTATGACTGGCAAATCAACGTTCGCTTATGCAACACCACACTCGGGGCCTTTTGTAGCTGGTCCTGTCTTCAATGCCTACAACAATGCTGGCGACACAGAGCCAGACGACGACAACGACGATGATGACGGCGAGCAAAGTTGGCATGGTGTTACCGATGGCGAGAGTGTGTCGAGCTCTGTGGCTGGTGCTGCCATTGGTGCGCAAGAGGCTACAAGTTTTTCGGGGGATGACAGTGGCTTTGGTAGTGACAACGACAACGACGATAGCGACGCGCAGTCAGAAGATTCCGGTGATCATGCGCAACGGCGGCGCCTCGACACCGAAGAGGATGAAGACGATGTGTTCGACTCTCTCCTCAGTGTCATTGAAGACTAAGCATGCCTATGCTGACTTCAATTATAAAAAGCGATTTGTACAAAATATGGCAGGAAATATGGGAATGGGCTGTGGGTTTACATGTTAGTTTAGCGTTTCTTTGTTCCTGGATTGTATTGTACCATGCGTAGTTCGGCCACGTCTCTTCTCGGGCCCTCGTTTGTATTTCATGGTCATCGGATTGTACATTATCGAATATTGGCTACAAGCATAGCATAGTGTGGCTATGTGCCAACCCTCTCCCGTGTGGTTCAGTTGAAACCTCTATTTAAAGTTGCCTTGATTCGCGTGAAGGTGAGTATACGAGGATAGCAGAGCTTAGTTTCAACAGTCAACCCAAGTGGACGGCGACCTTACTTTGTTCCAGACAAATCCAACATGGCAGCTCATTTGTCGTCCAGACTAAGGCGTTCTGCCAAGAAGCACTGTTGGACCTACGGCGCCTATAAAGCCATACATCAAGACTACACAGCCAGTGCTCGGGCTCCAGCAACCACACTCTAAGTCGGCGAGACCAGGCTTTGCAGTACTACATCTTCTACTATAGGCTGTAGATCTTCAAAGGGCCTATCTGCCCCGCTGTTGCGCCGATGAGAAAAGGCCCGAAGTGCAACATAGGCTGCTTTGTGTTGAAAATATTGCAGCAAATCCAGTCTGATCTCAACATACCTGATGCATGATCCTTGAGTATACACAGTGGAGAGGTGTCTAGAGATGCAATTGACTTGTTGCTTGTAGAAACGCGCCGCATTCAATCTGAATGCAGCCGGGACTAAGTACTCCACTTAGGCCCCCAAGAGCGATAACCCTGGCATTTCAAAAGGAGGCGAAGCCATCGTGAATAGACTTGGCATTGTGCTCGGCGACCATGCAGCGGGCTTTAATAATTTCTCAGATTTCCCTTGGACTGCTGTAGCAATCATCGATTGACACCATGTCCCACGGCGAAAATAAGACACCGCATGTGCTTCATGAGCAACCCGAATCACAGCACACACTGATCCACCATCAGGGAAGAAGAAATGCAGCATCTCCCAAGCCTCGCGCCTCGGAAGTCCCTACGCTCCGCTACAGACACCGTGCGCTCTGGATCCTGGCCTTTTACGTCCCGCTCCTCGTGGTACCCTGGGCACTAACCTGCGTGCTGACTTACCATCCGGTGGGCCTGCCTTCATACGTCCAAACCGTGTTCACACAGAGCAACCTCTCAACACAGCGACGCGTTGTAGATGTACTTGCGGTGCTCAACTCGGTCGTGAGCATCGTCACGATCCCGCTCATTTCGGCGTTGCTCGCCCAGGCCGCCGTCGTCTTTACGCAGCGGCGCGGCAAGACGCAAAGCGTCAGTGTGCGCCAGACATTTGCGCTCGCAGACGCCGGATGGTCGAATCCAAGCATCCTGCTTGAGTCCTGGCCGCCGTGGAAAACACATGCTGCGGGCAACGCAACGCAGTCGGGATGGTCCGGGTCTGGCAGCGGGTTCCTGTGGCTGGCGGCGCTCTTCCTCTTGCTCTGCAGTGTCCAGCAACCTATCCGCGAGGGCTTCGTGTCGACAGAGCGCGTGTTGGTGATGACGACGGGAGACAATCCCGCGGCTTCAGACACCTTGTTTGGCAAAGCCAGGCGATACATGTCGCTTGGATACGACGCGGAGCCCGCCGACATCGCTATGATACCCGAAGGCGTGGTGGTGCAGCAGTTGGAGAAATCACTGGCTTCGCTTTCCATGGCCGAGGTCCCTACGCATCTGTGGCCGGACTTGCAGAACCCTTCGCCCTTTGAATTATCAAATGCCCCGTATTTGAAGCAGTTGGGGCCCTGGGCCCGCCCCGATACCGGGTTTTTTGTCGCCGCGTTGCCCAACGGCACGACGACTGGGGTTCTGCGGCAGCGGGCGATGAGACTCAACTCGACGGTGCGATGTACTATGATTGAGAAGTCTGTGTTTCCCTCGATCTGTGAAGGCCAGGCCCCGTTTACCGCTTCTTTCAGAAACGAATCGGCCCAGTTTGGCGTCCGCATCTGTGTTCCCGGGCAACGGGGCAAGTTTCCATGGCGGCTTTCTCGCAGCAGACAGGATGCTGTTGAAGACATCTTTGTGGATGTGGATACAGTTGATGAGAAAGAGGCGCCTGTGAGCTACACGCAGCATTGCAGTGTGAAAACCACGCGGGGATACTTTGAGCTGGGTAACTATCGCAACAACAACGTCCCCGGCGCGCTGCTGGACGAGTGGATCGAGCCCGATCCGTTTGCGAAAAACGCAAAGTTCAACGACTACCTTTCAGAGCTCTGGAGAGACGCCAATATCCTGGATATAGCCCGAAACGGGACCGCCACGCTGGTGGGCGCTGGAGGACGCTGGCGGCGGCCTTCCGACGAGGACAAACCCAGTGATATACGAGGGTGATAAGATCCAAGCATGTGGATTTCAAACGCATTGGGAAACTGACATGTACCCCAAAAGGCCAATCTCATCCTACGCCCGCTCCGACTGGCCCATCAGCCCAGCTTTTCGCACCATGAACCTGACCATGGCCGGCCCACTAATGACCTCAGCCGTGACGCTATTCGGAAACCGATCTCTCTTCGCAGCCGCAAATGCATCGACAAACGCCACGGCACCGCTCGTGCTGCACCAGATTTGCCAGGAGAACCGTCTGCCTTTTTCTGCGTTCCGCAGTTACCGCGATTATGCTGTTGCGTGCGAGGCACCCGTTGATGACAGCGAGCGGGTGCTCAGGATCATGCGGAATTTCACTGACGCCTTGTTTTCCGACGTGGAGTATACTGAGAGGTATCTTTCTGCGAGCATGTATGTATATCTTCCTGTCTTTACTTTTCTTCTTTTTCTTCTTCACACGAAGCCGCATGTGTCGCAGTATTTCCATGATGTCCACTACCGAAGAGGGCTCGACATCAAATTTTTCTTCTTCTTCTTCCTCGTACATGCTGACCGTATTAGATTCCACGCCAACGAAGCCATGCTCGTGCAGACGGCCCAGAAAACAGCTGGCTACACGGCGCGCCCCCTCTACACCGCACCAGGCATATTCCTGCCCAAGCCCGCCGTGTCGCTTGCAGGCACAATCGTCATATCCATGCTGATGCTCCTGCAGCTGCTCGGCCTCGCATATCTGGCCTGGTACATTTACCAGGTGCCCACGTGGACGGGGATGCTGGATGCACTGGCCATAGCACGCATCACGAATAGTCTGGACAAGGGCGATATCCCTGCACTGGGGGCCGTCACGGCACGAGATGTCCAGCGGTTGCAGGCGGTTGACGCCCTCGTGGGTGTCGTCGAGACGGGCGGCGAGGGCTGCTCGACTGGCTCGTCGCCAGTGACGACGCAGCGCAGGACGGTCGAGTTGGGCCTTGGTGCGTCTGGTTTATTTAGTCGACGGCTCACAAGGTTTAGGGTCCAGCGTTCTGCGGGCGTCGAACTCGACTGCCATTGTGAGGGATGTATGCGTACGCGCAATAGGGCGGATAGCAGGTCGTCGACTTCGTCGTATTATTAGATCCACTGTCGAATACATCTTGTTAGGTACCTTACTGTTACCTCCTATTGAATACGCTACTACGTTGTGGAATCCTGCGTCAGCACGTTAAAATCACTCATAAAACAAATAGATGATGTTGGTGCATGTGTAGAGGCGGCGAAGTCGGCACGGCCATGTCAGAACTGAAGCCATAGTGCAATATACGCCAAACGCATCATACAGCACCTAAGAATCCTACAGTGGTTAAAACGTTAGATTGCAACAACCATACTTCTCTACGGCCTACTGATATTCCTAACACACCTGCCAACGTGTTCCAGCCAAAAATGCTGAGTGGGAGCAGGGGTATCTCGCACCACACACTTCGGGCATTCAGAAAATCAGCACCACCACATGGAATACAGATTCGCAAAAAAAAGACCGTTGGACTCGCGGGGAATCTGTCACTACTGTTAGTGGCGAATCGAACATTGGAGGAACAGTAGAGCTTACCGAACCCCGGACCACTCCCATGCTAAGGGAGTATTATACCACTAAACCACAAGCCCGATGTTGCGCTGTTGCGCTGTAGAACCAAGCTGATTGGATGCTTTGATGGAGGGACGAGAAATCTGAGGGGAAATATCTAGAGACAACAATTTTTTCCACGAAAAAGCGGCGATGGGGTTGGCGTGGGTGGGGGTATCATTATGCGAGACCGGCAATTTTTTTTACCCCCCCACAGGGCTAGACCACCACCGTTGTTGCTGCGTGCGTTGAAAGCCAATCAGGTTCGGCGACTGGATTCGGACAATAGTATGGGAAGGGTGGGTCATTTTATTGGTTCAGAGTACTGGTTGGTGTAATCTATGCTTCTGTCAGTCTACTGGTTGAACTGCTGCGAGAATTACGGGGTTTGAGATTGGATTACAGACTGCTTGACAGCGGGTGAATATGCGGCAGTCTTGCTGCGTTGTTGGACGTTTGAAGCTTCCGAAATACTTGCAGACCCCAACCCCAAGTCAATTCCGAGTCTCCTTTGCCCTGCAATTTGACCGCGAAATCTCTGTAATAACAAAACCAAGGTGAATATGGATTCGGTCATCATGAATGCTTCGGACTTGCAGTGATACTTGACCACGACCACGCTAGCCGCTTTTGTCCAATGTCTTGGCAGTCGCGCGTGGTTCAACGCGCCAAAGATTCCAGACATCAACCCCAGCCTTTCGCGCCCGCTGCATCACCACGCAACCCGAATTGATCGACGCGGCACTGCTGTCGCCTTACCTCAGTCATCATGTACGGTATGAATCAGGCCTACCATGCCCCCGACCCGAGTGCGCAGGTGCCAAACCATCTCGTGAGCACTCCCGAAGCTGCGCGACCATCTTCGTCGACTAACCGTACAGCTCGCCCACGTGCATCTGATATCGTCGTATCGCTTTCCTACGTTACCTGGCCTGCAGGCTCAGCAGGCCCTCGAGTACCTCATCAAGGGTCCGCAGATTGTGCGCGACACTTCGCCCGTTGCGTGGACGTTCCTGTCGGCCCCTCCGCCAGATGGCACCGTCATCCTCACCTGGCAGCCCCCGCGCATGGGCAACATGTTTGCGTCGGACGGAATGGTGTGGGCTGATGCTGAGAGCGCATACGACATGAACGTGCGCGGCTATGTACGTGTGTCCGAGGTATACCAACATTGCATCATCTAATACCACGCAGACTCTCCAGGTCTTTGTCCACAACAGTGGCTACCACTACCCACATGAGCCATATGCGATGCATGCACGCCATCGATACAGGATAGCTGCTGGACCCGGTACTATCGACCCCAACCTCTGGCTGGTGCACTACAAGCCGGCCGAGCCGCAAAGCCGAATTCCTGCCTCGCAAATTCCCATACCGCGAGATGTGCAGGCCCAGTTGCAGATGCGGGCTCAGCTACAGCAGGCAGGACCACTGATGCGCAAGGAGTTCATGCTGGTGGACCAAGCCAACTGGCCCAAGGTTGAGTTTGGACAGCAGGCGATGAGAGGCCCACAGCCCTACTACAACCCGATGCAGCCAGGTCGACCGTATGCTGCACAACCGCCTCCAGCCAAACGCCAGCGCTTGCCGACGCAGCCCCAGCCCCGTCAGCCCCCGCCGGGCGCAATAGTGCCAGACAATACGCTCGAGGAAGAGGAGAATGCCACACAAGATGCGTTTGACTTTTTGACCCCACGCGAGATAAGTCTGTCGCGATACAAGCAGCACCATGAATGGATGGAGGAGATTTTCTCGTCACCGTATGCGATTGGAAAGATTGCGCCCATCGACCTTGGTCTTGGCCTCATGGGCGAACTCGCTCCGCTCACTGCAGGCATCCTGGATGCGCCTGGTGCAGAAAATGTAGAGACGGGAAAAGAAAGCTACAAGGTCAAGAACTATTACAAGCTGGACGCGGAGCAGCTCAAGGACTTTGAAAAGCGTGTATCAGAATACACCAAGAACGAGCAGGCTGAGATTGACAAGATGAAAGCCGAGCATGCGAAGAAGATTGCGCACTTGAAGCGCACCCGGACATATATCAAGGCGGAACGACGATTACGAGATCTATCACGCCCTGCCGACGGCGAAGCTGACGGGGCGAACCCCGTCGAGGAAGTTGTGAAAGATTTGGAAAAGTCACTGGGGGTTACATTTGAAGCAAAGAAGGCCGTGGTTTGTGTAGACAAGGGTGGCTTTACCGAGATACAGCAGCCGTCGCCTCCAAAGGCACAGGTCAACGGCAACGAACCTCAGCAAAATGCCAACGGTACATCGTCTGGAGCTAATAATGAGGGATCTGTGGAGGAGAACTCAGCAGCGGGGCTCTTGGATCAATACGGGTCAGGCTCAATATCTGGCACGCCCATTGGCAACATCTCGCTGCCTCGATTGTCGCAGCCTCCAAGCCAGTCGCAGTCAGCAACTGGCACGCCCAATGCACCTCATGGCAACATGAACCAGGCGCCGACGTTTGACCAGCAAGACACAAACCTGGACGTGGGAGCTGACCTTCTGGACTTGGATGTGGAAATGTCAGGCATGGCGTCTGCAGGAGACAAGGGCGAGGACTGGGTGATGGTCAACGATCAGGCAACAAATGCGCAGCAGCCAAGTGGCAACATTCCGCAGGCAAATATGAGCAACAACCAGCAAGCGGCAAGCAATGCTGGTGGGGCCATGGCTTCATCGAACATGGAGGCTGATGCAGGCAGCATGTTCGACACGGCCGACTTTGGAAGCTTTGACAATCTCGACAGTGCCGGGGACGCGCTGGCCGACTATGGACATGACGACAATCTGGGGCTGGATCTGGTCGACGACTCTGCGTTTGGCGACGCATTCCACGGGACCGAGATGCATCATGACAACGGCGAAGGCGACAATGCGTAGGGCGCAGGCTGGCCGTAGTAGACCGAATGTTCATGTGGGCTAGGCTGGGCTGGGCTGGGCTGAGCTACCTTTTGCAAAGTAATGCTTGGGTTGTATTATCACGTTTCATACCAGAAGATGGGGCGTCGAGGGCGTTTCTAACTTGAAGCATTCTAGGGCTTGTGCGTGCTTGGTCAAGCCTTTTCTCATTATGCCTTGCATGTGTGTGTGTGTGTGTGTGTACAGTTACTAGATTGAACTTGCAGATCGGTGTGTCCTAGTGGCAAGCATATGCAGCACATGATCCGTGGTATTTGGCATGTTTAGTCATTCTGGCCACTACACACGTACCTACATCTAGTGCTAGCAAAGTTTTTTATTTATTTATTTCCAATGCTGCTTTTTCTTTGCTTTGGTACGTACACCTAGTCCGCAGTGATGAGACTAAGACTAGTGCGTGGAGGAGGGGGGGGGGCGGCTTGGACGTCACAGACAAGAGACCGTTTCTTGTTACTGTATAGTAGTGCAGAAACAAGCTTCGATGAGATATCCGTTAGGTTCCAATAAAAGGGCTTAGTAAGATCGACGGCCCCCATGCCAGATACATAGGTTCCGGGCAGGATTTGCCTGCACGTTGTGGGGGGTGAGGCCGAGTCGGCGGTTGATTTCTATATATGTACATATGCTACCTTGAAATGTGACCATTGACCAAGCTGACATGGAGACGGGCGGAGGTAAGATATACGATCGGAGCGTCTTTATAGGGCAGATTAGAACAAAGGAACTCCAAGGCGCGCCTGAGTGGCAGCAGTGACGTCGAAGCCAAGGCTTTATTTACACCCCCTTTTACGTTTTTGGCCAGGTGAAATTAGACAGAGCAGAGCATGTGGCCCAACGTTTAAGATTCGGGGCGTTTGATGGCCAATTGGGTGGAGATGCAATTGGGCATTTCCGACTTGGAGCGGAACGGGCACCTGGCTGGCGGGCATGCACGACGGGGATAGCAGGTTTCAGTAGCCCCTGACTTCAGGGGGACTAGTGTCGGGTAAAGCGGCGCTCCACGTCAGCGTGCCAAGGCGACGAACGGTTTCCCGCTTGGATGATTGTGATTGCGAGAAAAGGCGCACGGTAGTGGTAGGCCTCAGATGGGGGCGCGATGGCAGAGCGCAGCGTGCTGCTGGCGTGCTGGCCCGAGGGAGGCGCGCGGACGGTGTTCGCGAGATTGACGGCTCCATGCATTACGGGCCTGTGTGTGTGCTGGAGCGAGGCGAGGCTGCTGACTGAGGGGGGCCAATGGGTCGTGGGGGGGTTGACTGTACCTGGTAGTAGTTGGACCAGGACGGCTGTGCTGCGTGCCGCCGTGGCAGGGGTCCCGACTAGGAAAGTCGGGATGTGTGGCTTCAAGATGAAGCTGTGCTGGAAAGGGACAGCGATGGGAAGGGGGTGCAGCAGCAGCGGCGGCGGCAGCGGCAGCGGCAGCAGCAGCAGCTGGGCGCGGGGCAGGCCGTCTCGCGCGTGCTTCAGCGGGCTGGGCGTGGGCGGCACGGCGCACTCAACAAAGGGCATTGTTGCATTGCTGGTGTTTTTGGTGTTCTTGTTGCGGTGGTAAGTAGTAGAGGTGGTGGTGAGGCATGGGCTGGGAAGGGGCCGCCCCCGCCGCGCCCGACGCGTGTCTTGACGCGAGTCGCCGGCCGGCCCATTGCGCCAGTGCCAGTGGGCCGCGTCTATCTGGAGCAGCGCGCGCGCGTTCCTGGAAAAACATGTAGCCACCCCCGCTGCTTGGGACCAGGTTGGACCAGGCTGGACCAGGGTCAAGTGCAAGCGCCCTGCCAAAAGCCCATGGCCCGCCGCCGCCGCCGCCACTCGAGTGCATATCTACACACCAAACCACCCTCCGCCTTTTCCTGTCTTCCTTCTCACTTCCCCGACGGCCTCGCCCAGTCCCCCCCTCTGGCCTCGCCTGCTGCCATTCCCGCTGCCAAGCTGCCTGTTCCCTTGGGTCTTGTCTCTTTTGTTCTCTTCTCTTGCAATCCCCCTTCACTGCCCTCCCGCCCACCGCCCGCGACTTTTTTGGCCTGGCCCCCGGCAATGCCCTTGACCATTCTCAATTCCTAGATCCTTGCATTCCTTACCCACCACGCTCGCTCCAGCTTTTCTTGCACGCCGCCTGCCCACCCAGACCCAATGCCCCCCCGCGACGCCAACTGGATAGATGCAAGTTACACCCGCTCTGCCCGCACCCGACGCTGCGGAACCAGCACTGACACGGACATGGTATAGGGCCTTCGAGGAGTAGCCTCCTTTATGGTCGTCTGCGGCCATCTCTGCACCGCATTCGTCCCGTGGCTACACCGGCCAGCCGCCGATCCCAAGACCGCGCCCCATCTGTTCCAGCTGCCCTTCTTCCGCCTTGCCGTCGGAGGCCGCAGCGCCGTCGCTCTCTTCTTCCTCGTCACCGGCTACGTCAACTCCATCGGCCCCATTTCCAAATCCCGCGCTGGCAACTACGATGCCGCCTTCCACGCCATTGCGCGCAGCGCTCTGGCCCGCTCCGGACGACTGATTCTGCCCACCATGATTGCCACCATCATCAGCTGGTTCATGGCCCAGACAAACGCATACCACATGACCAAGCACGTCGATGCGCAGTGGATACGCCAGGGCTGGCACCGACAGGAGCCGTCCCTGTGGATGGCCCTTACTTCGCTTTTCAAAGCCCAAGTCGAGACGTGGACAATCGGCTGGGACGAGTACGACGGCACACAATGGACACTGCATCTGTTTCTCCAGGGCGCTTTTCTCGTATACACAACCATGCTTGCTACAGTCCTCGTCAGGCCCAAGGCGCGTTTTATCATCTACGCAGTCATGTACGCCTACTTCTGGCAAGTAGGCAAGGGTAAGCTAGTTTTGAAACAATGCACCGGGTGTCATAAGTGCTGACTGATTCAGAAATCACCGTGGGTTCCATCGAGGGCTTGAACATTGTCACGGGCATGTTTGTTGCCGAGTTGCATAACCACTACAAGGATTCCGCTACGTCGGTTCTTCCCGCTCCCATTCCTGCCATTATGATTGTCTGTGGCATGTTCATGGCCGGATTTCCCCAGGAAGCATTTGGAAATGCGCGCTGGTCGGACACCATGTCCAAAATCATGCTCAGCCTTACAGCCGAAAAGACGGATATCCGACGTTACTGGGACCACCTTGGAGCCGCCACGGTTTTGCTTGGAATCTTCTTCTCGAGAAACGCACGCAAATTGCTCACCTCGCCCGTCTTCAACTTCCTTGGTCGTGTCAGTTTCCCTGTCTACCTCATCCACAACACATTCATCAAGACTGTCTTGACCTGGATGATCTACCTACCCTCGGCCATGAACCCGCCCGTAAACGAAAAGGGAGAACAACAGGATCTTCAGCGCGGATCCGTTCCCCATATTCTCATTGCCATTGCCGTCTTCTACTACATACTGTACCGCTCAGCATCATTATGGGTCAGGTACATAGATCCGGTTTGCGCAAACATTGTCAACGCAGCAACAAAATGGGCAACCGGCGAGCCCCAACCAAAGGACATCCGGCCAATTCTTGGAAACGGATCAACAGCCGATAAAACGACTGTCCTTCCATCATGAATTGCGCCTGTTTAGCCTCTGCACCCTTGCTGTGGTTTGCCCTTATTCTTACATTTCATGTGTATTCTTGTGCTCTTCTGGTCTGCATACACTGCTTGGCTGACGCCCTCTTGATTCCCTATACCTCCTTCTTCTTTGATAACCGGTCTTGTTTGGGTTTTTTCCTTGTGTCTTTTCTTCTTCATTCTTCAATGATAGCGAAAAATCTCTCTCTTTCTCTCTCAAGTCAATGTTGCAACTACGCACCGGATAAGCGAGTTCAAGACACCCTTTTTTCTATTTCTTTGTCTTCATTTTTTTTCTGCTTCATGGTTGGAAGTTGCAAAAATAACATTGCATATTGGAGCGTTGTCTCAATTTTTGGACGAACGTTATGTATCAGTATGGGGAAGGGGGAGGCTCAGCAGGGTGAGATATATATATATATACCAAGGCTGATGAGGTGGTGGTGGAAGAGGTGGAGGAAAAAAAATACACACAACAGTCATTGAGTAGACGGCTGAGACTACACGAAATAACAAGATGAAGAGAAAAAAAGGTTCAAAATTCACGACTCGGGCTTTGTCTTGTATGTGCACCAATGAGGTTTTTTCATATCGAGATTGACTTTGGGATGATTACCATGATTCTTGTTGTTTTGCAAGATTGGCATGGCAACATCATGACGAAAAAAAAAAGGTATGTACTTGGGACATTTTAGTTTTCTTCAGGCGTAATGTATTATCATTATCTACTGCATACCAACTCATCGCTAAACAGCTAACTAAACCCTAGACTTGCAAAACAGAACAAAGAGAAGAAGAAGAAGAAGAAGAAGAAGAAGAAGAAGAAGAAGAAGAAGAAGAAGAAGAAAAAAACCATCCCAAGCGAGGGTGAGCGATAATACATTAAGCGCCGAAAAAAAGCCGGGTATCAAGAACGCGTAGTTAAGTCCAAAACGAAAAGAAAGAAAAAAAAGTGATGATAAGGTGATGTAACCGCTCAAAACAGAAAGAAGAAAGAGAAAGCCGCGCGTCCAGTCAAGCAGGCCACCATCATGGGCCACGTCATCCATCATCTCTTTCTCTCTCTTTCTGTCTCTCTTTCTGTCTCTCTCCTGCGTCGCGCGTAACTTGAAACCGTTACTGTGTATATATAGATAAAACAGAGGGTGGGTGATTAGGAGCGGGAGGGGAAGGGGGGGGAGGGCTAAATTGAAGTAGTGGAATATCGGAATGTGGAGTTCCAAGTACCCATGTCCTTTGAGAGACGTTGTTTCCAAAGTTGATCAAACTTGATATATCATGGAAAAGTTGGAGTGATTCATTCCTCTACATGTTCTGGATGACATGCGAGTTGATGGCGCTCTGGAAGCCCGCGTCATTGGCACCGTATTCGTGGGCGGCGGAGCTGTGGACGCCCAGGGAGTTGCTCGAGACACCGTGAGAGCTGGGGCCTTCGCCTGCAGCGTCTGCTTGAGCCAGGGCACTCTGCACCGTTTGGTTCTGGGCAGGCAGGAAGATGACTTTGGAGTTTGCGCTCTTGGCCATGGACTGCATGGCTTCGAGATAGCGGATCTGCATGGCGGGGGCAGAAGACAAGATATCGGCCTGAAAGAGAGTGTTAGGTTACAAGTCAGAGGATGAAGGGAAAAGTCATGACGGAAAATACTCACAGCTTGCCTCATCAACTTTGCGGCTTCGACTTCGGCTCGCGCAGCAATCACCTTGGCTTCACCGGTACGCTTGCTCTGGGCAGCCATGGACAGCGAGTCCTGGAGTTCCTGGCTAAAGATGATGTCCTTGACGAGCATGGACTCGACCTCGACACCCCAGCCAAGCGCAGGCTCCTCGATAATCTCACGAATCGACTGGGCAATCTCCTCTCGGCGCTCAATCACGTCCTGCAAGACACGCGCACCAACAACATGACGCAGTGTCGTCTGGGTGCGCTCGACAAGCGCCTGGCGGATGTTGCTGATGCTAAAGGCGGCCTTGTGCGGCGACGTAATGCGGTAGTAAATGACCGACGTCAGCTGCAGCGAGACATTGTCCTTTGTCATGCAGACCTGCTTGGGCACCTCGACAATCTGCACCTTGATGTCGACCTGGGTGAGCTGCTCCGACAGCGGGTTCACATAGACGAGACCGGGATCCACGGCGCGGGCAAAGCGTCCGAACTTGGTGACGAGCCCCACGTTGCCCTGGTTGACGGGCTTGTATGGATTCGGGCAGATGATGCAGCAGGGAATCGCTCCTAGAGTGCCAATGCAGCTGCCAAGCGTGTTGATCTGGGTAAGTTAGCATCTGGGGAACTGTTTGCGCAAATGTCAAACTCACCATACCGCCATACCATCCGTTGGTATCGGCGTCGGCATCGTCAGGCTGGATGACCCGAGCATAGCTGGGCTGGAGGTCCTCTCGTCGCGGTGGCTGGACCTTGATGATGGGCTCTTGGGCATGCGATGCCGCACTGCTGGCGCCATTGACTGGAGCCTTGCCATTGGTGTCGCTCATGGTGGCTGCGGGTGCTTGGTTGTTGCGCAGGAGAGGGTTTGTCGAAGCAATGGACTCAGAGATGGTGGCCGAGTCGTGGATAGAGGACATATTGGCCAGCGATCAGGATACCGTTGGCTTATATGCACCTGGCGACTGTATTCACGCATTCGAGCGGGGAAGCTAGCCTAGCGTGAATCCTCGCTCTTCGTTGCGCTAGCTGGGCCGCCTCTGGGGGGGCTGTGCCACACTACTTCTCTCTTTCCCTCCCACAAGACATGGCATCATGACACCCACCAACAGACATGCGCAGCTCGGTTGTCTCATCTATCCATGGTCTAGCGCCGTAGCTGGCTCCCTCTTGAGCAACCCAACACCTTCAGCTCTGGCACCGCACTGTCCATTCTCCACGGCTCCTCTCGATCACCATCACTCCACCTCTGCCTGTAGCCTGTGCTACATGTCCCGCCTCAGAAATCCCCATACGTCACATCACGACGAGCATTCTTTCAAGGCCACCACCCTAGACGGCTAACTCGGGGCCTAAGCAGCGTGCACCCACCACACGGCTCGTGACGTGGATAGGAAAATAACAAACGTCGCCCTCAAGGCACACTGGGCACATAATACACATGCATCTAATCTATCCCACGTCAACGATTGACTGGCGCACTCACCGCGGACACCAATGGAGATAGCGCGCCTGTTTTCGGCGTTATCACGCGCCGCACGACGTTGGGCCACTGGGCTAACATGCAGCCCTGTTGCTCGAGGGGCCCTGTGGCGAAGGCGGGGCTCGGCTGCCGACTTGGCCACTGAGGGCCAGGGCCCATGTCTCCCCCCCCCCATGATGCCTTGACGCCTGTCTATTCTCTCCATCAACTAAGCGCGCCTCGGAAGCGCTTCTCTGTGCCTCAGGCGCGGATCATCGTTGGTGGAGGCTGTTACACTCGATGGCACAGCGCCAACTCTCTTTCTTTCTTTCAAATCTCTGCAGGCCCATATCGCCTAGAGCACAGTCTTGCGCAGCCACAATCATCAGGTCTCGCATATGGTACTCGGGTCCGCCCACCGGACAGGAACATGCTGGCTTCTCACAGACAACAGTGGCCACGACTGCGCCTTTGTCTTTGCTAATTCGGGTCCGCCATCATACATCCAACTCCGGTCAACCCTATCTTAATTTCCCTCAATCTTAGGGGCGGGCGTATCCAGACACAGCCCGGATTAGGCCTCCATTCAGACAACCATCTCTTTGGCGAGCAGACTGAGCTTTGGCCCAGAGACCCATCCATCGCCAAAATCTAGACTTTTACAACAACATTCAAATCCCTAACCGAGCTAGCTGGACCCCAAGGCTATTTTGTACATGTCCTTTCCCGTCGTCGTGTAGATCCGCATGTGCGTACGGTCGACTGTTGAAGAGCCAAGTTTGGTTCGTTTCGTGATATTTCATATTATTTTCCTGATGATTTGCTCAATCTTTCAAAGGATTTAGGCTTGCGAGACGTGATAATATTGTCTCCATTTCAACCGCCACCCCCCACTGAATAGCAAGGCCATGCATCATCATTTGTATCTTTTTCATATCAAAAGGTATATTGCGTGCTGGACCTAGGGTGTAGTTTGGCATTGCCAAATCCGATAAGAGAAAGCTTTGTGTCTTTCTCCAAGATAAGTCGCGTCCGAGGCTTTCTGGCGCTTCTCCAATGCTTGGTTGGGCAATTAGTGTAGACTCCCAGTGTACAGATGTGGGAACAGAAACGGATGCCACGCCGCTCAAGCGGAAAAGCGAGTAAAGGATGGATGTGGCGAAGAGAGGTATGGGCATCCAAAAGGTATTGATGCGATTGAAAGGGAGCTGACCGATCAAGTCCTGGATAGCTACGGCGTGTAGAAAAGCGTATTTGGCATCGGTGGATCCTCTGATCCAATTTAGTGAATCCTTTAGCTCTACTCCGCTGTTCCTTGTCTTGAAGATGTGTTGACTGATGTGCAGATGGCGACAGGTCTGGTCAAGAAGCTCAATGGAGTTGCAGAGTAGATCCAAACAGACAAAGTGCCACTGGATTGTCAGCTCTAGACGCTCAGTATGGTCCAAAGACCAGGTATTGGTCAAAAGCTGAAATACCCGCACTAAAGCCAGCTTCACTTGAGGTAGCGCCGGGATGTTGACAATGGACTTGGAAGAGTGTGCCTCGCGGTTGTCCCGCACTAGAGCATGCAGACATTCCAACACGGCACGGACGTCCAGTGGCATTGTTAAGCCGTACAAGCACGAACTACTGTCATCTTCATGATGATTAGCAGAGAAGAGCTCGTAGTAGATGTCACAAAAAGTAAATGTGGAATCATGGGGCTGCTGCTCCTCCAACTCATGGCGCCACTCTTGAGCATTCTGTGCCTGAAAAACCTTGGAGCGGGCTGAAAGCCTCAGATTATTTGTTGCATGCAAAACCGCGGCTGTTGGGCGGCCCGAAAGGTAGCTTAGTTGACCGTCGAGGATGTAGTGGCCGATGAGTGCCCGGTGATGAACCTCTGCTGCAGCCCACTTCTCCCAAGCATGCTCATCGCTGGCTTGTTCTGCAGAGCGAGTGGGCTGTTGCGATGGCGAAGGTCTAAATAGGTTGTTCTGGTTTGCCCAGTTGAACCCCAGGCTATGAAATACCTGACTGGTAAGTTTGAGGTCCGTATTCTGCAGGATTCAGTAAAGAGCCGTGTTACACATACTAATCTGAGAGCATACCTCAGACATCATAGCATAACATTGGCCGAGCAGGGCAGTCAGCACCAGCTGAACGCCTCTGTGTGAATCATAAGGGCCTTGATGGCGCAATAGCACCGGCCACTGGGGGTAGCTCAAGTCAGCAAATGAGGCATAGTCCATCAGATTAATAGGGAACAAACCGAGGTAGCTACGGCAGTGTGTGCGAGTCTCCATAATACCTCGCCCTTGTGAGATGAAGTGTGTTAATAACCCTGATCGATAACGATGCGAGAAGTGTATGAACTAACTTTGGAAACTGCGTCGTCTGTGCCCATGTACAACGATCCAAGGGCGATAGCATTGAGTATTAAACTTGGTGAGCAGTCTCGAAAGACAAATGTGGGCCTATGAAGAATCGGAAAGTAGGGGTTAAAATGAGAAAAATATGCTTGAAGACAATTATCGAGGAAGGCTGAGCTTAATCCTGGCAGGGCTTCCACAGCCGAGGTGACGTTCTGTGACTGTTTCACTATTAGCTACTAACCATAACCTGATGGTCTGCATATTTTGTGGTAACAGTAGCACATACAAGGCTTGTGACCATATTACTGAGACTTTGAATTGCCTCTCGTGAGCCGTTGAGGGGCGATAATTGCTCAGCATCCTGGATCTCACCAGCATGCATTGACTCAACATTGCAGGGAAGGTTGAGCTGTGGTGCTGGCTGCTGGCGTGGGTGAGCTGGCGGCATGCTCCCTGGCGGCAGAGCCAGAGAACCCCAGTCAGACGTGACGATGCTTTGCAAGAGGGCTTCCGCATCGGGCCATTCTAGAGCAATGCTGAGATCATCGAGCGCAGAGCCGGTCAAGGCTGGGTCGACAAGCATAGAACCGGCCTCGATGCTTGACCCTGCTTGATAGCTGCTACTCTGGCGCTGGTCAGCAGCGGATGGGAAGTTCGCATAATCTGGTGTGCCGGGAGACAAGGGCCAGGCAATTTGCTGTTGCTGTTGCTGGTGCTGGTGCTGAGGCTCGACGCGAGTATGGGTCCGCTCGTGCCTTGTTACCGAATCAGGCCTGCTGAACTGCCGCCCGCAGATGTGACAGGAAAATGGCTTTGCACCGGTATCTAGAACATGTAACAGAAGCAGAGAATCAGCGCATGCATCATGGTATCCACATGTGATGGGCCTAGGCTAAAGGGACCAGCAGATAAGAGGTGACAGGGGCTGTTGGTGCTTACGGGTTCGTTCATGCCTCTACTTATTTTAGTAACTTATTGTCTATAGCGCGCAGAGTCTTAATATGCATGCATACCGCAAGCTATGGTACAAGCAAATGGTCAGGGCGCTGCTTACCTGCAAATGTTCTGCTTTGGAGTATGCTTTGTTGCAGATTGCACATTTCAGGGCCGACCGCTGGCCATTGGACCGTGTGCCTTGTCTTGCCATGGCCAGCCTCAGCGTTGATAGCACGGCACACGCCAACGGCAGTGACTAGTTGCTAGCAGCTGGTGCAATAATAGAGCCGAAGAATCGTGGGGGGAAGGGACGCAAAACGGGTGCTATGAGCGGAAAAGGTGGGGTTGCGTGGAGAAGGTAGAAGGATTGTGGGGAAGGAAACACGAGTCTTTGTTCGAAATTCAAGATTGATTCAGGAAACCCATGACTAACCACACAACGCCAAATTCGAGTTTTCTGGAAACTGCTTGGAAACCGCCAGATTCGAGGAAACCGGCCACGAGGACTCGATTGCAACTATTTTCAGAGCATGCGGCTAGGGCGCTGTTGTGCTATAGGGTGAAAGAAGAGGCGCTTCGCCCTAATCTCACCACCACGAGAATGTCCTCAAAAGCTTTGACCACTAATGCTAAGATTATTGGTGCTAATAGCAATCAAGCATTTTAATTAATCTTAAAGTTAATAAGATGCTCAACGTCACTAAAAAGATTAAGAAAAAAATGAAAAAGACCTACCTCTAAGGCCACTAGAGAAGAGAACAAGAGACTTATACATAGTCACGTCCTTTACGCTGTTGCAACCGGCAATAATTGTCTCTTATCAAGCTGTAACGAGTTTCCTTTGCGCTCAGTTGGGACCTCCTCGAGATACCAGCTAGTCATCCAGCCTTCACTTAACTATCCGTAACAAACTCATGTTTTCCCCGCCGCAAGCCACGTTTTGCAGTCGTGGAGAAAGATGATCTACTGCGGGGCTACATGATACCCAACCGCACGGATACGTACGGGATGTACCATCGGCAGTTGGCTGTCAACTGAGCTACGCAGACACGGTCCGGTATACACCGCCAAAGCAGGTGATTTCCGGCGATAGCCTACCGGCATTAGAGAGTGAGTTAGCATCGTCAGCCCAAGCACCTACAGGACGCAAATAGTGGACCATTGAGTCTTCGGCAGTAATTAGGCGTGAAGATGCAATTGCTTCATCACTACATTACCTGCAAACTTGCAATCGTGACTGAATATACACGATGCAACCTGATTGATGTTTGATTCATAAACTGCAATAGACTGAAAGAAGCAAAGGTTACCAAGATGCTTACGATAGCAAAATATTCAACATAAGAAGACGGTCGATTCACAGAATTTGACGGATAAATGCTCAAATTCACTTGAGCCTTGATTGAATAGAACGCTAACATCCAAAAAAAACTGCTGCTAAATCACACTACGAACATCCTTCGAATTAATACAGGCTTAGGTCGACTCATTGCAGACCCAAAAACTTTGCAACATTCTGACTGACTTCCTTGGCCTCGCTTTCTGTGCCAAAGGACCCAAAGATGTGCTGATCTGGACGGATCAACAGAGCACGTCCTTCAGACAAACCAGACTGGACCCGCCAATCCAGATCTGTATTTCCCGTCACTACATCAAAGTCCTTGCCAAATTTGAGAGCGTTGAACTTAATGCTGCTGTTGTCGGCGGCGATAGAGGAAATGGCTGCGTCCAATGGACTGTCCTTTGCTGGCAACAAGACCGTCCATGCATCAGGAGCACAAAGATCCAGTGTGCTATATTGTCTCGCTTTGAGCTGATCTTTGGTGAGCTCTTTCACATATGTGAGACTGACTGGCTTCAGCTGTGGCACAGTTGCTGGTAGTGAGCCTCGTAACCAGGCGTGTGGCAGCCTCGCGCCTGGACGGAAGCTGGGTGTGAAGTGCGACGCATGAGCAGGGATCTCTGTATCGCCATAGACATAGCCGATGTGTAGGTTGAGGTTATCGAAATGCTCTCTCTGCTCTTCTACCCCGACCTCCACCTCTTTCATCTTCGCCGGATCGTTGATAGCTTTGAGCAGATTTTGTCGAGCTTCGTTGATATCGGATATGCCTGCCGTTCCCAAGGCTTTGAGCAGGCCAAAGATTGTTTGTCCATTTTTGACACTCTGCCGTGAGTTGACTTCGGCAACGTGTCTGCGCTCATCGCCATACGAATCGAGCACGGCAGTTGCAGCAGCCCCATGGTGGACGTGGGCAATCTTGAAAGCAAGATTATGGACATCCGCAAGGCCCGAGTTGAGTCCAAGGCCGCCTGTCGGTGGAAACGAATGGGCAGCATCACCTGCGAGGAACACGTTCCCTTGTCGGTATGACTTTGCTACTTTTCTGCTGAGGATCCAAGGGCGGTAACTCAGAACCGTGGGCGAGACATCTTTGCCGATTGCTCCCTTAAGCACCTGGCGACAAAGATCCTCACTCCATGACTCGACAGGATACTTGTCAGAATCGAAGTTGGAGATGAGGACGGCGTTTCCGGAGAGATCATACGCAATGATGAAGCCGGATGCCATAGGGTCGAAGAGCCAGTGAAGCATGCCTACACGATCACCTACCACCTCCCGGAGATTGGCACTGAAATGAATAGTCATCATAGTCTCATCTAAGAGCAAAATGTGTTAGCAGTGCCGATGAACGAGATCAACACAATGAGATGGAAGCTTACATGAATCCTCGCCATCGCTCTCAATACCCATAAACTCGCGTACCTTGCTTTTTGCTCCATCGCAGGCTATCACGTACTTGGATCTGACCTTGTACAGCTGACCAGTTGCACGTTCCTCAACCACGGTTGTAATTGAGTCTTTGTTCTCCTCCAAGGATACAAACGATACGCCTTTCCGGATATCGACATTATCCTTGTTTGAGAGTTCCTCAGAAAGGTACTGTTCGAAGCTTGGTTGGGGGATGTTGTGGATCATCTCTGGTGTAAAGTCGAGAACCCCCACGTCCATGCGCTCGTATGGAAGCTGTCCCAGGACCTGACCTGACAGCGTCGTGAGAAAGTTGACCCAGTATGCATCATCTCTCTGCGTGCCCAGACTCCGGATATGATCCATATCGAGACCAAATTGGCGGCATATCTCGAGTGATCTAGGCGACAAAGCATGCGCCTTGGGTGCTCCAAGCCTCTCTGGGTAACGCTCAATGACCAGAGTTTTTACCCCCAGTTGTGATAAGAGGTAGGCTTGCAGCAGGCCACTCGGTCCTCCCCCAATCACTAAGACGGGCACTTCAGCTGCTTTGTCGTGGCCATTGATGTTAACACCATTGGTTTGGCTATCAACAGGGATGAAAGTCTCATTGTCGACATGGCGGTTGAAGATCGATATTCCCATTGTAGCAGTCTGTTGTTTGTTGATGTTCGTCTATCGCGTGTGCTGAGAAAGGAATTGCGGTATGTCGACCTGCTAGGGAGATTTGAGATTACGATAAGAATATAAATCACAAATCTCCGCTTCGACGTTGAGCGGTGAACAACTGATGAATTCAACTGGGCCATCATCTTAGCTCGGTTATTCCACCATTGTGTCTTAACACAAGATGTCATGCGGTGGGGAAGAATAAAAACGGATATGGGGTTGATGGAGCTATCGCGGGGATCCCCACGGTTTCCCCACGGTTTCCCCACACAGCCCGTCCCCTGCCTCAACTTTGCCACACATGCAAATTGAGAGTGCTTCAAAGCCGTCAATCTATCGCTGCCTCCACTCACACGTAAGCATGATCCAAAAAGGGTGCAGACATGCTGAGCTGGAAATCTGGCAATTGAGGCAAGGACTCATCCGGGTTATCGCGAAGAACGAGCCTTCCAAGGTTTTTATTGGCGAGCCTTTATCAAGCACTGCGGACGTGTGTTCGGCCTTGAGGAATAGCCAGGATGTCTGGGCCTACCTTTTCACGGGTTCTTTAGTGCTATCGCCAGGAAAACAGGAGCAGAGCAAAAGATCCAGGTTGACCGAGTATTCTCTCCACTCGCGCCAGAATGAGGTCGGCACTATGAGGTGCATTGGTCCCCACGTAAAATGCTTTGTTGGCCTATCTGTAATTCCATCTTCTTGTACTCCACCTATGATATCCAGTACAAATAGCATGCCCAGGATGTAAAAATACCTTTGCCAGATGCTCTAATTGTCTTCTTGTTGGGCACTTGCCGTCTTCCACGATTAACTTTGACTAATTGCCTTATCGGAAGCCAGCCATCTGCCTCAATGATCCGTTCCCATCGCCAGTTCCACTACCAGAAATACCGCAGTCAAGTGCTTCAGCGGATTGTGAGGCAGATTTTGCTGTGGTTATTGGAGGGGCGTGTCGCAATGTGACGGAGACAGAGGCTGACAACTTTATCCTCGGATATACGGCCTGCAGCGCTGGGTCTTCCAGAGCACTTCAGTTTAGAGACAGCCAGTGGTCTTTTGCTAAAGGGTTCGATGGAGCCTGTCCGATAGGTAAGTCAAATTCAAGGTTCCCTGGATCTTATGAGCGGCGGAATCTATGTGGTTGTCTTGTTTGTAAATTTAAAGGCTCTAGGTCCAGTCAACCTTATCTCAATATCCCTCATTCTCAAGGGGCGACACGTCGAGACAACAGCCCAGAGGTTACGGGGCGGTAATAGTGGAGCAAGTCCGAAAAATGGGGCTATAGCGATTGGTGCTAAATCAGGCCCGTGATACAGGCTTATGACTACTGTGTGGAGTATTATTATTATTATTATTATTGTAGTTTAACGTCCTTTCTCAGCCCAAAGGGCTATATAAGACGTGCAGGCTTAAGGCCTGCAAGTAACTACGTAGGCTAGAATTTAATCTAGGTACAAATTGAGTAGGTACAATGTAGGGGGTTATCTAAATGAAGGTGAGGCTCGTAGCCTAGTAGTTTTTTAGTGAGTAACTCTCTCAGATCTTTCACTTTAAATGAGTCTTCCTCTCAAGTTTTAACGAGTAACTCTCTCAGTCGAATAGGTAGTTTAATGAGTAACTCTCTCATGTGGGTGGACCATAAATATGGTTGTGAGGGGAGAAGGATTCGAACCTTCGATCTTTGCTGACGTGAGACAGCAGAAAATTTTCCAGGCGCTCCACCACTGCGCCATCCCCCCTACTGTGTGGAGTAGCTCGGTGCTAAACAAGCTCGTTGGCGATGGATGCGTCTCTGCAGTCTGAGAGAGCCAAAGAGATGAGTGTCTGGATGGAGACCTAATGCGCAGTGGTACCAATTTAAACGCCGCACATGGCTGTGTAGGGATGTGTTTAAGCGCCCGGAGATCATCACCGCGGGGGGCCTCTTTGTACAGTAGACCTCTAATTTGGCACTGTGCAAGCATGAAATGACCAGAAGATGCTGCAATTGGTAGGATTCAAGGTAAAAAAAAACCGACTTCAAGACAATTACAGGGGCCATCAGCTGTAGACCCATCATATATCCAGACCATGCCTACAGAACATGTCGTGCCCCACTTCCAATTCAAGGCCAACATTCATTTCTAAAGAATGCAAATATAAATCCCAAACGCCCGGATATGATGACACTCAATTTGAAATAGTAATAATATCAGATGCAATAAATCTGAATCTGAGCCTCGCAGCCGCCCATTCACTTCAAGATGCTCGCACCCCTTCGATCCTTCTTAAGCGGCGAGAACGTGAATGCCTCCTCGCTCATCATGTTGAAGCCGCCTGAAATAGGCCGTTGCTGACCCTGCTTGCCCAACACACTCTTACCCAGTGCCCGCGCCGCAAACAAGCCTTTGCTGATGCCAACAGGCTTCAAAGGCGCAGCATCCTCGCCATCCTCGGCGTCAAACAGTGTCTTGCCAGCACTGGCCCCGAGCTTGCGCTTCTTTTTCTTTTCCGCAGCCGGCTCCTCGGCGAAGGTAGCAAACGACATGAGAGACTTGCGAGGCTTGATCTTGGGGGCGCCTTTGCTCTTCTTCGAAGTACCGTCGTCGGCATCTTTGAGCGGAATCGACACTGGGGCGTTTTCAAAGTCTCGCGAAGTATTGTGCGAGATCTCAGAAGCCTCCTCAGTAACCATGTCTAGAGCAGGCGCAGGGTTCTTCTTGCGAGGCTTTGCGTTGGCCTTGCTTGACGCTGACGGGGCCAGCGCTTTGACCTTGGGCCGAGCAGCCTTTGCAGAGGCCTTCTTCGGCGGTGCTGTAGGGGTAGCTTGTTCCTGAACAGCCTCTTCTCCAGCCTCATCTCCTTCCTCTTCCTCAACAATGGGGCTGGCGTGTGTTGTATTGCCGGCCCGGTTGAGGAATGGTGTTAGAGAAAAGGTCGACGTATCACCAACTGCCGAGACTGAAGTGCCGCGCTTGGTCTTCTTTGCAGGGAAGCCGTCTCCTGGCGTACCCAGCATCGTCTCGGGCTCCGCGGTAGCAGCAACCCGTTTCCGGGCATTCTTTGTGGCAGGTTTGGCAGCAGCTGTCGAAGCAACCTTGGCGGGCGGTGCTGTTTGCGCCCTATCCGCTCTTTCGAGCTCGGCCTCCTTCTCCTTGAGTTTCTCCTTGGTTGACCGAAGCTTTTCCCGGAAAGCACTCAGCTTGTCATCGAGAATAGTGTTTCGACCCTGCAGCTCAGCCAGTGTCTTGGTGAACTCCTTCTCTTGCTTTTTACGCTCGCGCTTCTCCTCTTCCAGTTCTTTCCTAACAGCTTCAACCTGAGTGTCCATCGATTGAGAACTCTTCTTGGATGTCTTCTCGGCCTTTTGACGCTCGCGCTTCTCTTGCTCCAGTTCTTCACGCAACTCTTCAATCTCGGCATCCCGCTGACCGGCATTCTTACTAGCCCTTTCCGCTCGCAAACGCGCAGTCTTCTCTTGTTCTAGCTCCTGACGAAGTTCTTCAACCGCAGCATCATGCTCCTCATCGCGCTTGCTGGCTTTGCTGGCTTCCTTCTTTGACAGTTTCTCCACCTTGGCCTGCAGCCGCTCCGTTGTTTGCTGTTGTGACTCCAGATCAGCCTGCACCTTCTCCATTGCCTTCTCCGCCTTTGTAAGCCCAGCCTCTGCCTTCATCCGCTCCTTTTTCTCTGTCGCGAGCTCATTGCGCACTTCTTCCAACTCACTGCGGAGATCCTCGTCCTGCTCCATCTTCTTCCCTTGCTTGGCCAGCGCACGTGCGGCGTTGCGTTTCTCGTTCTCGAGCTCGGCTTGGAGTGTAGTCAGTTGGCGTTGCAGAGCCAGCTTTTCGGTGAGAAGTCCTGCGTTTGATTCAACCTGGGCGCGCAGATGCTCGACTTCAGGGCGCAATGATGAGATCTCGCGAGACAGGGCGAGTTTCTCCGAAAGGATCTTGTCGGAGTCGGAAGTCACGTTTTCCATGGCCTTGAGTTCAGCCTAGCAAAAAGTTAGCGACGCTTTGGCCGATGCGCTTGACGTGCTCACCTTGAGATTGGCGACCTCCCGCGCCTGTGTGCGGATTGTGTTTTGCGCAGCCTCATTCTCAGCGCGCTGCTCGTCCAACTGCGCTAGAGCGTCGTCAAGCGCCGTCTCCAGCTCATCAGCACGGCCCTGCTCTTCTTCGAGTTGCTCGTGGAGATCGGTGTTTTCGTCCTGCAGCAGGCACTGTGCCACTCGCAGCTTTCGGATCTCCTCGTCCTTGGCCACCAGCTCGACCGAATGCTTACTCCTCTCAAGACTGAGTTCCAGGTTTGCGTTTCGCAGCGCATGTTGAAGCTGAACGGGTTAGCCGGGGGGTTCCCCCAAACGCAAGGCACCCACCCGGACAGGACGAGGCCGTCTTGCACTTACATCTTTCATCTCATAACTGGTATCGATATCTGTATCTGTGGGTGCGGCCATGATGAAATATCTGCTTGGTGATGCGAAGGGGTATGCGGGAGGGGTTGCGTCGATGGCGGTGGGGTTGTGTGTTGACGCGACGTGAGTAAACAAACAGAGGGACGGGACGACAAAGTGTGGCTGAGGTACACACAGCAAGCGTGGCGGGCCGCAACAACAGTCAAAGAATACGAAGAAATTCAACTGCACACGCAGCCATAGGCTCAGGGCAGCGTGCAACAGTCTTCCACCCGGGTCCCGTCTCCAAATCGGTCGAGTGTGGTTTGCAGTTTGGCAGTCGGATGTTTGGTCTCCATGTCACCATGTCGCGGAGGACACCCCTGTTGCGGGCCCTAGCGGCATTACGCACGCCCGCAACCTCCGAAGAGCTGTCGAGGCCACGTTCCCAAGCATTACGTCCGCCCATCTCTCCCCCCCCCCCCCAATTCCAATCCGCCCCCCACGCCCACGCCGACCTTTTGCCGCCCGCCAAACGACACAATGCGGTGGTTCAAGATCCTCGCTGCCTCGCTGCTGCCTTTTACAGCTCTGGCAGCCAAGAAAGCCTCGGGCGACCGCTTCGATGACGCTCGCGCAAAGGCGCTTTCCACGGGCCGCACGCTCAAGCTCAACGATGCCAGCTACACACAGCTCACAAAGGCCCCGCGCGACTACGCCGTCACCGTCCTGCTCACGGCACTGGAAGCCCGCTTTGGATGTGCGCTCTGCCGCGACTTCCAGCCCGAGTGGGATCTGCTGGGCAACAGCTGGGTGAAGGGCGACCACAACGGACAGTCGAGACTGGTATTCGGTACATTGGACTTTACCGACGGACGAAACGTATTCCAATCGGTACGAAATACTGCCAATGCCCACACACATAGACAATTGTGATTTTCGTAACGGACGCTGACGCGGCATGTGTAGTTGATGCTTCAAACCGCTCCTGTGCTGCTCTACTTCCACCCTACCGCTGGCCCCAACGCAAAGCCCGACGCTCAACCCGTCCGCTTCGACTTCACCGGCGGCCCACAGACTGCCGAACAAATCCATGCCTGGGTCGCGCGCCAGGTCCCCGATGGCCTTCCCAAGCCATCCGTGTCCCGCCCCATCAACTGGATCAAGGTGATTTCGGTCACCACTGCTGTGCTGGGATCCTTCACGGCTCTCTTTGTAGCCTGGCCATACATGATTCCGTTCCTTCAGAACCGCAACCTGTGGGCGGCGCTCAGTCTGATTGCCGTGCTGCTCTTCACCAGCGGCCACATGTTCAATCACATCAGGAAGACGCCGTACGTGGCTGGAGGCCAGAACGGTGCCATCACGTACTTTGCGGGTGGATTCAGCAACCAGTACGGTCTCGAGTCGCAGATTGTCGCAGCCATGTACGGTGTGCTCGCTTTTGCAGCCATTTCGCTGGCGGTCAAGGTGCCCAGGATCCAGGATGCGCGCGCCCAGTCGTTTGCCGTGTTGCTCTGGTCAGGTGTCATCTTTGGCATGTACAGCTTCCTCATGAGCTGCTTCCGCGTGAAGAACGGCTCGTATCCCTTCTGGCTGCCCCCCTTTTAGAGTACTCGCGTTTTGGCAAGGGGAGAAAGGATGCACTCACATACTCACGCAGTCTTTTCAGGGATCCAAAAAAAATGTGGGCTGTACTTTTGTTTGCACCATTCGCGAATACAACGTTATTTGTTCTTTGAAATGTTTGATGAAGCACGGTAGAGCTCGCGGCTCGAGCATGGCGTGCGCTGTATCATAGTCTTGGTGGCCGCTGGGGTAGACGGAGAATACAAAGAAAAAAGCCATGAGCCGTATTCTGCAAGTAGCTGTTTCTACAAGGGCATTTGTTTAGTGCTTGCGTTACTCAGCCAAGTGTGTGCAAAGAGAGCCAAGTTGCATTGAGAAGAATACATATGCTATGGAATGAACATCGTGTACACGCGGAATTAGTAAAACATATCCCCGATTAAAATCAAATACCTGAATACCCGCTTGATATCGAACCAATTTTGACCCATTTCCTTCATCATGAACCCATTCCCTAGACATTACTCGTGTTAAAATGGAATGCTTTTTTTTTACCTGATCAGACTGGACAACTAGGCCCCATCGTAACAAGTATTCAACCAAGAGCCATGGCATGGAGATCGAAGACGTCGTTCCTCCAGCCACCTTCATCCCAGTCGTCAATGCGTTCAGTTGCACGACGACCCTCTTCCTCCCATAGCTTGACCACGCTGCCTGGGGCATATTTGCCGGCAAAGACACCCTTTCCGGGTGCGGCGACGCCGACCCTCGTGTAAAGGTCTGGGTCGTCGGCAGGCGTAAGACGGGTGATGACAGCCTTGATGAATGTCTTGAGGTCCTCTGGATCCGAGATTCTCGTTGCTCGAAGCCTCTCGCGCGCAAAGACGAGCTCGCGGTTGGCGGCATGAATACCATCGGCGATACCTTGGGCCATCTGCTTTTCCATGACCTTGCGAACAATAGGGCGCAACAGAGGCTTGAACAGCCAGCCAAAGAGACTGAACTTTGACTTGCGCAGCGTATAGGACAGCTTGTGGATGTGGACACGGACAGCCTTAAGGGTAAGGAACTGTTCCAGCTTCTCCTTGCCCACTTCCACGTCCAAATGAACATCGATGCCACGCTCGTCGAGTTGGAACGAAGCAATGCCCTCATCAGCGAGGCGGAGAAGACCAGAGTGTGCGCGGAGAAGGAACCCAACCTCATCTGCACGGAAGGAAAGGCCATCAATCTTGATGGTAAACTTGGAGGTGGCCTTGGATGCGACGCGGAAGCGGGCCTTGCGGAGTTCAAAGTCATTGTACGTTTCTACCCGGAAACGGAACGGGAGGAACGAAGTATGGTTCACCGTCTTACCAGGCTCGATGATGAGGTTCTCGAGGAGCATGTCGATTTCAGGCGTAGATATCTCCAGTCGAGGAATGGGGACATACTGGACGGCCTGTATCGCAAGAGGAACGAAGACATTGATCGCATCCTGAACGAGCTCGCTGTTGGTGTTGGTGTGGAGCGGTGACAGGATGTTCCAGATTTTCGTTGTCGTGGTGATCATCTTCGCAATGTCCTGGTCCTGGGTGACAGCCATGAACGTCCTTTGGGCCTGTACAAAAAACGCGTCGACATCTTCACGGAGGGATGATTCTGTTCCAACACCCCTGGCCTTTTGTCGCAGGTCTTGGAACTTTTCGTCGACATGGTCGAAAAAGTCGGGATCGGTGAGAAGCCTTTGCAGCGAGTTTCCAATGTCGACCAGCAAGTCCTCGAATTCAGGATCTTTGCGTGAGTGATCCAAAACCTTGTGGAATGTGGATTCGAGCTTGTTCCATTCCTCTTTGTCGCCAAAGGAGCTCAGAAAAGTCCAAAAGTTCTTGACTGCCTTTTCCATCTCACGATTGGGCTCGACATCAGTTTGCAGGGTGCCCATGGCATCTTCGACGGTTCGAGAGTATGCCATGGCGTAGCGCTTCAATAGCATTGCCAAGACTGAAACCGAATCGTTGTAGTCCCTCTTGTGCCTCAGGTTTGTGACCGTCTTCTTCAAGCGGAACAACAGCGAGTTGCCCTCATCGCCGTGGAGCCTCTGAGTCAAGCTTACGTCGGCTGTCTTAGCGACCTCGGCTGCTCCATTGCCAACTACCTTTGCAATTTCCGCCGCCTCGCCGTTGAGTTCTTCAGCTGAGTGTGCGTGAGCCTCATCGGCGCCCGGCTCCTTGAGTGCCTTTTGCTCTGCCTGGGATGGCTCGATGGTCTTGCCAGCCTTCTCTGCCACGTTTGACAGGGTGAAAGCAGTGTCCCTGAATACTTCGCGGCCAACGGTGTTTAGATCAGAGAGAAAGATGCGGAAGTCGGAGTTGGTCAAGAGCAAGGAGCTAACGGTCTGCAGGCTGTGGTATGCTTCTGATGTCTTAGTATTGGTTGCGGGGTAGGAGAATGAGTACTGACCTGCGGTAGCATCTGCCTTGGCTTTGGACCTGGTTGTCTTGCGTGCAATATCACCAACATCCACAGATACCCTAGACTTGGAAAGGTACCAGAGGAAGTCCTGGATCTGATCTTTGCTGTTCTTGTGGTTCAGGGTATCAATGAACTGGTGCAGCCATTGCTTTGTGAACTTGACGAGGAGTCGACCGGAGTCGCTCAGGTCGGGGTTTTCCGGATTGAGAACGTCTGCAGATAGCAAGCTTCGCAGGTTGATGACGACTTGCTCGTTGGATGGCATGAAACCCATGGACAGCGCTCTCATCATCTGATACGAGTGCAGTTTCTGATGCACCTCTCGCTGCAATACAGTATCATCGCGATACTGGGACTGGTGTCAGCACGTGTAACTCGGGCGGATAAGACGTGTATGCACGTACCTGGGGTAGCAACGGGCGCTGATCATCATCGGTCTTGCGCAGGCCGAAGCACGATGAAAGTGCCATGGCGATGGGTGTGATGGGGACTTGGCTAGGAGAGAGAGAGGATGGAGATGGGCCGATTGCAAGCAAGACTGTTTTGAAGCTCAATGGCAGCTATCTGGGTTGCAGGTTGCAGTACCACGCGTAGGTCAGGATGACGAGGATCTAGCGCGCGCAACGACGTCATGCCGTTTGTCGATCCGCGGCTCCACATGTGCCAAGGCTGCCGCGCCCATGCCTGGTTTTGCGGAGTGTATACGCCGTGTCTCATAAGAGAGCACTTTGGCCACACGCTCAGTAGGGGAAATAGGCACCTGCTCTATGGAAGGGCATATTGGAGTGGGTGCTGACTGTGCTAGAGGACACTCGCTTGGATCAGGTATGCGTGCAGACGGAATGCAACTTGGCTTTTGCAGCGACTGGTTGTCGGAACGAGATGCAGAACAAGGCCATATCTATGACCAGTACAAGGGGAATAGATCGAGGCTAGGCGTGGTGGAGAATTGCATTGGCATGTGCATGTGCATGGCATGTGCATGGGGGGTTGATTCCAGCCACCACCGCCACACCACCGGCACAGCCACAGGCAAGTTTCCCCGCATGGTGTCGCGTGCTACTAGCTGCTAGTGCTAGCACTGGCACAATGCAGGCAGGCAGGCAATGTGGATGATTCCACCTCGCCAGGTGGGCTCGCTAGGGCGGTTCCCGTTGAAAAGTTCTAGATGGCCAAGCGCACGGTGCATATGCAGAGGCGAAGAATACCCAAGTTGGGCAGAGGCAGAGTTTTTCAGGCATGGGTGCAGGTGTCAGACCGCCTCGGTGAGGGTGGTGGTCCTGATCGGGGAAGCGGTACAGGTGAGGCATGCCTAGCGAATTGTTGTGGCCATGCATGTGTGGGCAGAGGCATCATGCAAGCCCTGAAAATCTAGATGGGATTGGGACTGGATCGGGTGCCAAGAGTGTCAAGAGACGGTGAGACTTGACAGTTGCATGACAGTTACAGCTCTGGTGCAAGGCCAGGACATTGGGGGCATCAGCCAGCAGGGCAGGGCAGGGCAGGGCAGGGCAGGGCAGGGCGGCTCCGTATCCTCCCGTGGCGCGGTGCAGAGTGGAGTCGCGTGCCTTGGGCGGCTACCTTACCCAAGCCAGCCCAGCCGTCAAGCTTTCCCCACAACTGCGGGCGATCCACCACGGGTGCAGGTGCAGGCACGGGTGCAGGCAGCTAGAGAGCGTTTGCACGAGACAGCAGCGCCTTTGCGCCGTTCATGCAAGAGAGATGAAAGGCCATGGCAATTGAGACGCAGACGGTGTGGACGGTGTGGACGGCACGGCAGCGTGCGAGTCTTGGGCGAATGGCCTCTTGCTGTTGGCTTGCGCTGTTTTGGTCACAGGGTTGGCGTGGTGAATGGCCCAGGGGGGGGGTGCAATGCCGAGTGGGTGCGTGTGTAAGAAGAAAAAGTCGCGGCCTCCAGCTCGTCTGGGTGGTGGTGGAAAGAGGCACACCCACACGCACGCCCACACCGCTCGGACTAACTAAACAAGCCGTCGGATCGGGGTGTTAGCTCATGGAGCCGAATGCGGACCCGCGAGGGCGAGGGCGAGGGCGAGAGCACTTTGGTGTAGGTGCGGTGTGTAGGGAATTGGCTAAAGTCCGGAAGGATGTGGCACCATTGGCGCGAGGGAATGGACCTAGGCGTTGCTTCTCCAGGGTTCTCGGTGGCAAGAGGCGTGAGACAGGATGCGTAAGACGACGGCAATTAATAATAGTAGCCACCGTGTACGTACACGTACGCATGGACGCTGGCTTGAAAATGCCTCGATGCCTGACGCCGCCTCGAGACGAGCGTGGGAGCGAGGGAGTAGTGCCTTGACAGTCGGTCGGCGGGGAGGAGAGATGGGGCGTATTCGGCGACGGGGGCAGCAGCAGCAGGAGCAGCAGCAGCAGCAGCAGGAGCAGCAGCAGGAGCAGCAGCAGCAGCAGCGTGTGGTTTGGACAAGTCGACGGGGCCGGGCAAAAGCAGACGTGGGCGATGGATGGCAGGGCGGCGGCAGGGCAATGGCAGGGCAGGCCAAGGCAGGCCATGCGAGCGCTGCATGGCGGATGGGGCGTGCGTCGGGGGCTTTGGCGGCGCCCGTTCCGAATGCTCCCGATGATATGCATGGCCCAGTCTCGTTGCCTGCCGCTGGCTCGGACAACCATACCAACATGACGGTTTCACCTCGATGCTGGGAAAGCCGCTGCCCGACACCTCAACAGCCACAGCCACGCCCCGCAGCCCCCGAGGAGACCCGACACCCTCTGCTGCTGCTGCTGCTGCAATGTCGCGAGGCAGCGCCCGACGGCGTGCTGCTGCTGCATCCCCCGCTGGCCAACACGCTGGCGGGCGGGCGGGCTGGCGGGCTTGCGGGCGGGCTGGTCTATGCTCGCTCGTCTACAGGCCTTCTTTCACGGCGAGAACGGATCTCCTCACACAGTCACAATTGCGGACCCCAGACCCTTCCCGATAGGCTGCTCGCTATGTAGCCCCAATCCTCCGCGCGCCCCCCCAGGCGGCCTATTTCCCTGCCCTTCTTTTTGCCAATTGCCGACGCCTAGTTTCACCTCTTTTCATTTCAATGCACCGATTCAGGCCACTTATAAAAGTCACGGCTCCCGCCCTAGCCCGCCGCTCCTCAGTCCATATCACCCTTTCTGTCCGTTGTATGGCCACAGTTGCTGTCGACAACATGCCCTCCGCCACTCGCCCCAACATGCCTCGCCAATTGAGCACCACTTCTGGTGACTACGACCTGTCCTACACGCCCGACGTCCGCAAATCTCTCGGCACATATGGCCTCACCCCTCCCGCCGTCGAGAGCTTCGATGTCCAGACCGAGCGATGTAAGCCCAAGCCCTGTGGTCGCTACCATACCCCAATTGCTGACTTTGCCCCCCCCCCCCCCCCAGGCCTCCGCCTCCTGGCCATGAAGTCGACGCCCATTGAGAAATTCCAGTACCTCGTCCACCTCCGCGCCACAAACGTCCACCTCTTCTACAGACTGCTTGGCGAGAACATCAAGGTACGTGCCCGCGCCCACAATCTGCCCACACCCAAAACTAACGTGAGCACAGGAATTGACTCCTCTCATCTACACCCCGACCGTCGGCGAGGCTTGCGTACGATGGCACGAGATTTGGACCCAGCCCGAGGGCATGTACCTCTCATGGAGCGACCGAGGCAACCTCCGCAGAATCCTCGACAACTGGCCACACGAGGTCGACATTACTGTCCTCACAGATGGTTCTCGTATTCTGGGTCTTGGTGACCTGGGCGTCAACGGCATGGGTATTCCCGTCGGCAAGCTGGCTCTCTACACTGCTTGCGCTGGTATCCGCCCCGACGGCACCCTGCCCCTTACCCTCGACTTGGGAACCAACAACAAGACTCTTCGTGAGGACCCGCTCTACATGGGCTCCAGGATGCCCAAGGTCACTGCTGAGCAGGAGAAGGAGTTCCTCGACGAGCTCATGGCCGCTCTTACCGACAAATGGCCCAGGTACGTCTAATCATCCCGCTTTTTTCTGCCACTTGCAAAACGACTAACAATTTCCCAGCATCGTCATCCAGTTTGAGGATTTCAAGAACCCCTTCCCCGCTCTGGAGCGCTACCAGAACCAGTACGCCATGTTCAACGACGATGTCCAGGGCACTGGTGCCGTCATTGTCGGCGGTTTCATCAACGCCGTCAAGGCGTCTGGTGTCCCAGCCAGGGAGCACAAGGCCATCTTCCTCGGCGCTGGAAGTGCTGGTGTCGGTGTTGCCAAGCAGATTGTCGAGTACTTCATCAAGGAGGGTCTGACAGAAGACGAGGCCCGCCGCAAGTTCTGGTTCGTTGACTCCAACGGACTCGTCACCCTCGACCGTGGCGACAAGCTGGCTGAGCACAAGGTCTACTTTGCCCGTGACGACAACGGTGGCCGCCAGTACCAGTCGCTCAGCCGCCTCATCGACTACGTCAAGCCCACGATTCTCATGGGTCTGTCCACCATTGGCGGTGCCTTTAACAAGGACATTCTCGAGAAGATGGCTAGTCTGAACAACCGGCCCATCATCTTCCCTCTCTCCAACCCCTCCAGCAAGTCTGAGTGCACATTCGAGGAGGCTGTCCTCGCAACCGAGGGCCGCTGTCTCTTCGCGTCTGGCTCTCCTTTCCCCTCGATGGAGTATGGCGGCAAGACGCTCACCCCCGGTCAAGGAAACAACATGTATGTGTTCCCAGGTATCGGACTGGGTGCCATCATCTCCAAGTCTGTGTCGGTCACCCAAGACATGATCTATGCTTCTGCCGAGTCGCTCGCCACCTCGTTGAACAAGCAAGAGGTTGCCGATGGCTGGTTATACCCCGACGTCCGCCGTATCCGTGAGGTCTCGGTCGTCGTGACGCGTGGTGTCATTCGCGCTGCCCAGAAGAACGGCGTTGACCGTGCTACCGAGCTGCGAGGCCTGACGGATGAGCAGCTTGATGACTTCATCAAGCAGAACATGTACGACCCGTACACGGAGCACCAGTACTTTGACCGTAAGCTGTCTCAACTTGTCTCCAGCGATAAACTTAACGGAACTAGCGTCGGTGTAACAGAAGTCACAAACGGTATTGCTCACCTATAACCTGTTTGTTTCTCGCACACATTTCCGGCGCCACGGTTTCTTCGCTGAACATGAACTTTTTCCTTTTTCTTCTTCTCGCCGTTCAGGTCACCATGGTATTTTAGATTGGGACGTTGGTTTGAGGGAAGCCATAAAAAACACTTTGGATTTTCTCTGGGAAAAAAAGGGGGGGCTGGATGGTTTTCGATACCCTAGTATTCACGGTTTTTCTCCCCAACAACTCGTGTAGTACATGCAGACCAGCTGTCCTCACTCTTCTGAGAACATTTTTTGTAATCAATGATAGAGAAACGTATACCTTGATGCAGTCTCGCAGTGCTTGTGAAGATAATGCTCTACTACATGTCATGAATGCTGGCGATTGCAACAGTTGCTAATTGGCTCAACTCGCCATCTGCAGCCACGGTGAGACAGCCCGTCGATGATATCAACAACCGTCGATAAACTTTAACCCCGCTCACATGAAAAAAAAGAAACACGGTTCTCCTCCAGTCCAACATGTGAATGTCGCAACCAGCCACATCTAGAATCTCACTCTAATCCCATCTCTCCCCGCCAGCTCCAGCCAGCTCCAGCCATTGCCATCGTTGCTATTCCATGTAAACTCCGACACCCCCTCTCTCCAACTAAACCACTGATTGTATCTGCGGGGACACGCAATGAATCCATCCTATCCCATCCATCCATCCGTCCATCCACCCATCCATCTTCTTGTCTGCTCGGATCCGCACTTCACTTAGTGCACATACTATACTTGGCAGTTCCACATCCCATAGTCTCCGCCCCTACGTAGCCTGTATTCAACGCCCGGTTGCATCCGAGAGAAAAGAGAGAGAGAGAGAGAGAAAAATAGAGAGCCGGGTGGAAGGATAAACGCAGTGCCTGGAATATCCATTCCTAACCGGTCCTCTCCAGCTGTGTATGGTGCTTGCTTACACTACTACTTACCCCTTTTTTTTCTTTTCTTTTTTTGGAATGTCACTGAGGTTTCTGGTCGCTGTGCTTATTTGGCATGATGGAAGCTGAGCTAGACTGAAGTGGGGGGGAGGGGGGGGGCTTGAGGGTGGGATGGGATGCACGGGATGCACGGGATATGATAATGATGATGGTAGTGGGGGGGTTATCGTTCACGGCCCTGCTAGTATCAACACACTCTTAGTGATAAACATGTGTATAGCGCGTGTAAGTGTATATTTATCTCGGAGTTTTTTTTTTACATTTATTTTTTCTTTACCGTTGGACGGCTGAACGGAAGGATGTCTGCATCGTCCTGCAGTGTCTACGTAGTCTAAGAAATTCCACAAAGCCATCAGCATGTAAAGTAAGTACGTCCGGGTAAGTTACGCTTACTTACGCATACTAAGTACTTGGGGTTTCTTCAATTGCGTTGCTGGGACTTGGCGATGCGTGTCTATTGCAAAATCCTTTGAATTCTAAAAAAAAGGACTGCATCGCCATCGTAACCTCATTCCATGCAGAGCTACCTCCAAATATTAAATCCCCCCCCCCCCATCTTAACAACATGGAAATTTAGACATCAAGTTACTCCTGCGCGCGGCATGGGAATAGAGAGATACCGACTTAGGTCCCAAGTCCATGCGCCTGCAAAGTAAGAAACCACCAGCAGACAACGACGCAGCCACTAACGGGAAGGCCCGCAATCGCGGATCCAACCATCGGAGAAGAGCGGCTGGGGGGGGGGGGGAGAAAACGAATGGTATGTAATGCACATGTGTGTATGCGGTATAGCTGGGGCGCTCCTAATTCGTCGAATCACGGGCTTTAGCTTTGCCTGTGCATCCACATCCCTATTTGGGGCTTGCCGCTTTTGGACAGGACAGATTATGCGTGGTATGATTTCTTTCTCTGCTTTTTCTTGTCTATGCATGTACCTATTTTTTTTGTACGAATTTGTATGCATCGCCTGTATTAGGGGGGCAATGATACATAGGCTGCGTGCTGATGTATGGGCAGAGTCGGAGGAATAGGTGGTGCGATGACTACTCACCACTATAAGCAGTGGCATAGTTTGAAAAGCGTCTTCGTGCTTCTCTAGCATGTCTTTGTGCATTTTGTCATGTTGATTGATGCAGAATTCTACAAATACTTGCTTTCATGTGCTGTGCAGAAGCTGGCACTGGTTGCTGTTGTGAGATGAATCATTGTCAACTATAGAGAGCAGTGAAGCTCATGAACACTGGGCCTATTTACCGAGTATACCCTACACAGGAAATACTAATTTACAATCTAATGAATAGTACCGTTATCTAGGGAAATGAGACTACCTCGTGCAGTAAACCCGTCAACCTGGAGAATGAAAGTATACCTGTTCTCGCATTCTTCAATCACCTCGTCACAGGCATTCACTACTAATTTTATAAGTAAACAAGGCTCACTTTTACTATATAGCATTCTGATAGCTGAAACAAGCACGCACAGTGGTCTCACCAGCCGCCTCAGCACTTCCCTAATCATCTTGTGCCCTCCTTCACTGCTCACATCAAGTTCTACACGTCTCACCTTCATTCACAGACCAACGTCTCCACCTGAACTTGAACTTAAATCCTTCAACCCCGCCATTTCTACAACCATTCTACCAAACTGTTCATCAAAGCAACTACATACTCCGACCTCTCCAGCAAGTATCCAGCATGGCGGACGACTCCAAGAGCTCCAAGGCTGGATGGTCCGATCAGAGCTGGTATACCCAAGTCGCGCCCCCAACACCCAGCACCACTAACTACGAACAGCTCTCCAGTCTCCTATACCTCATCACCAAGCAAGACGTCACCTTGAAATGGGACGTAGGTATCCCCCACGGCACCCAGAAAACACACACACACATACAGGTAACTCCAAACTAACGCAGCACAGGAGGGCTGCTATCCAGCAGACCGCAACGCAAATGGGTTCCGTCAAAAGATCAACGCACTCAAGCGGACCTTCAAGTCCGACTGGGACGCCATGTCGTCTGGCGCACCGGTTCCCTCGAGCACGCCCAAGAAAGCGGCGTCTGCGACTCCGCGAAAGCGCAAGAACAAGTCGGACGAGGACCTCAGCGGCGCGGAGCCCAAGCCCAAGAAGGCGCGTGGAAAGTCCAAGCCCAAGAACGCTACGCCTGAGATGGTGGATGAAGACGACGAGGACGAGTCCAGCGTCAAGGAGGAGATCAAGGAGGAGCAGCTGGATACTTTTGATAGCTATGTCTAGTGGGTTTACGACTCTGCTCGTGCTGTGAAGGAATGAGCTGGTTATGCATAGTGTGCCTTTAGTTCTGAGCGTGGGAATACGGGGGGGGGGGGTTCATGGTACAAGGGGTTTTGCTTGGGGTAATCTCACTTTTCCGAGTTGGCTGTCTGTCGCATCTTGACTGCAGCACAGTGGGTATGCATTTGTGTCTTACACTGCGGCAATGGGGAGTTGATGCGTATGAACTTGATTAGCATAATAAACCGATAGTATGGAGTAAAATGCGGAAGCTCTCACTTGCGGATTTCATCTGACGCGTTGGTTGTTGTGATTTCACCTTCACTATGTATGTGATTTCGCGGTCTCCGGTTTCACTTCACTTTCTCCGTTGCGCACATAAAAACAACCCATCCCCCAGCCTTTTCGCTCTCTCCCCCTCCCACTCCTTTCATTCTCGCACACCATCCAACTCCAACATCTACCTTCTCCAAAGCCACTCCACCAACACCACCAACACACCACCACACGTGCACACCCACCCACCATGTCCGACAACGAAGGCGCCAAAGCCGGCAAAGGCTGGACCGACCGCCAACGCGTATGCACAAACACCCTCCTCCTCCCCACAAGCCCCAACTAACAAGTCTCTCCAAACCCAACAGCTCGCCTACTACTTCAACCTCGTCGAATTCTCAAACGCCAAACTCGACTTCACCGTTCGTCTCCCCCCATCTTTCCCCCGCAGGAAGAAAAATATATATACCCCCCCGCTCTACAGTTCTTACACTAACATATCCCCCCTTCCTTCTTCCTATGTGCAGAATGCCCCGCGTCCAGAAGGCAAGTCCGTCGGTGCATGCCGGATCATGGTGGACCGACTCAAAGGCACGTTGAAGAGCGAGTTGGCAGCTCTCCGAGGAGGCAATGGAAGTAGTGAGGATGGCGGTAGTGCTACTACTACGACGACGACGACGACCAAAAACAAGCCCGCTACGCCCAAGAAAGCAGTTACACCGCGGAAGCGCAAGAACAAAAACGTTGATGACGACGAGGTGCGTGCTACGCCGAGGAAGCGCAGTCGCAAGAACAAGGGCGACGACAAGGGCAAGGACAAGGACAAGGACAAGGACGACGACGGCGAGGCTGTGCATGCGCGTGGCGCCGAGACCGAGATGGATGCAAAGGCCGAGGACGTGACGTCTCTGGATGACGACGAGGGTGTGGCTGTCAAGTCTGAGGCCAAGGAGGAGGACAAGGTTGAGAGCGACGTCTAGACTGTGCTTGTTTGCAGGGGAGTGCCGTTATTTTGCGTTTGCGGAAGACGTTTCCCCCCCATTTAGGTTCCATGTTACCTTCCTTTCGGGGAACTTGAAACTTGGAGCCTCAAGATGACGACGGGCGAGGCTGATGAGGCGTATGGGGATGCATCACACAGCATCATGTGAAGAATTGAAAATGGAACATGAGTAATTTCAAGTAATCCTTGCATACATTGAGATGTGGAAGAAAAAAAAACATAAAAAAATAAAAGAGATTTCAAGTGTGGGTATCAAACTAATTCTCCTGAAACTGGGAATTCCTTGGTTTCAATCATGCACTTTCGTATCCAAAGCCTCTCTACTTCTCTTTCGTGAGGACGGCTCATTTCATCAGTTCATAAACGCCTGTTGATCCGTTGTATATGCAAAAAAGGACAAGTCAAATTCAGATTTTACCGCGTGTAGTCGGGTTTTGTCGCTTTGTTCACAATCGGAGGTGGTCCATCCGTATCCGGGTAGGGCAGGGGTGCACCTGGGGGTGGTCTCGAAAACGACAAGCCGGCAGGTGGCAATATGGGGGAAACAACCGAGATGGACGGTGGTGGTCTTGATCCGTCTTGCAAAGGTGTCTTGGGGGGCCTAGGCGGCGCATTTGATAGCCCATCGTCCCAGCTGTTTGCAGAGCTCACCATGGATACAGGACGCCCTGTTGTGAATTGGTCGGCTGAACGGCGACCAGGTGAGACAAGTTCACCGGAATGTCGAGGTAGTAGGTCATAGTCGGGGTCTGGAGAGGGCGGGTGCTCCCCAGAGCTGACAACCAGGAACTTGTCATTATCTGAGGGTTGACGTTGTGTCGGTGGAGGCCGGAAGGCAGGATGTATGTTTGTATAATAGTCTGGTGAGAGCTCTTCCGCTGGGAGTTCGACGGCCATGGGCGCCGGGTCTGGGACCTGGGGAAGGGGCTTGTTTGGTGCTTGTGCGCATGGTGAGTATGGCGACTCTCCTTTGGCGGCGCGCTCCCATCGTATCTTGGCAAAGTGTATCCGTGCAATCTTGGCGGCCGCGTCCATTGTCATACCCTGCACGCTCTGCTCGGCCAAGTACATGCGCGTGTTTGTGCTGATCTCGGCCAGGGCATTCCACTCATTCATTCCAAATTCGCCTACACCGACGTTTACGTTCAGGCGGTAGTAGTTCTCCGGGTTGACATGTCTTTTTGCGAGGTGGTCCTTCATTTCCTTGTGCGTCTTTTCGCATCCTTCAATCTTTGATATCAGCCTTCGTCTGGCCTCTGCAAAGTCTCCGATGCCGCCTGAAACGAAACCTTCCCACCACAAGTGTTGTTGGGCATTTGTGCCTTCGGGCCGCTTGCCAGTGCCGATGCTTACAAAGACACCAACTTCACGCCCAGGCCATTCGTTGACAACAGCTTCGTCCAGAGCCATAGGAGCGGGGTTGTATTTGCCGGAGCCTTCGTCAAGGAAGACGGACTGGCCGATCTGGATAGGCTTGAAAGCCAGCGCAGTCGCAGAGGTGGCTCGACCGGCTTGCCAGATTGTGGCATTAGGTTCTATAGGTGGTTCTTTGCGGGAATCGTAGGAGCGGAGGAGGATCTGGCCGCTGCTCGACTTTTTGGTACCTTTGTAAACGGCTGTGACGGCGCTACAGCATGTTAGTCAACTGACCATTCTTTCGGGGATTAATAAAACTCACGTCTTGGTACGCTCCTCGCGGTTGTCGTAGAGCAAAGCATGTGGATTCCCCCACTTCATGGCAGCTATCCGCATGTTCACAGGCGACATGCCAATCTGACTGTAGTTGCTGGCGTTACTAGCACTCCTCTGCATACGGCCCGAGATGGCGCTTCCAGGAGTCATGGGTGGGGTGTCGCGCCCCTCGTGAGTGTCGTTGCCTTCGTCGTCGTAGATGGTGTGTTCGCGCACGCATTGCATAATGGCCTCCTCCAACTTGGAGGCCTTGAACAGGGTTGAGCGGTAGGGTATACCAGCAAATGTCTTGTCTGTTTCGAAGACTCGTCTTGTCATGCGCACATAGACGTCTTTGCACGTCTCAACGTCCATCCTCAGGCGCCCCAGCATAATGGCAATCAGGCCGCCGGTGCCTGTTCCCACAATGAGGTCGAAGTGCTCGCATGGCTTGGGGAGTTCGTGTCTCTTGGGCGCGCGGCCCTCTGTCTCGACAAAGGTTCGATGCATTAATTCCTGGAGGATGATGAGCATCGAGTACCCCCGCACGCCGCCGCCATCTGCCCAAACACGTTAGCCACCCCGCCCTTGGTATTGAAGCAGTGCCTCACACCCACGTACCTAAGGATAGAATGCGCAGCGGCGGGCCCTTTGTGGTGTCTTTTCTGCGGACTCCGTTGGCTGTCATGTTGGGCATGATGTCCGGGTCAGGCGTCGCAGCGTGTAGCGACTGGCAGGACCAAACGTGGTTGCCTTGGGATGTCGAGTTCAAGTATTCCTAGCGCAATCGTATGAGGCGAGGCTGAGAGGATGACTGGCTGATGGCCGGGTGTTCCGGTTCGACGGTTGGGGTTTGACAGGCTTCGCAGCGTGCTAAAATGGCGGAGCTGATTGTGATACGAAGGCTGAGTAGAATCCAAGCCTCGGCGCGCGCTTGAAAGCGCTCAAAGAACGGTGAGGGGGGGAGCAGGTGCTAACCGGAGGGGGCAGGCGATGTAGGGACGCAGTCTCAGGCGGCGCGGCCAAGTATGTATAGGGTTCACGTGGCTGACGTGAAAGATTCTTGACTCTTGCTCGTCGCTTGCCCTTGAGTCGCAGCCCGTTGGCGGCCAGCAGCGTCATTCGTCATTCGCCAAGCACGCCTCCAGCTTGAACTGCACCGCCACCCAAAAACCTGGCACATCCCGGCCTCGCGCTGCTGTCAGCGCCCAAGATCACCCGCGCGTACCGGTTTTTGCAACCACGCATCTCCTGCCCTTGCAGCGGTAAGGCGTTGGCCCGCTTTGCCTTCTGGAAGCTGTCCCCTGACACGGCGGAGCGGACCCATGACCGCCCAATCGCTGGCTGACCGGCCATGGCTCCGAGGTCACGATCCCACTGCATCTCGCCTCCTTGGTGCTCGAAACCATGGTCGCCACGCTGATCCCGTGTGCTGATCAAGGCGATACAAACACACACCAAGTGCTCTGTCCTCATGTCGCCGTGGTTGCTCGTCATCGACTGTGTACGAGCAAAACGAAACACTCGAGCGCACAGGCCAGCCGATACTGGCAAGCAAAAGTGCACGACGACGTCTCTGCAAGCAGCCCTGCTCATGGCTCAGGACATGGACAGAATACCAGCTCAAGCGAAGACAAATATCGCGCATTACGTATGCGTCGCGCTTCACCATGGTAGAGAGAAATCAAAAACTACACCCCTCGCGACGGTCTGGACGGGGGGTTTGCACATGTGTGGAAGATATCGTCATGCTTGAAACACAGGGTTCAGCCTCCCCAAAGGGTCCATTTACGCCTACTGTGCCATACATGGGCATATGCACATCAGACACACCTGGACGTTACGCCATATGCGACTCCTTCAGGACGCGAGCCCACACTGTCATTGGCCGGAACTTTGTTATTTTGGGCATATACGGGTTGAAACAGTGCTTATTCAAAGGCTACAAGACGCTATTGGAACCTTTCGGTGGTACGCTGACGAGACCCCTCTTTTCCCTGGTGCGCCATTGGATCGCTTTCGCAATGTGGTACAGCACCTCGAGCGTCGGCATGGGAACACCAGCATTCTTTCCTGCCCTGAGCGGCTCGCCCACTAGGTTCTCGAACTCGATCCAGTTGCCCTGTGAATTGTCAGCATGTTTGCTTTGCCCAAGTGTATGGCTCGATCGTTTCGCGAACGCACCTTTTCGAGATCTTGCTGCATACTCGGCTTCAGATAGCTCTCTAGCGGATCAATGTTGATGGTAGCTTCCACTACGTCATCGCCCAGCTCCACTCCATTCACGGCTTTGGCAGCGGCCACGATTTCTCGCATCGCTGGCCTGACAAGACCATCCAGTGCGCCGTCTGCAAGCCGGATGCGTCCATCGTCCAGGCCCGTGATGGCGCAGATTGGGTTCAAGGCCGCGTTGAACACGAGCTTCTTCCAACGGTCATGTAGGACCTCGGGTGAATACTGGCAGTCCGTCTTTCCTGCTTTGCCGTAGATCGCTACAAGCTCCTCGGCTCGGCGCTCGGGCACCGCAGGATTGATGTTGGAGGTGGGAAAGGCGCCGATGAGCAGCTTGTCGGCTTCATCATGCACAATGTGGCCTGGCGAAGGCTCCGCGCTGCCAATCATGGATATTCCAGAAAGTATGGGAACATTGGGATGCGCCCTCAGGAAGGGCTTCTCAATGTTAATCCCGTTCTGGAGCAGAAGAAGCGTCGTCTTGCCGCTGTTCTTGGGAAGTGCCGGGGTGGCCAGTTCAACGGCTGTAGGCGAGGCGTCGGGAATGTTCTTGGTGCAGAGAATGACATAGTCGTATGGTGGAATGCCTTCTTCGACAAGATTGGGAACCGTGTTGCGGACTTGGTAGTGTTAGCCTGCTTGTATTCCTTGTGTACTTGAATGCGCTGCAGCATACCAACACTGGGCCTCCAGCCGTCCAAGACACCATGATCACAGCTGTGGATTGTGTAGCCCTTTTCTTTGACCACATTGTAGTTGGATCGCAACACGACCGTGACGGCGGCGAGCCCACCAACTTCCAAGTTGACGGCTGCAATGGCTCCCACGGCGCCGCCACCAATAATCAGGACCGTCTTTTTCGCTTCAGCCATGGCGACGTGGAGGAGTCGAGTGTCTTTTCACACTCGATGTATAGTGAACCGGGCTACATGGCTGAGGTGAGGTAAGCCGTTACGCGTTGGTGGGGTTGGAGGGGTGCTTATGACGGGACGTGACTCCCACCTAAACGCCCAAGACGCTATCGCTAGTACCTGCTTGATTTGGCCATCTTCACATGGCACGCCTTCACTACATCACTGGCACCTAGTCTGGCAAGCAATCTTTTGCGGTCCCTTCAATCGAGCTCCATTTGATGCATATGTAGGTTACAGTCCGTAAATTCGTGGCTGGTGACCCTGTGTCGCCAAATCTTCCGCCTCACACGTCTTCATTCGTGTTGCACTGATGGTCAATGCATTGCTTGAGTCGAAGGTAGAGCCGTCCATTCCATCCGCCCGAAGACTACGCCGAGAGCCTAGCAAAAGAGAGAGAAACAAGGCGCACGTTTAGAAGACGAGAGCAGCACCCTTGGTCTTCTTGTCACCACCAAGCTCAAAGTGCTTGCATCGCTTGAGGGCAAGCTATTTTCGGGTTAGCGGCGGCATAGCAGGCCGTCGTGGTAGAACATACCTGTGCCTTGGTCTTGCAAGCAGTGCACTCTAGACGGAGAACGACCTTCTTGGTGGTTTTCGCCCTCTGCGTATCGTCAGCATCGACTCCGCAGCTCGCATGTGGCCAATCATACCTTGTGGAAAACGGGCTTGGTCTGACCTCCGTAACCGGATTGCTTGCGGTCATAACGACGCTTACCCTGTGCGAACAGAGAGGCCTTTCCTGCCTTGTATTCTACCTTGTTTCAGTATGTGAAAACAACGTGTAGGAGCATGGACCACTGACGGGTGACCTTGTGCTGGGTGTGCTTCTTGCAGTCCTTGCCCTTGCAGTAGGTTCGGCGGGTCTTGGGAACGTTGACCTGAGACACCAAAGTCAGCATTTATCTCACGACCTCCTCTAACCATGTGACCGTTTTCCAGTAACAGTCGAGTATGCGACACGAGTAGGCGAGCAGCGTCGGCGTCGGCGTGATTGACGGGCCAGGGACGTGTCGGAGAGGCGACCAATGCGAGCGAGAAAGCGAACGAGGAGAATTATAGTGTCTGAGCCAACTCGGGGGCGCGACCTTGTCCTAGCGGTGGCCACTCTGTGATATAGCGAGACATGGACGCATGAGTGTCCTGCTTTGAACTCTGCCATCTCTCAAGCCCGCACCACTTGCGCTGATTCTTTCCGACTTCCTTCGTCGCGGCGTCGTATTCTCCTTTTCCCTTCACCACCCATCTATTTCAAAATGCCGAGACCAATCCCAGTGTCCGTTGTTGTGAGGTTGTACGTTCCGGAAATTTGCCATCGTCATCGAAGATTCGTCGAATCGCCCACTCGTGTCGTGACTGTTGTACTGCGCAGTCGCAAATAGTAAATGATCTCACTCACCATTTTGACGGATTTTGCTCTGTGGTTAGTATGAGCGAAAGGTTGGCGGTGGTGCTGGAGGTGTTGATGGTCGCTGGTCCGATATTGCTAGCGTGTGTGGGCTTCGGCTAGGTTAGTAAGCCGGTGCTCATGCGCCACTCACCAGCCACTGCCAAGATTCAAAACATCACAATCAGGTGGCATGCTGGGAGAGATTGAAGATAAAAATGAATTCGTCGTTATGGTATCATCGCAGCAAATCAAATGAAAATGTCCACCCGTCCATCTTCTCGCAATGATCGTAGCTGACCTGTGAAGCCATTCTGAAGAACAAAGGAAACACGGGCAAAAGACTAGTACACGGGACGCCCCTCATCCCATTTCTGGACTTCCTTGGTGTCTTTCGCGGCAGATGGAGGACTGCTTCCAATGCCAAGACTAAACCGGCCATCCTCGAGCCGCTTTACGGGACCAACCCATTCCCACATGCGAGCGACATCGCCGTTAGCTGTTGTTCGCACACCTGCACGAACGTTGCTATTCTTTTCGACCTTTGCTTGGACTCTTTTCCACAGTTTCTGTCGTCGAGACGCATTGAACTCAGTGCGCAAGACGTCGTCACGAAGTTGTGTCATACTGATGCCCTTCTCCACACTAGGCTGTTGATAGCAGAGTGCAGCCTGGTCTTGGAGCCTGTCGTACGCGTCGCTTGCCAGCTGCTTTGCGCGAACTTCCATGGCTCGGTTGCTGGTGTAAGAGTACTTGCCGTAGGAGCCCGTGGCAATCAGCATCAAGACCATTACAATCTGGAGAAGATGTCGTTCAAAAGATTGTCGGAGGGATCTTCGGATGCTACAGGAGAGGGAGAGCTTTGCGAGAGAGGTTGATGCAAGACGCCGTTTGCCGGTTGTTCTGTGTCCAAGGAAGAGGAACTGATTAGTACAATTCCAAGTCAGAAATATGCACATATGGTTTGGGACCTGAGAGAAGAGTACTTACTCATCCGTGCTTTGAACAATCTCCTCACGCATCATAAGTTCGGGAAAAGCCCGGTCAAACAAATCACTAAACTCTTGATCCGTCAAACTCTTGCTTTTTTGAGCAGCCATCTGCGCCTTGAGATCCACTTCGCTGATCTCGGGGCTTTCTACGGGATGCCCTTCGGAGTCGGGCTCGCCACATTCGTACTGTGCCTTGCGCTGTCGGAGAATCTCGACGCCTCTGTTGGCAATGCCGTTTACTTTGCGGGTCTTTGCACTGTCCGGCTCACACGTTGCTGGAAGGGGAAGCAGGCCACCCAGAGATAGTGGATGGTCTTTCTTGATGAAGTCGGGATCGCATCGGAGATTCAGGCCTCGGTAGCACTGCGCATGTGGCGGGCAAGGCTCACATTGTGGAAGTATTGGAGTAGCCCAGCTCGGTATCTCTACGCCGGCAAGCGCAGTGGCCTCTCGTCCCATGCCACAGAAGCCAACGTTGATCTTCTCTTGTCGCCAGACGCCCGCAAAAGCCGTTGCAGCAGTAAGAAGTAGAGTCCCAGCCATCGCCTTGATAGTGCCAGTGGCCTTTGCTTTCTTCTGCCTTCTTCTCGGTGGGAGGATATCCACCTCGCCAGCCTTTGCACGCTCACGCACCAGCTCGAGCTGCTCCTCCGCCGTGAATTCTTCGCCCGCATCTGTGGTATCGTTTTCCTCCTGCTTTACACGCGGGTCGGCCACGTCAAAAGTTCCGCGTGTGGGCACCATGATGCCATCGTCTACTTGCTCCGTCTTGGGCTGTACTGTCCTTCGGCGATGTACGTCGCTCTTCCGCCTCTCATGCTGGCTGTATCCTGTAGTCCGCCTCCGACGGTCGCGCAGAATGGCGTCTGGCACTGCGGGTGAGCTTCCGCTCTGGAAAGGGTTCTCTTGGGTGAAAGGGCTTGTGGCATCATTACGATGCCACGCTTCCGGTTCGGGCGACGGCTCTTTCGGCTCTTTCGGAGCGGGCGTAGCGCTCTTGCGGGTGCGTCTTGCTGCGGGACGCTCGTCTATCTCGGGCTCGAGAGCCCTGCTGTGTTTGGCGGGCACGGTGCGAGACGGTGTTTTGGCACGTGGCGGAGGCGGATCTGGCTCCTCCGTCGTTGAGCGCCCTGTTCTTCGTAGTGTCCGCCGCCCAGTGGCGGGTGTAGGGGCGACGAGGGTTTCGTCCTCGACATCATCCGTATCCACCGTGCTGGCCGAGCTGGAGGGGACGTCTACGATGCCCCGCGTCGATCGCTTCGTCCGCGCGTACGCCCTTTGCACCTGGGATTTTTGGGGCAGGACGACATCGTTGAAGAGGCCCACGAGGACCGGCTTCTTCGCCGAGGATGGATATGTGACGCCGTGTCGAAGTAGGATGCTGCGTAGTTCGGGTACTGTAATCTTGTTCGCATCCACCCCGTCCTCGTAATACCAGTACTCTCCGCGCGCATCGGCCATCGTGTAGGAGGTGCGAAGAATAAGCACACAAAAATGTTCGTCTTGGCGTGTGCTGGTCGATCCGGAAAAAGTGCAGACGATAAGGGTTCTGATGGTTCAGGCTGATCTTTTGGTAAGCCGTGGGTGGAGCTGGGAAAGTCTGTTTCGCTTGTTTGTGATGTCACCAAGGCAACAGGCTGGTATGTGGGTCCGTGCACCATTCCCCTTTCGCCCCGACCTCCATCACCTGCTGCTACAAGACAAAGTTGAGCGGCGTAGAATCCTCCCTCACCGCACTGAGATATCGAAACTTTTACACAGCTACTCCCAACAATATGCAGGGAAGTCAAGTCGAAAGCGGTTGAACCAGTCCACACAGACATGTTATTGCAGGAATTCTGCTGCAATCCTATGCCCAGGCTTGGGACAAGCAGTGGCAATGAACCCTCTGCTTGTAATCGTCTACTCACCAAATTCACCTCTACCAAGGCTCACCAGAGTATATCCTCGGACGCATTCTCCACAGTAAACACTGACCATGGTGTTTACGAAGCAAGCTCGTATGGAACATGCATTTCCAAATATAGCTGGCTCTTTCACGGAACGAACAAGGAAAGCAAACGATGGTGCAGAAGCGAAAAGTGTTGTCTTGCAGCTCATGTAGTACAGATCGCGATCGGCTCCGCATTCGTACCGTCATACATCTGTGTGAACCCTCAACTTAGGGCGTTCACTTTGATTCTTGGCTGCTTTTCAATGCAGCGGAGCAGGCTATCGTTGCAATCCTCGACTATGCCATCGTATCACATTCACAAACTGTTTGGCATGTTCAACGCATATAAACACACCATGTCAGATCACCCGGCATCAGGTGCAACACATCTTCTGACAGTCTCGACATTGGATCCAAGGGCACAATAAACGAAAGAACTCTAGTGGAAGCTATGGAACAAAGGCCTCCATGATCAGCTCAAAGAGGCATAGGACTGTTTGTCGTGCACCTTGGTAACCGCAGCTTAACAGCCTTGCGTGATTCATTTTGATTGACCTGCGTCAAGCTAGCGTTTTCCCGGCCCCTGTCTTTTCTAGAAGACATTGCTGCTGCATACCCGATGACTATGCGAAACATCGGTGAGGGTCCTGAACAATAACATATCATCTTGACGCAAGTGTGCATGTCACACTCGGATATTGCATCCGCTCTTTACCAACGCAGCAACACAAACAAGATCACACCAAGAATCCTCAATCTGCAGCTTCCTCGCCAAGTGTCTCAAGTTCATAGACAGCCAAAGCCACATTTCACCCAAGCTTTCAGCCTTCGCGCCAAAAAGAAGCCAATTGTGGGGCACACACCGGCTTAATGTAGCTTAATCTCGACAACCCTGCGATATCACACGCTATTCACCAATGACCTTGCCGTCCCCCTAGTTCCGTCTAACCCGAGATCAATACCATCGGACCACGTGCCGCCATGGCCCGTATCCAGCATCACGGTCGCCGCTCTCCGCGCCCGGGCTTATACGGAGTGCAAAGTACCCCGGACCGAGTGGCCGCCGCTAGAAGCACCTCTACACCTAAAAAGCCGGTGGACGCATATAGATTGATTGCAAAATATGGTCACCAAGCGCGTATTGAGTAATTGCTTGAATCGGACCCAAGTCATGTGTCGTTTACGGGATATTGAAGTGCAGGGCTCCAAGCATAGATTGAGGGCCTCGCTTGCATTCTCAGGCCAAGAAGTCTTGTGTGGAGTATCACAACGGCCCTTTATATAGTGCTGTAGAATGGCTATGATTAACGTCGCGTCTTGAACTGTACACTTTTCTCTCCACACTTGTCAAATTTCCTGTTACCATCAACATGTTGGGAAAGACGGCCATCGTCAACGCGCTCGTGAGCGCCGTCTCTGCGGGTTCGCTGGAATACATGTTTGTGCATTTCCATCACTAACAGCCGCCAGGTACCATCCTGTGGGACGGACGCTTCAACGACATGACGACCAGCGCCGACCTTGAAAAATGGTCCTGGGCAAACCAAGTTGGCAGTGAGTGCTACACCAGAACTTTTCCACCGCAGAACCAAGAGAAGCTGACACTCTTCCCAAGACTACCAATACTACATCCACGGATCCGGCCCTACCTCGCGATACGGTACGTAGACACACATGTAGCAAAAACAATCACAGCACACATGCTGACCGCCCTACAGTCAACCTCTCTCCCAACTACAAGAACCCCGGCGACACAGGCAGCAAGCAAGGCGCCAAGATCACCATCGACAGCACGGCCAAGTGGAACAGCGACATGTGGAGGACAGAGCTGATTCCCCAGACCAAAGCCCCCATCAACCAGGGAACCGTCTTCTACCACTTCTCCATCAAGCGCTCCAGCACAAACGTGCCCAGCGCCACCAACGAGCACCAGATTGCGTTTTTCGAGAGCCACTTTACCGAGCTCAAGTATGGCTGGATTAGCGGCGAGTCTGGAACCAGCAACACCAACCTGTAAGTTTCTTGCTACTCCCAGATCTGAGAGAGAGAGTGTGTGTATGAGGGAGCTTGCTTCGGGAATCCATGGCTAATCTGGATCGGTCTTACAGGCAGTGGATGGTCAGCGGGCAGAGCAAGTGGAAGACGGAGCTCAAGGCCGACGAGTGGCACAACGTGGCATACGAAATCAACTTTTCCTCCAACCAGGTGACCTTCTGGCACTCGACTGGCAACAACACGCTTGCCAAGACCGCCGGGCCCTTTTCCACCGGCACGTCGTCCAACGGCGCTGACTGGCATCTTGGTGTTTTGCGTCTGCCTCGCCAGGGCAACGATGGCACGGGCGCTGAGGACTGGTACTTTAGCGGTACATATGTCGAGAGCGGCCCAATTACCACGTCGGTTGCTAGTCCGGCGTCTTGAGTGAATCCCACGTTAGAGGTAGATGACACATACAGCATGTTTGGTATTTGGATATTCTGTACATAGCCCCCCCCCCCTTTTTTTTCATCTTCATGAATGCATACAGTAGAGTCCGTCGTTGAGAATCCTTTGTTCTTCCTAACCCTGCTGAAACGATCATCGAGCAAACATTGCCATTTCCATATCCCATTACTGAGGTCCAGTCATCATGCCGGGTCCATTGCGACTCGCCAGGCTTTCACCAGAAAGCATCGAACCATGTCCACTTGTGATTGCTCTATGCCAATATTCCATTGCCCCCCTCAGACACCATTCTGAATCCAGTCCTTCACCCACGCTACATAAGCATCGACTCCAATATGTTCTATGGCCGACCTGTCATCGCCATGTTTCATATCAGCGATGCAATCCCTGAAATCCCGTTCGTCGAAGCCGGCGGTGATTGGAAAAACACGAAAGTTGGAGGGTACATTGGTATAATGTACTTTTGTGACATGTCTCTGCAACCATTCGGTATGCCTTTGAATCAAGAGCAGATAATCCGGTTCTACACGTTCCAGGATGGCTAGTTTTTTGCCCAAATGCGTGTACATTTCCTGGGCAAACATGAGGTATGTGGAGGGTCTTTCCGCAGGGAATGGCAATTGCATGTCCATGCGGCTCTTGGGATAGTGCTTGCAGATATCCAAGAGTTGGGACATGGCCTGTTTCTTCTTCACCCAATACAAGTCCTTTGTTACGATCATTGTCCGGATATTCTCCTTTTTCTGGCGTGTCAAACTCTGCAGAAAGCTGGCGCATCGATCGAATTCCAGGCCAAGACCGAAACTAAGGAATATTACTTTGTTTTGGTGCAGACCAAGTCCCTTTGTCTCTTTGCGAAGATGGCGACATACAAACTGTAACTGATTGGCAATCCTAAGCTTGCAGTGCGCCTTGTCGTCTTCGACTTTAGGAATGTTTTCGTTGTGACGAGTGCTGGATTTAGGGTTGCTACAGCTGCGATACTCGAATGTAGTCGCAGCCTCTCCGCTGGACTGATTGGTGTGTACTACCTCACAAGTTTCACACCACACGCTTTCTTTGCCAATCTGCTCAAGCTCTTTGAGATCTCCTGAACAGAGTCGACCAATACCATCTTGATCTTCTAGGTAGAAGAGGCCGTCTTCTTCGGTGAGTGTGTACTCGTAGATATGGTTGCGTATCTCGCCTGGAAGGCTTAGCAGATGGGGCGCCATGTTGCGTGATGCTGGTTGTAGTTGTAATATGCTGTAGAAAGATAGAGGAGTTGTGTGGGTGTGTGTGTTTGAGTAAAAGAGTGAGGGTTAGATTGGGAGGTGAGACGAGTTATCCCAAAGAGGGTAGTACCCCGCTTTATGAGAGGAAAATTGAAGGTTTCCGGGTCAACTCAGCGCCAGAGTTCGCCCCCAACCATCTACTTCCCAAGATATAAACCCAACCTAAGGTAACAATATGCAAGATTCACAATACATATGCGGAAGAGCCAAAAGATACTCATTCTCAAGGTCTAGTCTAGGCTAGGTATTGGCTATATAAATCTATACTAATGTTCATATCCATGTTCATGCTCATTCCAAGTCTTGTTGTGTATACATGTCTAAGAAAGGAAGGCAAGATATCAGATACGCGTCAATCCGTCTCTTTTTGTCCTTGTCCATATTTACCCAGTGGAAGGGCAAGGAAAAGGTAAGGAATGAGGGAAAAATAACATCTAAGTAAGTAAGGAAGAAAGAAAGTAAAACGCTGCACTGAGAAAAGAAAGAAAAGAAAGAAAAGAAAGAAAAGAAAGAAAAGAAAGAAAAGAAAGAAAA